ACTAATCACAGAATCAGCAAATTTGGAAGAACGTATCTAGTAGGTGCAGAATGGAACATACGTTCATCCCTAATCAAACCTTCAATATCTCCATCGAAGCCGAATACAACGCTCAGCATCTGTTGGCGTAGATCATCCGGCGTGAGGCGGGACTCGTCAAGGGGTTGATGGTGTCCGTAAGGCACATCATTGAGGCGTGCACGCGTAAAAGGGAATAGATCTACTGGCTTCTCGGCAGGACTAAGCTGCACCTCATTTCTCAGCCGTGAACCGGCGCGGGAGCTTTTTGTTGACGACATTGAGACAGACGAGGCGTAGGCATAGGAAGCCCCGGATGGCTGGGGCGTTTCTCTCCCAGATGCTGAAGTTAACGAGAATGATGTGGTGGTCTGACCGGACCTACTGGGTGGTGAGAACGGGATCTTGTGCATTCCCGAGGAAGCCTTCGAGCTAACGGAGTTCGTAACCGAATTGGCATGACTCCTATTCACAGGGCTCGCGACATCGGCACGCTGTTGACGCACAGCTTCGATTCCATTCGTGTCGAACGGGGTCCTTCGAGAGCTAAACATCGCACCAGACTCCCTCATGTTTGGCGGTTCCTGTAAGGTGCGTAATCTCGGTTGCTCTGTGGGTGGTGGCAAGGCTCCAGCGGGGGCATGTTGCACATTTGCGACCATGGCAGGGCTGTCTATATCGTACTGCTGAACAGTGTATTGAGGACCAAGAGTAAATAGTGTGGCGGTTGGTCCATAGTTGGCAAAGCCACGTGGGTTGTCGATGGTGGGGATGGGCTCATACGTGACATGCTTTGTCCTGACATCCCAAGCCCATGTTTCACTGTTGATGGTGTTTAGCCTCGCAACCCGAGGGAAGATGGCGGGTGCCTGCTTACCCTTCAAGGTACTGTACAATCCTACCATTCTTAGACCAAGCCATCCACTTCGGTTCAGTGGCTGGAGAGCCATCAGACCTCTTGAGCACTCTGATAACGCGTGGGGCTTCTTTCTGCGGCGGTTTTGCTACACTCCAAACTCTCAAATCACCATTGGCCGCCAAAGTGGCTAGCATATCTGACTTCTGCTTAGATGAGGACGCATGCCAGGCTAACGAGATTATCGCCGATGGTCCTCGCGAAGTGGACATGGTATGTAATATGCTGAAGGTTGGGTGCAGTGTCGCGAGCATAATCGAACCATTTTGGTAGCTACGCCAATCAGTTAGACCATTCAACTGTCATAACCACTAGGCGCAGTGTACATACCCAATAGCATATGTTCGACAATCCGTAGCGGGGGCTAGAGCGGTAATGGGATCAAAGATGGTGCGGCACGAAACATGCTCGGAAGTAGATGGCTCAAATATGATCACGTCTCCCTTTTCATTACCTGCAGATCGGTGTGAGAACTTGTTTGGGAGAGAAAACATGGCTTTATCAGAGGGAGGGGTGTTACCAAAGGCCACATTCCCATTTCGCATCCAGGCGGCAACCTTGAGCTGCTCGAAGGAGGCGAACCTGGCGAGTACGCTTCCTGTGAACAGATCCCATACGATTGCAGTCTGGCTGACATCGTAACTGACTACCAGCCTTCCCGCACCACGTTCGCTCACATTATCCACATATATGAATCCGATGTCGTCCTGGTGGTTTTCGAAGCGTCGTTCGAGCGCCAAAGTATCGTGGTGGAGACATACAATCACCGAGCCCTGCGCATATAGAAGTAAAGACGCGGTTGACGCACACGGCTCAAGCCGGGCAGGGGCTGTCTGCGTCTGCGTTGATACTGGGGGCGCGGCAGGCTTCATTCTCGAAGGTCGAGGATCTGGGACTTGAACTGGATTTCTGTTCCATGATAATTCCACCATCGTTTCGACTGTACCACAGAGATGTTCCTGAACAGGGTGCTGGAATTGTTTGACTCGTGTTCCTTGTCCCAATCCCAAGCTCCGTCTCCAGACAAGCGGCTAAGAAGTGCGCGGTCCAGGTACTATAGATCAATTATATAATTGGCGGTAACGGCGTGACAATGGGCACAGGCTCTATTCGGGCCACAATGAGCAATGGTAATTATATACCTCCCATTGGCACGTTAAAAAAGACGAGATCAAGCTGCGCACCGAGGGTGCAATCCCGCCCAAGACAGCCAACGAGACGTCACTGCTCCAAATTCCTACCGAATCAAGAACACAAGCTTTGAAGTGTTCTCAAAAGACATTTGACTATAGATTTGAGGAGACCAAAGTCAGAGTATGGATATACGAATAAGAAGAACAACCAGAACGACGGCCTTTCGTCCCAGCAGACTTGGGGTTATGGGGTGGCGAGAAAGAAGCGAGGTTGTAGCAGGGTACAGCGACAGATATGATGGTGATAGCGCGCTAAATCCGAGCCGAACAAAAAGGCAGACGCACAAAAATGCAAGTGAAAGACAAAGAATGATGCAGTGGAACGGCCAGGGATACAACGCACTAGGCAGGCTACCACGTTGCTGGCACGAATTGTGGAGGGGGAAAGATAATAAGGAAGACCAGGGCAGAGGCGGGGAGGGGAGCAAAAAGTAAAATGGAAAACGATTGCACTAACACTAATGACAGGATTCACACGAGCATGGACTGATAGTTGTGCTCTGGCCCAGTGGACTCTTAATCCTTATTATTCTCCAGACGGCGCCAGCCTTGAGAGGCTGTTGTGTGGTTGTAAAGGACAGTTACCTGCGAAATCTGAGACGTCTCCGAAGGCAGCGGAGAGAGTCGATCGAAATCTCCAGCCATCAAGCAACACGAGCTAGCGCCAAGGGGAGTGGACGGCGCTTCCATGGACCAGGATATCATCGATATGGGACGAGCAGGGCGTTCAACGACTTAATTAGCGGACGAGGGCAAATAAGACCCGTCGAGCGGCATGAGGAGCTGTCGGTGGCTCCAGCAGCGGCACACCAACAAGCATGCAGCAGCGGGACATGGGAGCCAGAGTGCAAAGCAGACTGCCAGTCGATCCTGCCGCGTCTGACCAGGGGGGGTCTGCGAGAGGAGTTCAGTCTCCTTCGTGTTACGCCGTTGGCAGGCTAACCAGGAGCTATAGGAAGATCAAGCGGGCTAATCATCGAGCGATGCCACCCACAATCAACATGAAGCGCAATCAGTGGAAAGGAAAGAGTTTGAGACTAAAACGGAGGAGATTAGATGAGCGCCAATTGTTGCACCGATCAGAGATGGGCGGGAAATGGGGGGTGAGAAAGGGAGAGAGAAGCGTACGGGGACCACACTAGTGAGGTGAGTAAGTAGTAGTATGGAGTCGTGGTGATGGTTAGTTCAATCCTATTGCATGCGTCCGTTTTTTGCCCAGGCGGGGCTGGAGTGGTACCAGTGACATAGTTGTCACTAAGATTCAGTATGGGAAGCAAAAGTATACAGGACCTTACCCAAGGGGAATTCTGCATGGCCAGCGGCTGCTGTCAGGGACCTTTCCCGCCGGCTCCTCAGGCCTGATTGGCTTCCGGACTGCAGAGGGCGTTTCTTCACGCTGCAGGCCTCATCACTCGGTTGTGCCAATCAGCGCCCGCACCCGCCCTAGAGTCGCCCTCAAGTGACCTGCTCGGCGCGTAAATGAGCACTCTGACTGGTATCGTCAATGCATCCCCTCGACTGCTCAATCCATGTGGCCAGTAGGATTGTGGCTAATCTTGGGTGATGTGCAGTGGAACTTCGAATCACATCCCTCGACGTGCTGGAGACGGAACTAACTGAGGTAGGTGATATACTTGGGTACTTACGTGGATGTGAACACTGAAATAGTACGCAGAAGGACCGAAATAATCAGGAAACATACTAGAAATCTTCCGTTAAGATGTGGAAATGGGAGGGCGCATCCCAGGTGATGTCCTTGAACCTTGAACATAAAACCGAAAGAGCCATCACTACATGTGCCGTAAGGCCGCCCATAATCGTTACCATGATCTGAATTGCGCTCACCCTTCGCGAAATGCATAGGGTGGCGCTACATAGTACAATATACTATGGCGGTGTAAAAACCGCGGGTACTCAGGTTCACAGTACTACTCCCATGGGCATTTCCAGACTGATAATATACTCTGGTATCATGATGAATGGGAACATCATCACCGTGTACACAACCAGAGACGTTTCCTTTGGAAAGGCCGGATACCCAAGATGGTCGCAGTATAAAGTGCATTTATCGGCGATTTATTTGACACTTACAGGAGCTAACGATCTGAACGGTCGGTCACAGTCGGAGCTGGTGAGACAACAATTCTACGCACACCCAGTAAGAAAGTATACGGAGTATGGAGTCCAAAATAGCCCTTCCACAGATGGACACGGCCTGTGCATGCAATGTGATGTGATAAAGTAGAAGCTGCGCTGTGACTGGTGTCCTTCGGGACTAGTGGGAGGTCCCGGGGCTTAGACATTGCGGGGTGGTCGAGGAGCTCGGACGGTGATGAGATTTTGCCTCTTCCTTGGATGTGATAAGAAAAGCGTCGGGAGACGCAGGCATTCGGCCCATGCTAATTAATCCTGGCGGACTGAGACTGACTGAAATTGATCACCCAACAAGATGCCTTGTGCATGGTAGGATTCAGTCTGTGTCACGCTCGGAACAATGGCATTGTGGTCATCCAATATGAAATCGAAGGTTCCTCAATTAGAGCCAGAGTGCAACTGTACACTTGGGCCTTTACGTTGCTTTCGATGATGCCAACGACAATCCCAAGAAGCTCTAGACTTCGCGACAGGGTACTGCCATTTCCAGTTAGACGGACGGGGATGCCGTGCAACGCGACAGGCGGTCACGGGTAGATCACATGATAACGGAACTGCTTGGCTCTGGCTATCGCGGCAAAATATCGGCCCGTGATCTGATTTTCCGCCTTCTCCAAAATCTTCTGGGTTCAACAATATCGATAGCAACAAATATCGGCCCCATTCCTCGCTGCTTTATTTTTCCTCCCTGTTTAGCGGTCAAGGCCTACTGTCACAAAATGGGTGTGCAAAAGAAGACTCGCAAGTTTGCGCAGGTATGATTACAAAACTTTGCAGCCGATACGGAACGGAAACTGATCCTACTGAATCTATAGATGAAGCGCGCCATCAAGGCCCGCGATGAGCGACTGAAGAAGCCGGAAGCGAAGAAGGAGACGCCCAAGGAGGATCAGCTGACTCGTCAAGTCACCCAAGCCCCTTCGAACATGTTCTTTGCCGCAAACACTGCCCTTGGCCCTCCCTACCACGTGCTGGTCGATACCAACTTTGTTTCCCACGCTATCCGAGCGAAGCAGGATCTACTTACTTCGATGATGGACCTGTGAGTTGCACACAATATCTGAGCTTTGGAGATATGCTAAGACTAGCTGCAGGCTATACGCGAAGTGTGTTCCGACCTTCTCAGACTGCACCATTGCGGAATTGGAAAAGCTGGGTGACAAGTACCGCCTCGCACTTCGGGTTGCCAAAGACCCTCGGTGGTCTAGGGTCAAGTGCTCTCACAAGGGTACCTATGCAGATGACTGTATCGTGGATCGGGTGAGTGGTTACTCAAACCCCTTCGTTTGGGGTAGCACAGCGCGCTAACGGCTCTTGTAGGTGACGAAGCATAGAATTTACATTGTGGCGACCAACGATCAAGATCTGTGTCGCCGTCTGCGCAAGATTCCTGGTGTGCCCATCATGAAGGTTGCAAGGGGCAAATTCACCATCGAGAAGTTGCCCGATGCTTTGGATTAAGCCTTGGTTTTTCGGATTGCCGAAAGAAATGGCAAAAGAGAAGATGTGTGTTTGATACCACGCCATAGCACGACGTTTCACGAAGATATACCCAATTACCGCTTACTAGCGGACGCGGATTCAGTTCGTCTTCAGCCTACAAACGGGGAGCTCGTCTAGTCCCGCTGCGTCCGAGCACGATCGTCCTGTCTGATGCAGTACAAGTCAATGCGATGGCAACACTACCTGGCAGGCCAGCTCGAGTTGCACATTGGCTTGCGACGTGCATGCGCCTCGGCTGGACTATCTCGATGACCAGATTGTCCCGACGACCGCCGTAAGTCCATGCGCGCGGTGGACGTGACCAAGCGAGACAGGCGGAAGCCGATATTCGGAGAGCTTAGATAGCAGATAGATAGATGGTCAGTGTCGGCGGTCCTAGCCTGCATAATTGAAGCTAGAACCGAAGAAGATAATAGTGCGCTTTATAATTTCCACGCTTACCCCGAAATACTAGCTATATCTCGTATCTACCCCCGAACAATAGATAGTTGTCCGGGTGATTCTGTACGCAATCAGGCCATGGCCACATCACCAATTACCCAATTACATAACTATCTACAGTAGTTAAGAAGCATTCGAACAGAAGTGGAACGACTGATTGCTTAAAAAGGCCGCAAAGTATGACTCAATGTCTCCTCCGCGTGCGGGGAACCTATTCTAGAAACGCTTATCATCCCCTCAATCCCCGCCAACAACAACAACAACAACATCATCATCATCATCACCAAATCACTTAGTACTTACATACACACAACCCAACCAATCTACAAAGACAGTACCAGCCACAGCATAATGACTGAAAAAGAAACCATCGTAGTAATAGGGTACGTCTTTTCTCAATTTCAACGTCACCAAAACCACCACTAACCACCCCACCCATTCCAACCAAACAGAGCCGGCATAATCGGCCTCTCCACAGCCCTCTACATCCAACAACACCTCTCCCCATCCCAACGCGTTCTCCTCGCAGCCCGGGACTTCCCCCACAGCACATCCCTCAACTACGCCTCACCCTGGGCCGGCGCCCACTACCGTCCCGTCCCCGGCTCCAACGCCCAACACACCCGAGAAGAAACACAAGCCCGCCGCACCTACGCGCACTTCAAGACACTCGCAGCCCAGGAACCAGGTGCGGGCGTCCAATCCATCACTGGCATCGAGCACCTCGAGAACCCGCCGGCGGAGTACCTCGACGAGAAGAACATCCAGGCGGCGTATGGGCATCTGGATGGGTTTGAGTACTTACGGCCCGAGGAGGTGCCGGGGGATGTGAAGTGGGGAGTGAGGTATAAGACATATGTGGTGAATTCACCGGTGTATTGTGCGTGGTTGCTGCGGGAGTTTGTCTTGAGGGGTGGGGAGGTGAATGAGTATACGTTTGTGGATTTGAGGGAGGGTTTTTATCTTGCGGAGAGGGTGGGGGCGGTGGTAAATTGCTCTGGGTTGGGGTTTGGGGATGAGAAAAGTTATATTATTCGGGGTGAGTGATGATGATGATGATGATGGTGAAAGTGAGGGTGATTGATGGTAAAGGCTGACTGACTGGCTATTAAGGGCAAACGTGTCTGGTGAGGAATCCTTGCTCGGCGACTATCACTCGACAGAATAGCGATGGCTCGTGGTCCTTCTGTATCCCGCGTCCGTTGGGTGGTGGGACGATTATCGGGGGCACAAAGCAGCCGCATAATTGGGATCCTAATCCGTCGATGGAAACACGGGCCCAGCTACTGGCGAATGCTGCTAAGTGGTTTCCCTTCCAGGAGGGAAGTACAGGAGAGTTCGATGTTATTCGTGATATTGTTGGTCGTCGACCGGCACGAGAGGGGGGTATGAGGATTGAAGTGGAGAAGATGAATCAAGGTGAGGAGGTGATCGTTCATGCGTATGGAGCGGGGGGTCGTGGGTTTGAGCTGTCCTGGGGTGTGGCGGAGGATGTCTACGATCTGATGCGACAGGAAGGACTGATGAAGGAAAAGGCCTCGCTATAAGGTCGTCCACTTGTGAGGCTCGCCTTGCTACAGAAATCTCTCGTCTATGGTGCTAGAGCACGTATGTTCGGCATACAAAGCTATGATCGGAATGCTGCATGGCAGCTGCAATTGCAGTAGAAGGAAGATGATACAACTTTTCGTCTATTGTTCGTAACATTACTTATCACGGGGTGTGGTCACCATGGACACTAAAGCATATCCAAGCATCGGAGGGGCTCTTTCACACAGGTCAAGTCTCCCGGTCGCCAGCGGGTCTCTTGAAGTGGTTTTAAGATTCTATTAAGGCTCACATTGACGGAGTCTGGGGGCCTCAGGGCCAGCATTGTCAACAGGTAGAGATGTGTGCGTGACCATTAGGATTGTGCTGGGCTAAATCAGCAAGTTTTAGAGGACATCAACGGTACACATACCTGATGCCGGGTCGGACTATTTATGGCGAAGGAGCCAATGGGGCCCAATTGCTGGGTTGAGTGTTTCCGCAAATCTTGAGATGATCATCCGGTATAGTCATGTTCTGCAGCTGGTCCGGCGCTTCGATAATGATGGCCATGAGGCGGATCTCGACGTGCCACTCAATGTGGCAATGGAACATCCAGATGCGTAATTGACCGATAAACGTCAGTTTGGAGCCACTAACTTGCAGGAAGGGAATACTTATCAGGATTCATTGCACGGAATCTAATTACGAAATGTCCCATGGGCTCCACCATGAGCGTATCTCGGCGCATGGGAGAGGCAGAAATGTTGCGGTAGCCATCGAAGAAGCCACCGTACGGGTAAGTGCGCTGGAGCACCTGGAAATCATGACCGTGGAGATGCCACGGATGAAGATTGTCATGGTGGTTGTTGAGAACGATCTCCACCACATCACCATAATTGACGACAAAAGGGTTCACATCTCCATAGAGGTCAGGGTCCAAGCAGGCCTCGGGATCAGAATAGATGGCAGTGTACAGTGTGGGCGAGTCGGGGGCGTTATATGTCATGTTGTTGATGCTGTAGGCGGGCTTTCCATCTACTGTGGTTGGGTAGACGTCGAAGATGAATTGGTGTTGTATGGGGTCGATCAGAGGAAGGTGGTCTATCGGTGTCAAGGTCACATCGTCGAGGAAGTCCAGACTTGCATTGTTGACATGAATGATGGGCGGAGGAGGCAAAGGAGCATCCTCGTTGTACATGAGCCATGCGGTGCCGTTGGGATTGTACCCTTGAGGTGGGCTCCTCCCCTCTTGAACGAACATCTCATCAATATCGAGACCGTCCCAGATCGCATAGTTCTTGCTAGTATCATTTTTGGTGGTGAGGAGGATGTCGACTCGTTGTCCAACGGCCACACGCAGATACTGGGGTGGAAGGAAATGCGGTTCCACTGCAATGCCATCCATACCAACAATGGTCATGTCGTGGTCGTCAATGACGAGCGCATGCCCGGGAAAGTTGCCCATGCAGACAACGTGGATCAGGTAGGTCGTGCCGGGCTTAACGCTGATCTTGGTGTTATGCATGTCGTTGAACAAAATCGCATCAGGTAGCGGCTCTAGACCTCCATAAGGGGCATGGTCTCCTGGAACTATGAATTGATCGAGCAAGACGGGTATCTGTACATGATACCAGTCGGATAAGGTGAGAGTCATCTCCTCATCATAGTGATACGGGGCAGGAACATTGTCGTGCACGATGATGGGTCCGCGCAACCCATCAGGATACTGACCGGGCTCGTGGGAGTGATACCAATAGGTACCGGTTTGGTTCATCTAGATCCACGGGTCAGCAGGCGCAGTTCAGGTACTGATCCAGCAAGCATGCTCAGCTTACCGGAACAACGTAGCGCATGCGCTGGTTGGGGTGGAGCTCGCATTGGGTGACTCCTGGGACACCGTCCATGTAGCCATTGTAGTTCTGATGCAGACCATGCCAATGGATTCCGGTGGACTCGTTACCCAGCCCGTTGTACACGTCGACGATGAGATTATCGCCAACATCGACATCAATTTGGGGACAAGGCCAATGTCCGTTAATGCCGATCACAGGCCTCGCATACCCATCAGGTGCTGCAGTCACCCAAGTTATATTCCAATCCAGATACACATTTTTGCTCAATGCCTGTTGGACGAACCCGTACAGGCCGAGCGTTGTGAGGGTTCGGATCATTGCCGCGGCTTCGAGTATAGCATTCACCGGATGCGGGCGCAGACTTTTGGAGCACTTCCTGAAGGGAGGTCGAAAATAAGTATGTACCGAAAGTTGCTCGGACTGCTATATTATGCACAAAAAGTTAGTTCAGCCCGCGGAGCAATAAGGAAAGCAACCCTTGGCGATATGGATGCCTCGTCGGTGTCGCCGCCTCGGCATCAGATCCAAACAAACATTTCTCGCATGGCCGGACAGCAAGCCTACAAATGAGCCGATCCGATGCGAGTCGTGCTTTCAGTCGCCGCCCGGGAGAAATCATTCCAGCATAGACATAGAATGCGAGCATGTAACCTGTCCTTGCTTCAAGGGATGAGGAAGGAGAAGTAGGGAGTCGACTAGCTCCTCCTACATGCAGATACCTTCCCGGTTCAGAGATGCAGGATACCCCGGCAAGAAAATTCCTGAGGTATTGGCACGCTTGTCTGGCTGTGGATAGCTGAATATATTGACGCCTAATGGCGGTTACTTCAGCTATGAAGGGGGTCAAATCTCAAGGCACTGTGCGATAGATTTCCGCGCTATTGATGCAACGGGGCACTCCCTTCAACGTCGTTATCTGTAGGCTAGCCCTTGGTTCCTTCCCTATAGCTTCCATACTTTGTGTTCCCCTTCTCGTGCCAATAAAATTTTTAAGGGTCTGCGGCCTGGGATACATGGCCTCTTTTGAAAAAGCATATCTGCTTTGTCGAGATCGACAATAACATGGCTCAGGGACCGAGACCTTGAACCAGCGAACAATCCTACCCCATCCAGACCGCAGCAGCAGGCATTGGAATGCGCCTTCCGCCTTGGAATCGGGGGGATGCAAGGCATTTACTTGATGAGAAGACTACCGTGTTGGAATATGCCCTGTTCGCCCAAAGGCAGTACATATTTGGGTCCACCAGGTGGCTACCACGATGTTCTCAACATCAAAGCACTTACATGAAGTATTTCTAACTCTAGTTAAGCTGCAATGAGTACAACATGTACCCCAACCAATGACATCCATCCTCGGCAATCGACCGCTTCGATCTACTTCAACCGTACAGTAACACATACTTCAAGAAGTTTAGGCGCCCGAATTAGCGGTCTCTTCCCTTCCAAGTACAAACTCTTGGTTGGTCTCGAACATGGATGCCTGGGAGTCGGAGCATGATCCGGTATAGCGGAAAGTCGTCAACATGGCACAATGCAGGCAAGGGAGTTTCAGCTACGGCCACCTAAAGCAAACTCTCATCCCAACCTCTGTCAGCGGAACAGCGTGTCAAGCCTTACCGATTGTCCGAGACCCGAGACAGACAGTGACGCCCCTTGATCCCTCAACAGCTGTGGATTGGTCAGCCCCCCTGCGTCTGTAGCCCTAAGCACCCTCGATAGTTGGTTCTGATGTCACAAGATTTGGAGGAGAGTTCATGTGCACCCCAGTCGGCAAGTTTCGCCGTGAGGACCTTACATTGAATGAGCTACGTTTAAAAGGGTTCTTCAATGCTGTCTCCCTCCTGATCTGTACATCTTCACACCGTCTACTCAAGACTGGACGACACGAGCAAGCAAACACCATGGCTCCTTGGATCCTCGGCGAGAAGTTTAACACCGTTTATCCCCACAAGGGCTCTATCAAAGCTCTCTGGGAAACGAAGTGGAAGTTTGCAGTAAGTTTTTACTGGTGGTCGGCATCACCACCCCTTGCTCAGTGGTTGGCCAGCCGTCAGGCAGTCCTTATCTAACGTAGCATGCAGTGTGAAAAATCCGTCTACCCATTCCACGACGGTGCCATCGAAGACTTTCGACCTATCTTCCAGAAGCTTATTGATGTCGGTTACCATGATCTTGCCATGTGCCCCTTATTAGCGCAAGGGTAACATGCTCACTTTATGATAGGAAAACATCAACGATGCCTACACCGATGCCTACACACAGGCTTTCTTCCCGGTTGCTGAGGCCCTGGAGAATAAGGCCTCGGCTGCTTTGAACAACAACAATGTGGAGATGGCATCTGACCTGCTCCGGAGAGCCGCTGTGGTCTACCGTATCTCCCGCTTCCCTTATGTCGATCCGACTAGAGAGGATATCAAAAAAGAGGCCTTCAACCGACAGAAGAAGGTGTATCTAAAGGCAGCTTCCTTTTGGAAGCCCACCATCCAGGAGGTCATCATCCCGCACAAACATAAGTCGGCCACCGACGGTGCCTATGTTCCCCTCTTCGTTCGTGTCCCGGAACATGCGACGGCAGAGAACCCGGTCCCAGTTGTTGTGCTAATGACTGGTCTGGATGGATACCGCCCCGACAACAGTCAGCGCACCCATGAGATCATCAACCGGGGTTGGGCGACAGTTATCTGCGAGATTCCCGGTACCGCGGACTCGCCTGCCGACCCCAGCGACCCGGAGTCGGCGGACCGTCAATGGACTACCGTTCTCGACTACATGGCGACTCGTCCGGAGTTCGACATGTCCCGGGTTGCTGCCTGGGGTCTGAGTGCTGGTGGGTTCTACGCGATTCGCGCTGCACATACCCATCGTGATCGCTTCGTTGGAACTCTCGCCCACGGACCGGGGTGCCATTACTTCCTGGACCCCGAGTGGTTGAGCCGTGTCGATGACCACGAGTATCCATTCCTGTAAGTACTGCGACCTCATCTGCCATTGCCAGAGAGACTAATGGCACCTTCGATAGGCTCACTCCTGCCTGGGCCAAGAAGTACGGCTACTCCAACCCGGAGGATTTCAAGAAGAATGGCCAGAAGAAGTTTTCTCTTCTCGAGACTGGCATCTTGGATCAGCCTAGTTGCAGACTGTTGCTGCTCAACGTAAGGCCGATACACCCTCGAACTTCCATATTGGATACTGACCCATGATATGCAGGGTGTGGATGATGGCGTCACCCCCATTGAAGACTGCCTGATGCTCTTCAACCACGGAAGTCCCAAAGAGGGCAGGTCAGTCAGCTCCTTCCATATCTGTAACAACCTAGTACCTAACCCTCCCCTTCCACAGGTTCTTCCACGGTCTGCCTCACATGGGATACCCTCACAGTCTGGTCCCGTCGTACAAGTGGTTCGAGGATGTTCTGCGCTCACCCCAGGAGCCTCTCAAGAACTAGAAAGAAGGGTTATTTCCAACGCGTCGTACATATATAAATACTCGATATATATGTGAACGGCCAACTTCCAACTGAATGATCGACAATGAAAGTGATGACTGCAATGAGAGGAGAAAATGCGTATCTCTTAGTCTGCACAATCTTTACATGTCACTTTAGTAGTAAACCAGATTCTGACTGCCAGTTTCTGCCTGTCTTTCGTGAACGCAATGTCTTGACCGGAATTTGTTAGGCATTGGCAATTTGACTTTCCGCATCCTTGCCACCAACATGAAGCTATAAAAGAAGGTTCTCAAGTCAGCTCAGGGCCGTAATTTAACTCTCTCTTAGAACTAATAGTGAGTCATGGTCATTTGAGTGATAGTCAAGCTCTTTCCCCACCTCCCTCTCAATGACCCGATCTGAGACACGATTTAATAGTCATGAATTTAAGTTATCTCTCCAGACCCTGCTTTGCTTGATACTACGTAGCTTAAGTTTCCAAGACAGTTTCAGTTCCCCATCCCCCCTTGCAGATATTATATGCTCGTATGTCTTTAGAAGTAACCTACGCTCAGACATGGTTTCAAACTCAATGGCTTACCCCCCCGCTCGCACCCCCTCTCTACTCTGCCTCTTTTCATCGGTCTTGATAGTACGGAGTATTAATATTGTGCTTGATTCTTCGAGTCAAGAACACCAACTCAGATTCTGATTGTCACGTGCATCTATTCGTGAAATTGTTCCCATTGTTTATGTTGTCATTATTTATCGGAATTATTTCCCCACAAATATTTAGATAAGATGACTGTGTGCTTTATCCCCCCATCTCTGCTTGGACTACCTAGCCAGCTAATATTACCTAAGTATAATACCCCGTCTCAAACATCTCATGTTCCCAACTCGCCAGGATGAAAGACGAAGTGCCGAAGAGATTGTTATATTCGATGGGTCGGGTGGTGTAGTACTTTAACAGAAAAAAAAAACCCCCGTTAACATTCTCTCTCCCAATCAAGGGGGGGGCAGAAGAAAAAAAAAGGACTGGAAGGAAAATAAACACGTACCTCAAAAGTAGGATCATACAACCCACAATCCGCCACAGTCCCATCATACCCCAACGTACCATCCGCCTCCTCTTTCACGAACTCGCTCAGCAAATAATTATAGCACTTATCAGCGGCATCCGTATATGCCACCCCATTAGGCGTCTCGCCCTGTAAATACCCCAATCTGGCACCTTTGAGCAATCCGTACACGAACTGAGCTGATCCACTAGACTCAATGTAATTGCCCTCTTCTCCACCGTGCAACATAACCTGCCACCAGCATCCGGTCTCTTCATCGGCATCGTTGATGATCGTGTTAGCGACGTTCCAGTATTTGGTGTAGACGTCGTCGCGCTGCGTCTCGTTGAGTATAGCGCTGTTTTTGCCGGATCGTTCGAGCAGGTCTACGAGCGTCATGAACCAATCGCCCAGGGCGCGGTTCCAGACGTAGGGACTTGCGCCGGTGGTGGGGTCGGCCCAGGAGGCGGTCTTGCTGGAGTCGTAGCCGTGGAAGAGGAGGCCGCTGGAGTCGTCGTGGCAGTGGTCTTTGAATAGGTCGAGACTGAGAGTTAGGGAATCGGTTAGGGTGGTGTTCGTGGGGTCGAAGTAGGTTTTCCACATTGAGATGAAGGAGCTGAGAGGGAAGAGGCCTTCCAGGACGCCCCAGTTGGGGTAGGGGTTCCAGTACCAGAAGGCGCCTGGATATGATCGATGGTGTTAGTATCATGCTGTTTGGTTGTGTGATGTTGATGTGGATATCGTCTGACCTTCTGAGTCGCGGGTTCTGGCGTTAAAGGCATCGTGGAGGTTGTCGAGGGCTTGTTTGTAGGTATCGTTTGGGGCGCGGTCGTATCTAGAAATGCAAGTGTTGGATTGGATCTTGGTTCTGCGGTCAGCTAGTGGTTTGGTGATGACTTACTGGTGATACATAACATCTCCTGACGCAAATATAGTCAGCGGAGCATTCACAATAAACGAGACATCCTGCACGGCGGGGAGGAGGCTTTCGGCGCCATCTAGGGCATAACTGTGCCAATCCACCTGGCCGCAAGAATCGGCATCGTAGTACTCCTTCAGACGGGTAACGGTCGACTCGAATAGCGTGACCTGGGAGATATTTGGGTAGATATCATCTCCTGGTGTGAAGTCACCCAGAATGGCATCTCGGCGGGCAATGACGCTGTCTGTCATCCAGGCCGAGTATGGACGAGTGTCTGGATCACAGCTGATCCCCACCGCGGCGGCAGGCTGGGAATGCGACAGCAATCCCGTCAATAGGGCAGCGGTGAAGGAGAGAAAGGACTGGGTCATGGTGGCGCGGGGGTGGGAAACGAGGGGGGAGGGGGGATGTGGTACTGTTGAGCTGCCATCGTCTTAACCTTATGTATTTAGTGTGTTGAGGGGACTGAGATGCGCCATGTAGGAGAGGGACAGGACACCGCGGACGAGGAGGGAATCGTAGGACCCGCGGAGGGAGAGGACGGGGCGGCGTTCCTCGATAGTTCAATCGGGATGAAAGGGATGGTGGAGATTGCACGGGGAGATCGGTGAGCGTCAGTTGGGGAGATCGTGCACAACATTCATGAGTGAGACAGACAGCTCCTAGGCTTCCATGAAGTGGAATGTGAGCTGAGGGTCTCCGGCAGCAGCAAGGTACAAGCCAGAGCGTCGATTCAGCGTCAATGTGTTACAAGATAGTTGGGATCACTTGGTGCACTTTTCATTTGCGCCTTCAGGGCAATGCTGGCTCATTTCAACCTAAAAAACAAACGTTCTACGTACAGATCGGGCATAGCAAATCATATCATGAATCAGTTAGTTCATCCCCTGGATAACGAACCTCCAGACCCTGTCGATGTCTCTCAATCAATCAATCTGGTATCTTCTCTCCATTTGATTCCTCACTCCGCCCCAATCCATGCCTCTGTAGATTCAGTTCAGCTGGCACCGATCCAACGGTGGCTGAACTAGGAATCCAGGCGACACGACCAACCGTTCACGTTTAACCGCAAGAGCCATCCAACCCAAGTCGCGGACATCGATACCAGGCGATCTAGTTTGGTGTATCCTCGTCACAATTCAAAGAACCCAAAGAGAATCAGCATTGTATCTACCATCCATCAACCCGATTGGCATCCCAGGTCCGGACAACGGCTTGGGACACCGTTCCCAGTGTGGGGGAGGTCCGCAACCCCTTTCGCCCAAGTGCCTTTTGCGTCCTTGGGGATGTATCGCACAGAACTCAGCCGGCTCCTTCCTGTGCAATCGTCTCGTCGTTGGAAACCGGCACTGGCGTGCCATGCAGCGCTGCCAGGCGTTCCTCTTCCTTCCTCTCACGGATCTTCTCCGTCTCGCGCCGCAAAGCTTCCAGGTTCCACGTGCCATCATCCTCTTCCTCGTCACTGCTCTCGTCGTCAGCACGCCAGTTGCCCTCTTCGAACAGTGTCCGTCCAGTGGTTTCCTTGGCCTTGCGGGCCTGCTCCTCAGCAGCCTTCTTGTCAAGACGCTCCTTCTTCCATTTGGCGAATGTCTCAGGCGTGACGGGCGTCAAGTTGCCACTCAGCTTGTGACGCTCACTTTCCAACCAGTCTTCGAGGGTCAAGGTGTTGAGTGGCGACTTGTCCATGAGAGCCTTCTCGGCGGCCTTCTGTTCCTTCGTCTTCAGAACGAATCTGTAATCCATCAGTAACCGTAGGAAGCAGAGCCAAAAGATCAACGAGCGAAACATACCCAGGGGGCAAACTGTGCTTGTACATGCACTTGTCACCTCCATTAGGACAAGTCCAGAACCAACCGTACTTCTGGTTCTCGACAGCCTCAATGAAGTATTTGCAGACCTTGTCCGTAGTCGTACGCGGGTTACCGTGCTTGCTGAGAATGACCTTGCGCAGCTTCTCCTCATCCCAGTCATCGATGGTATCCTTCTTCTTAGCCTCTTCCTCGGTAGCCTTCACGTCTCGAGAATCGGTGTACAGATCCTTCTTAGCCGCCTTGCGCTCCACACTCGCGTCGTGACTGAACTTGCACTTTTTACCCTTCTCACAGTTACCCTGCTTGTAGAAAACGCAAAGCACAGTCTTCGGATCCACACCGAAAGGAACCTTCTGGACTTGCACAGGCTTGAACAGTTCCAAGGCTTCCTTCTTGGCCTGCTCGGAAGCCTTCTTCTCGGCCTCTCTGCGGGCCTTCTCGGCTTCCTTCTTCTTTGCCTCGGCGTTCTTGTTGGATGCCGCTTGAGCCTGTAGCTGAGCGATCTGTCTCTTGGCCGAACCACCCTTTTTCTGTACAGAGAAATACCGGTCAGTGGGCTTGTAATTTTCTCGAGGGTCGATGATGGATGGTGGAGGGAGAGTGGTGTGCGGGTTCTAGAAGGGCTCGTTACGTACGTTCTTCATGCCAAAGGTCTGTACAAAATCGCAGATTAGCATTTGCTCTAAAATTATATCGATAGATTAAGGAGCATGCGAACCTTATCCTCGACCGTGGCCTTCTTCTTCTTAGGCTGGTCCTGCTGCTTCTTGGGAGGCATCTTGGCGGATTTGTGTAGATTTGCACTCCTCTAATATGTAAAAAGAAATGTAGTAAAAAAATAAGATAGCGATAAAATTCTATGCCGGATATATAACTTTTGCGCGCCGATACGATGAGGGAAAACCTCCCAGAGAAACCCAAAGTTGAGGGAGGGGGAAAAGAAAGGGAAGAAGAAAAGATGCGCCGCAAAAGGGAAGAAAACCGCAACGAAAAATCACCAAAGGAGGGGTCGACCTGACGTCCCGACGGGGTAGGTCAAGTAATCTGACGACACCTCGGCTGTCTTTCTGATAGGGAAGAAGGAGATGGGGGGATATTAAAGATTGTCTAGATGAGGAGGAAGAGAGGGAACGAGAGGAATCAAACCGTGAGGAGGTGCAAGGTTTCCTCCACACTTTTCACGGTGTGGGTTTGCCAGTGTGGCGGAACAACTTCACATAATCGGCCTCTCCGCCAATCGAGTTGGATTCTCCTCCTTCCTCTCTTCTCACCCTTCCAACCAAACTCCTCACCAGACAGGTTCTTGTTCTTTGCGCTTTTTCTGTTCGCCAGAAGTGAACTTGATTGTCTGGTTCGACTGCCGCTAATTTCTGGGCTTTAATCACGCGACAGATACGCACTGCAAACTACACTTGGTGGTGGTGTTCTACGCTGTCCGGTCGCAAGTCTCGTTCAACGGTCCGACTCTCAGACCTTCTTCTCTACGCCTGGATCGCAGTCCAGGAATGGGCATTATGAGAGAAATATTCTTGCTAGTCATCTCGTCATTTCAATACCAATAAAAGGAAATAGTTCTTCAAAATTCCTTTTCCGTTTCCCTTCGCCTCTCGAGGCAGGCCACAAACCTGTCCAAGTGCGCCAGGTAGCTCCAAACCATAAACCGTGGTCATCAGCGGTATAGTATAGGTAAAAGAAAAGCTCAAAAGTTACAGCATTCGTCGCTCGCCGTTATTTGCTTTTTTTTTTTTTTATTTTGATTACTTGCTTGCGTAGTAGTCGTTGCCTATCTCAGTAGAAGGGCATAGCATTTAAGAAACCTCCTGGATCTTAGAAGACTTGGCACCCTCGGCCTCGCCCTCCTCCAGCTCGGGCATCTCCTCTTCCTGCTAATAGTGTCAGTGACTGGACTTCTTCGTCAATTGGTGAAGTTTGGTGGACAACATACCTCTTCTTCCTCTCCAGGAACACCGGCATCACCGCCGAGACCGGCACCAAGCTTGGAGAAGTCAATGTTGGAGAGACCACCCTCGCCTCCAAGACCTTCGAAGCCTCCGAAGTTGTTTGCGTAGTCGTCCTCGTTCACCTCGTCTTGCTCATCCTCGTCAACCCACTGTCTCTTAGTCAGCTCTCCCTGTTCCTAGATCCATGCAAACTAGAACCAGTTATCATACCTTGTCGAAGTTGGTCTTCAAGAAGTGGATCTTCTGGGTGGTCTTCAGCAGACGCGGCCAGTATTCTTCCTTGAGCTCCTTCTTGCGCAGAACCAGCTCGACCTCGCGGTCACTGTGGTTGACCTTGCTGTTCTCGGGGTCGATCTCGGCGAACAGATCGAGAGAGACGTGGTATTTTACGCCCTTCTTGGAGTTGCCTGTGAAAGTAACATTGGTAGGCTTGATGTCAAGGGTTGCGTCAGAACGGGCAACATCAGCAGCCTTGATGCTAACATAGAGGTAGTTGCGCTCGGGGTCGCTATCCGAAGAGCGCTGAGCCCATGTGACTAGTAAACACCCTTGTCAGTACCTTATGCTCGCCGAGATGAATGTACGCATGTAAATATAGGCAGGGCGATAATATGAGAGACAACAAGGCCGTTGTATGGCATGATGCTTCCCAGTAGCCGAGACCCCCAGAAATGAAAATCCAGAGCGGGGAAGGAAATGAGGGACGGGAGGGGGAGTAAACTCACCTTCGGGGTGGACCTGAGGGAGTTCGGGCATTATGATGGTAGATAGCGGATAGGATGGGTTTGTTTAGAAGGACAGAATGTAGCAATCTCGTCAGAAGCGAAAGAAGGGAGGTGATGGGGGAAGGGGATGATGTCGGGGGCTAGACGGATAGTGAAGTTGCAGCAGCAGGCGGTTGCTCTTAGCTGCTGATCGCCGGCGAGTCACTAGTAATGAATGCTAGAAAGTACTGGAACTCTCCCGCCGCCCGTTTGTTCTGTTTGCGGCCTCTGGGTGCCTGAGGCTCAACGCTGCCCAGCGACGTCACTGCCCCCGTCCATATCTGGCTGACTCAGCCGCCGAGTGGAACAGCCAGACATCCACTCCATCCATCCCATCTTGGAGCCCAGGCACCGCAGCAGCCAGCAGCCATGCAATAGTCCACATCCGGGTTGGTGCGCCTCTACCACACGTTTCCCCGCCAGCTTGCTCCATCGGCTGTATTTCTCCATTGTCGGAAGATCAACTGCCACTTTCTTCACCGCATAAGTGTGTGGGAAGACCCTTGACCACCTCGATTTCACACCCCGCCGTATTGCAAGGTCACTTCAGATTTGACCGATTCAGCACCCTGACAAACTCCCACCCGACTGTTCCCGCTTCAAGCCAAAGTAGACATTTTTGCAGCTATAGATATCGATCTGTGAACCCGTATCATCCTCGCGCCAGTCAGCATGGAGACCCTCAAAGCAGTCTTTTTCGGGCCGGATCCTCAAACGCAGGCAAGTGCCTATCCTAATGAGCGACATGGCGCGCTGCTGACTATGATTGCTGTATCTAGATGAGGAAATGTAATCAGCTTATCCGCGCCAATACGCGACAGTTGGATCGTGACATCGCACAACTGAAGACTCTGGAAAGCAAGACACGACAGTACATCATGAATTCATCGAAGCGGGCCCAGCGCAATCCCTCCCAGGCCAAGCAGGCCAACATGGAGGCTAAGACATTTGCGCGAGAGCTTGTTCGCATTCGCAAGCAGTCCACCCGTTTACACACCAGTCGCGCCCAACTGCAGAGCGTTCAGATGCAGGTCAACGAGGCCTTTTCAGTTCGGAAGATTCAAGGCAGCTTGAAGAAGTCGACGGGCATCATGAAGGATGTCAATACATTGGTCCGGATGCCCGAGCTGAATGCCACGATGCGTCAGCTGTCAACGGAACTGGTGCGGGCCGGAATCATCGAGGAGATGGTCGATGATGCCATCCCGAACAACGAATTGCTGGAGGAAGAAGAAGATGAAGCAGAGGAGGAGGTCGACAAGGTCCTGCAGGAGATCCTGCACGGCAAGCTGTCTCAGGTCGAAGGGGTTCAGCCCGAGAAGCCATTGGAAGAGGCTCCAGAACCGGAGGACGAGTTCGCGGATCAAGAAGCGACACTCGAGCAGATGCGGGGACGCCTCGAAGCCTTGAAGAGCTGAGGAACATTGAAGACGATTGCTTGCATCTGCGTCTTGGCTTATGTGACAAGAACAGTGGATTCCATGATGCCACTGAATACGGGTTTCTTTCCTTTCATATTGTGAACGGCGTTTGGGTAGGATGGCGGGCGTCTTTGGGATGATCGTAAGTACCGGTTGAGCTTATTTCGTCCTAATGTTGACTACGGGACTGGCCCTTCATTGGGAGCTTTGAGCGGATTGAGCTGTTTCTGTTGATATGAAGAATCTCCCCGAGAATATCCCTGCTCGTAAATATACATTATCATCTTTTCTTCCATGCAACTTCGGGTTCGACTGGGCTTGATTGCTCTAATTGAGTTTTTGGGCAGCAGGGGCTCTTGGCGGCAGCGGAAGGTTACAGATAAGCGCGAGCTTATGAGTCTGGACTCATATCTTTATTGGAATGAATATACGAGATTAGATTGCATAGTTGGATAGCGTTGTCACATTAGCTTGCAGTAAGTTGTAGATGAAGCCATGATCTGCTTGGGCACAGGCAAAAGGGAGGCAGTGTTGTTTGCAGTGTTGGCCCAATGGGCCCAATGGGGACTAGCGCGGTGGGCAGGTGGCTCAGCCTTTTGGGAAGAAGATCCGGCTGACGAACTGAAAGGGAACTGAACCTCCCGCCTTTCCCTTTTGCTTATCTTCTCCATCCCTCCTCCGTTTCCCTTCCCTTTCATCCTCCATCCATCCATCCTCTCCATTCCCGACATCTCCATCAACCCACCCTGCAGCTTTTATCTCCACGCGCTGCAATTCAACAGTCAACGCGACATTCTCGCTTCCTGCCCGTCGTCCAGTTTAATCTGCCAGCTTCTGGACACCGTTGCCTCCAGAAACAAGCCCGTCCCAGCGTCGCGATTCTCCGTGGCGCAACACCTGTAACACTCAACACTCTCGTGAAATCTCATCACCTACCGACACCCAACTCTACAAAGTTTCATACTCCGCTTCTCATCATGTCTGCCAAGTTGGACAAGTCTCTCGACGAGATCCTCGTCAGCCGTCGCCAGGGCGCTCGCCGTCGCGCTCGTCGCTCGGCTCCCAAGGCTGCCAACACTTCTGTCCCGGTCGGAGGTGTGAAGAAGACCACCAAGGCTGCCAAGGCGCCTGGAAAGGCTGTCCAGAACGGACACCCGGTCTCTACGGAAAGCAAAATCATGGTCAGCGGCTTGGTGAGTATCCATCCTGCTCTAAATCGATGACCATCTACTAACGTTTCTAGCCTTCCGATGTGAACGAGGCCAATATCAAGGTATGTTGATCGAAAGGCCTTGGCCTTGGGTTTCTATCGCCATGTTTTCTTCTCGAAACCTTCGAGGCGCAACGGCTTTCGCGCGCGTTTCGATCCTTGCCACGTTATCTATATATATTCTTATATCACCGTCATGGATTCTTGGTCTTCAGCATAGGCAGCAAACTCAGAAAACTTCGCATGCGGTAATTGCACGCTGGCACCCTGCGAGTCCGCCGAAGTTGGAGTTCTGCCGTAGTCTTGCGAAAGTCGTGTTAGCTCGGGCGGATCTTTGCCTTTGGAGCCACGCAGCAGACTGTGCCACAGATGGTTGTTGAAACACACCATCTTTTGAAACCAATCCGATTGGCTACACCCGTACAAGTTCCACATTTCGAGGTGTCGGGCATCAGCGAGCGCATCAGCCTACCAGCAGTGACCGACTAGTTCGGCAAGTGATCAACTGTCAAGCATCATGCTACCGGCGGTCGGTATGGGAAATGTTTCGAAATCGGGCAGGAAAGACGCATCTTCCCATATCACCTCCGTGAGACAAATCATGTCTTGTTCTCCCTATCATGGGCTGCTAGAGAGATTCTGGGGGAACAGAACCATGGATTTGCCGCACACGTAGCCTTCGTGTTGTCTGTCCCCGGGCAAAGGTTGTTGGCTACACAGTCCGTAGCTTCTAAAGGCCAGCCCTTTGTCTGGTTGCGAAAAGTTCGATGACGACTGCTAAGTGGGTTAGTTTGGAAGCGGGACACACGATACAGTGAAGGCTTTCGAGGGAGTTCATCGTCGTGGTTCTGGTATAAACGCTAGCAGCTCTGTGCTCCGGATATGACAGTGTCTCGGTGTTCTGGAATGAACGGCCATCCGCTGATTACTACTAACCGCCGCTGTGTGCTCGCTGGTGCTCATTGGTATCGCGTTTCAAGCCGGTGTCACGCGTTCTTCGATGTTTTGGCTCTTCGGGATTCCTTGCGCCTTCTACAATCTGTTGGCTCGACATACTAATTTGGTCTCCTGGTATAGGAATATTTCACAAAGTCCGCAGGTCCTGTCAAGCGAGTTATGCTCACTTACAACCAAAACGGCACGAGCCGTGGTATTGCCTCGATCGTGTTCAGCAAGCCCGACACAGCTGCCAAGGCTGCTAAGGACTTGAATGGACTCCTCGTTGATGGCAGACCCATGAAGGTGGGCTTTTCCTTCACGATCACTTTTTTTTTACGTATGGACACTAACGAGTACTAGATCGAGGTTGTCGTCGACGCCTCCCACGCTCCTGAGGTCCCCGTCCCCAAGCCTCTGGGCGAGCGCGTTGCGTAAGTGTTTTCTACAGTTATCTGCTACTGGGGGATCATGACTAACCGCGATGAAGGCAAACCAAACCCCAACCGAAGCCCGCTACCGCTACCAAGGCTGCTGCTGGTGCCAAGGGCCGTAAGGGCCGTGCTCGTCGCCCTAACGGCCGTGGCAACCGCCCTAAGCCCAAGACTGTGGAGGAGCTTGATGCTGAGATGGTTGACTACTTCTCCACCACCAACGAGAATGCTGGCCCTGCGGAGGGCAATGCCCAAGCAAACGGTGCTGCTCCCCAGCAGCCTGCCGCTAACGGCGGCGAAGACCTCGGAATGGCGGAGATCTCCGTAAGTTTTCTCAACGAGTTATTACATGAACCGGAGCTAATAAACTATCTAGTAAATGCCCCATCTAGCATTTGACTCTACATGACGGCGTGAGTCAATTGTATCGACTGCGAAGGGCCAGGCTTTGACTGGCCACTCGGCCAATCTTTACGCACTCTGGGTCTGCCGGTTGGATTCGAGTTTCAAGCTTTCGTTATTTCATCATTGCTCTTCGGATATGTCTTTCTAGTTCGCTCTGTTCTTTTTTGTTCTTTTTCATAATGTCGTCAGTGCTACTCGGATATCGTCGGTGGGATGGGGAAAGCCATGTATTTAATATACTTGCTCAATTGAAAAACAGCAAGCACATGTTTCATTGTAGTAGGCAATTGCTGTAGACCGTCTTAGTCATAGTTGTCGTAATATTGTGTATGTTGTGTGTGAATGTGACATTAGTTTACAACATATAAAAATGAAAGCAACAATGTGTCAGTAACCTCTAATTGCGGTGGATGTATTCGTTAGAAGGAAATGAGTATTATTACTAAACTGTCCAGCTCTACTATCACCTGATATTCCTACTCGTAAGTAATAATAAGGGAAACATGGAGAATTGACCATGCTATAGTGATCACAACAGTTAAGAGTTCGATATTTTAGATACATACAAAGCCCACCCACCCACCAACAACAGACACAATCATAATAACAAAACAACCACAACCCCCATCAACTCCACGTCCCATTCGCAGGCCCGAAATACCCAACCTCCGGCATAGACTTATACGCCACGCCCTCACCATCCGCAGTATTAACATAAACAGTATTTCCCCACCAATCAGGAAACACCGCGCCGGGATACGAAATACAAAAGAAGATGACGATGCCACTAAGAGCGAGACCGGTATCGAGGGCAGCAGCCAGAATATAGTTGTATTTCTTCCACCAGGCGAAGAAGCGCTTCTTGATGAAGTGATTGAAAGCGAAGTTCACAAGGGCCCAGCTGGAGTAATTGATACCCGTGGCAGGAGGGACGTTGTAAGTTCCGACGAAGATGAGGGGCCAGTTGACGTATTTCCAGAATTGTTTGCGGGTGTATTTGTAGAGGAAGTAGGTGATGAGGGGGGCGATAGCGCCGATCCAGAAGAAGTGGAGGAGGGAGGAGTAGATGCGGCCGACGGAGTAGAGACGACGGGGGCCGACGAGGCCCCAGATGACGGAGGAGGAGTAGACGGTTCGGCCGTTGGGACAGGTGAACCCGTCGGATTGGTCGGAGGAGCAGATGTCTTGGATGTGGCCGAGCATCCAGATGGTGACGCCGGCTTGGGTGAGGGCGCCGAGGATGGTGGCGAGGCCTTGGGCCATGAAGAGGGTGCGAGGGGGGATTTTGAGGTAGTGGCCGAGTTTCATGTCCATGGCGAAGTAGACGCCTTGGCCGACGACGTCGGTGCTGAGGATTTTGAAGATCATGTTGGCGAGGGGCTTGCCTTCGAACATGTAGCCGCCGATGAATTCGGCGAGGACGTTGAGTTGGTTGGCGTCGACGTTGGTGATGCCTTGGATGATGCCGCAGGGGATCATGTAGATGGCGGGGATGATGAGGCCGAGGAAGACGCCGTAGACAGGGAGTTTGGTGTGGTAGACTTCGACCATGACGATGGCGATGGCGGTGATGATGGCGATGATGGCGGCGTACCAGTACCAGGGGGTCTTTTTGTAGGATCGCATGAGACGGGCGTGGATGTCGAGTTTGTTTTTGCCTTTCAGTGCGGCCCAGACTTCTTTGCCGTGCCAGACGCCGATGTGGGTGAGGACGGCGGTGATGGAGGCGAAGGATAGGCCGTAGACGAATGCGTATGTTGCGGGTAAGTATGGGGGTGAGTATTGTCGGTAGGCGTCGACGTCTAGGGTGTTGTCGGCGCTGATGACACGGGCTGTGTCGTAGACTGTGCCGGTGCGGTCATAGACGTCGGCAGTCATCAGAGGAAGATAGGCTGTGAACCATGTGTTGGAGTAGTAGATTCCTGGAACGACGATCCAGAAGAACAGGGCAAAGCCGGCGAACACGTTGATGGCCGCCCAGGATGGTGACAGCAGGGGGTTCGTGTTGTAGGCAACCTGGCTCCAATCGAATGTAATAGGACTAAGTCCCAGGCCAGTCTGCATTCCGAATAACTGGTTCACGACCACATTGCGAGGAGCGATCCAACAGATCCATGTGAAGTAGGAAAGGGCAGTGAACATCAGTCCTGGGAAGAAATACCATACGAAACCACCTGCGGTGACGTAGAGGAAGAACCGCAGACGGGAGATCTTCCAGCCATTGGCGACGGTGTTTGCACGCGAATGAAGCGTCTCCAGCATGGCACAGTTCGAAAGGACCTGGGGCCAGATGATCCTTGCTGGCTCAACTAGCCATGGTGCAGCCAGGCCGGCCACTCCAAATCCCAGCAGCTGTGCGCAAAGGACCACAAGGACAGAGAAGCCAGCTGAGAGACCGAAATTGTAGAACCTAGCGCTCGATGCCTGGATGATATTGGTGGAATCTGCGCTTCCATAGCCGAAAGATACGTTGCTCATGATGACGATGAGAGCATGTTCTTTGATGTTAAAATGGCGATCTGGGTTGAGGGTGAACGATCCCAGCCGTCCGAGGCTTATGGTCCATAAAGGCAAAACTTTGGCCAGGAAGACGCCGCACGGATAGGCAAGTAGCTCTGCTACCAACGACACGATATGAACCGACGGGTACCGAAGCGAGAAGAACTGATTGATCCCCGATCCAACGATGGTGAAGATGAATCCAAGCACCCACATGCGGAATGTGTTAACGGGCAGGCCTGGGTCGTCCGTCTCAGGGACGACGGCGCGTACTAGGCGTGTCACCCATTAGATGGGTCAGTGTGTATGTGAAAGGCCTCATACCTTCAGGGAATGGCGAATGCTCTGATTCATAGTCAAAATCATTTTGCTCCTTCTCTTGTTCAGAAAGGTCAAAGTCCGGTTGTATTTCTTCGAAGCCGCCTTGTTGCACCTCAACGTCCGCGCTGATTTGCGGGGATTTGAACGATTTCTCATTCAGCTCTTTGGAAGCCATCTCCGCAGTAGTAGTCATCTGTCAATATGGCCCTGAAGCCGAGTAGATGAAGGCGGGATACCGCCGACATCGCAGGAGGACATAACCCCTCCTTTTAAGAGCAGGCCGATCAAGAGAAAGCTTGAGTCCTTATCGCCACGCGTGGTGTCTTGCAGCACCTGAGCGTCGTTAGCGTCTGGGCAGGTGTAACAAAGCCGATAAGAAGCATGTCGGTAGTGTCTATCTTGATAACGGCCGAGGTACCCTGCAATCAAACCCCCGGAATGCGGAGAAGCTGGCCTCGTGAATTGTAATGTTACACAGCTGATGCGACCTTTGAAGAAGCTCGAGGCATCTTCACAATTTGCGAATCGTCGGATACGATGAGTTTTTGTCACATCAGTCAGTTGATTCCTCTTGGGAATTGTTTTTCCTTCGCCACATTCCGAGTAAATTGAGAGTCAAGCGTTTTGATAAGGCGTGCATCATTCCGATTGGGAAACAAGACCGATAGCGTTATCGCCGGTGCAATGCCAAGTTTGGCGGGGGCGAAACCGTGATAGTGTTAATGCAAAGACGGCTCGCAATCTAGAGCCTAGATCTCACTTGTGCGTGATGCTCTTTCTCTTGGATTGTGGGACCTCAGTGGGACCAATGTTCCAGCCCTATCTTGATGATAAATCTTTCTGCTTATTGGCGGTCTTTCCGACTGGCTGGCTGCAGTAGTAGCGAAGGAAGAGCTCGATAGGGTGATGCTCAAGTCCATCAAGCTCTAGCACCTTGGTGTACTGGATGACAACCCGTTTTCCATTATGGTGTGCTTGCAAAATCCGTCCTTGCTTTCGATTCAAGTATGATATAGCCAGAATCTAAGCTTTTGTCAGATGTGTGTCCAGATTGATTAGAAAGGGGCTTGTGAATGACTTACTGGCATGATCGAATGCCGCCGGTAGCAGTCCAGCCCTATGCGGACTGCCATAACCCTCATAATGGCCTTCACTTCGGCCACTGTGAGCCCCTTTGTCTTATCGATCTGAACATTCTGACGGATATCGCATACAGCATGGGGCACTTCATGCTCCAGGTCTTCTAGAATGCGCAGTATTTGCCAACTCTCGGTAGAAAGCTTTTCGACTAGTTCGAGGCCTGGCTGCTGCTTCCACTTGCCCTTACTAGTGGCTCTTCACTCAGTGTGTTAGTTAAGCAAATGAACATATGGGAGGTTCGTATCAACTTACCCACACTCGCGGAGAGTTGTCAGGTTATCCAAGCAGAAACCTTTGCGGACGGAGGTGGCATATTTCTCTCGGAAGAGATCAAGGATAAGTGGGCATTGAGTGGCTGCACTTGAGCATGTGATTCCACGTCCTGCATAGCCTAAGCTACCTCCATCTGAGGTATTCTTGCATAGCTGCTTCGAGAGGCATGTCCGTATAGTGTCAGTCGATAATGGGGAGAAAAAGCACGGTTTGAATTTGATTATATCTCTGCTGTTCATGTTGACTTCAGATGCGTCGATCTTCAGCTTCAGTAATTGCCATGGCCTCAAATATCCAGCTGAGTGTTGCTCAATCCCAGCATGGGTTGCGATTAGTTTGTCCTGTATTCTCTGGCGCTTCGCTTCTTGTGAGAGGTGAAGATGGAACACCGGCATCTTGTTGTCGCTAGTCAGTTTGTGAAGGGAGAGGTTGAGGCTTTCAAGTGGAGAACGAGTTCTTTGATGCATATTGTAGGGAGCTGAGATGAACGAATCAAGTGTTATAATGAGTTCGATAGGTTATTAGTGGAGAATTGAATCTAGACTTGCGAGTCGTGAGAAGTCGAAGTGGACGAATGAAGTGGTATGATGTATGTTCGTTGTCCTTTAGTGAAGCTGGCACTACGCCACTGTTACAATGTCAGCCCTTCTGATCTCAAGTGCAATGATAAGCATTGAATCATACCAGTTCTTGGTTGCTTTTGATACCCTCGTTTGCAAAAATTATAGGAATCGCTGGCACGATAGTGGAATATCTCATAATCTAAATCTAGTAGCATATTTCCCCTAAGCAGGATTAGACAAAGATACCATATTGTATTCTAATTCCTCTGTGGCTGGCAGATGATGAGGATGAGCTCATCGTAGAAAATGATGGAAGTGATGGAAGTGGTGTGATATTCGTTGCGTAGCCGGAAGGGTTTCCTTTGTAGGAAGGAACATTATCAACGAAACATCTCCGTTAAAAAGACAGATGAGTATAAAGACAAGTTCTTTCTTCGGGATGGTTCCACCCATAGCAAATTTGCGAAACTCTATCTTGGACTGGTTGTGTGATGTGGCATCAGGGAGAGAGCTACTTGGTGGGCAGATCCAGGGGAAGAACTCTCCGTGGGAGCAGGTGACCGGTGAGTTCTACTATACTGCTCTGACACTCTCTGCAGACCTATTCTTCTGGGTTTAAGGATGGCATGGCTACGAGAATGAAATTTTGGACTAGCAATAGTCAAAACCAGCTTTTCATCAAACGCTTTGGCGAGTCAGACACTAAGTTTCTGGTAATAAATATCCCAGATGATTCGATAAACGGTTTAGAGCACATTACTTCATCCTACTCATCCCACCCATACACTTGATCGCAAGAATGGCACAAATATTCATACTCTTCATCCAGTCAGAGTCATAGGAGTACGGATAGAGGGTCTTCACAGGCTATCTCCTCAAGAGCAGTAAGGGCACCATGTCCCTCAGGTCCAGTGTAGGTCACCTTCGTCTGACTGTGGTCCATGATTGTATTACGATTCCAAAGAGTGACGAGTGAGGTGCTCTAGACTCAATAAGCGAGGACATTAAAGACTGAAGGGATGGACTCACTATCGAACCTGTGTGCACGTCCCAAGACAGATCTACCTCTTCCAGGCGAAAGTATTTCCGCTTCAAGTCGCGCAAGAATCTCCGCCACCAGGTATATCTGAAGATAATATTCTCCATAGTCAGGACCCGCAAACTATGGCAATACCTATTCAACTTTGGCTCAAGCAAGCGATGGCCCATGCCCGTAACATTGTGTAGTTTGATTACCGCCAGAGGTCCAATTCGAAAATACTTACCTTCCAAGACATCATAAACGACATCTTCTGCATAGGCTTTTCCAAGATCAAGTGAGACCTCATTTACTCCGTAGGGGTAGGGGGTATATAGTGGAAGTAGATGTATTTTACAAAGCCACGGCTGATTGCTATGTTTGCGTTGACTTTGAGTGATATGTCGGTAACTCTTAAACTTCCATAGAAGCGATCAGAGACAGCATAGGACGGGAGACTCTCAAGACCGCCATGTAGAAGCGAGGGTAAGTTATCTGTCCTGAAATCTAATGTGAGCGAATTTAGGGAACTTTTAGTCTCACAAAACGCGTATAGCACTGAGTAAGTCATGTCAATAGCACCCATCCATGCGAATTGATAGTCTATGTGCTTAATATCCACTGCAGAGATCCGGAGAATGCGGCATTGTGTGAGCTTTTTGACGACTTTTCGCAAGTCTTCCGAGGCTTGGGATTTCAGGGGACACGACGGGAGAACACGATAACCAAGGCCCAGAGGTCCTCCAGAAGAACTGCATATTGACAATTCTTTAATAGCTGAGGCTTGCTTTTCGGTGAGCGTCATCAACTGCCGCACATGCCGCCGGGAAAGGTCGGTACAGATTGTATGAAGATTGATCTTGTTGAGCGGGTCGGCACACACTTGGTAAAACTTTCGGCAGGTGAAACGCAAGGGGCAAAGGTCCAAATAACCAAGATATGAGAAGATCAGATGATATACCTCGAGTGGGAGGTTGTCAAGCTTGGTTGCATCTTGGGAAATGCGGGCCGTGACACTACGCGTCACTACTCGCCAACGGTGAGTACGGGATCTAGTACATGACATGGATGGTACTCACTGTAGACACGTCTAGCATTGTCGAGAGCCATCATAGGATGGTCTGATGACAAGTGTCTGTAAACCTTGGGTGGTATCGAGTTGCCTGTTTCCAGGAGGTCAAGAGATTTCCAGGGCTAGGGATTCTGAAATGAACGTGGATGTACATCGAGGATACAGAACAAGCTGCAGAGAGGAATATGGCTGTCTCATAACTGGTGCGTAGTGCTACTGGCATGGTTACCTAACGATGAGTTTCTAGGTCAAGATGACGAATGTATGACTTTCAAATGATGGTGCACGTCGGACTTTAAATTTGATGATCCTTCTGGGTCAACCAAGATGGATGGTGTATTATTCATTGATTCGTATAATCTATCATTTTCCATTCTGGCTTGCAAGCCAGGCTTCGTGGGCCTTCTTCTGGCGCTCCCAGTCTTTCCGGAGCTTCTTGCTCTTACTCTTGGCGAGAGGCTCGCCCGCAGCATCTTTCGTGGGAATGCCGTCTTCGTCCCAGGCACTGTATTCGCTGGTGCGGAACATTTCCACGGGATTGAGCTTTCCTTTCTCGAGCCGTTCCTGGGCAAGCTTCTCTTGCTTCTCCTTCTCTTGCTGCTTCAACAAGGCTTTACGAGCCTGTTCCTCGCGGGCCTGCAGCATATCCTTGGTGACAGGACGGACGAGCGCGGGCTTGTTTTCGCGGTCTTCCAAGTAAATGCCCAGGTTAAATAGATCGACATTACGCAAGCGATCGCAGAGAGAAAGTATGTCCTTGGAAGCCTGCTTAGAATCGTCCAAGCTTAGCGAGGCTAATTGAGAAGTGAAGTTGTCCAGGACTTCGGAGTAGGGCTTGTCAGAGTCGGACACGGTTGCTTCCTTGGTAGCAGAAGTGTCCACAATATCCTTCACCTGCTCAGCGGTGATGGGAGTTCCAGACATGGCAGCTTGGCGCAGAGTGTCACGCATGGCAGACAATGGATATAGGAAACGCTTGGCTGCTTCCGGAATGTCAGTGCCTTCCCAGCCGATGCCACAGTTATCAGGAGAGGCCGCGCCATTCAAACCAAAGATAGTGACAATCTGGGTGACCCATGTACCCATGGATTCGACCACCTTGAGATCCAGGGTTTGGCTGTCAAGAGCGTTGAACGTCGTGACCAACTCAGAAATGGCGGCCATGACCTTGGGGGTGTCAAAGGAGTCACAGAAGTATTCGTGGACCTTTTCTTGTGTGGACTTGAGGGCCTGTGCCAAGGTCTCGGATGAAGAAGTCGGCGCCTCGTCGGAGGAGCGGAAGCTGGAGGGGTCTTTCGCTTTGACAAAGAAGTTGTTGAGCTTTTCTTCCCAAGACGAGGCATTCTTGATGAGATCATCGGTGATCTCGACACCATCACGCCACCCACCAAGCAAGAAGACAATTCTCAAACTACGAGGAGTGTAGTCACCGCGCTCAAGAGCTTCCTTGACAGTGGTGAAGTTCTTCAAAGATTTCGACATCTTAGAACCCTGGATGGACAGGTGGCCCATATGCAGGAAGTAGTTGACCCACTGCTGCTTATGCTCGCACCAGTAGGCTTCACTCTGCGCAAGCTCGTTGTCGTGGTGAGGGAATGCAAGGTCAATACCACCGGAGTGGATATCAATCTGGCTACCAAGGCAGCTCGATGCCATTGCCGAGCACTCGATGTGCCAGCCTGGTCGTCCTTGACCCCACTTGCTTGACCAGCTGGGCTCACCCGGACGGGATGCCTTCCAGAGGGCAAAATCATCCGAAGACTTCTTCTCGGTTGCTCGCGACAGTGCGCCCTCGCCATCCCTCAGCAGAGGCTGGTTGTTGCGGTTCCAAGGCTCGAGTCGCGCATAGTGGTTTCCAGCTTCTTCGAATGCCTTGATGTCGAAGTAGACGGAGCCATCGGAGGTAACATAACCGAACTTGTTCGCGACAATCTTTTCGACGAAGTCGGCAATCTGCTGGCCGTATTCCGTGACTCTGGTCACAGCATCAGGGTCGAGGACGTTGAGATCCCGCATATCCCTCATGAAGTGATCTTCGTACTTCTTCGTCAGTTTCGTGAAGATCTCGTGCGCATCGCCAGGAATTGTAGACCCCTCCGTCACATCAAGGTAGAAGCAGAAGACATCCTGGGCGGCGTCGTAGAAAGCCTTGCTGGAGGCAGCATCGATGCCCGAGAGCTTCTGGGTGGCCTCCGCAATCGCCGACGTCATGGCTGTCACAGTCTTAATGTGCATCTTAATCTTGACCTCCGCATCACCGGGCTTCTTGTCTGCCTCCAGGGCCCCTCCCTGCAGAACAACTCCATAGACCTTCTCGGCTTCCGCGACAAAGTTCTCCGGCTTGGTTTCGGGATCGACCAGGGGAAGGTTCTTCTTGATGTAGGCGCTGTATGCTTTGCGGGCGGTCTCGAGGACATCGGGCGTAACGGTGGGGTGCTCGGCAATGTACTTGTTGAACAAGTGCTGTTGTCTACCGCGCAGGATGATCTTGGAGCCAGAGTCAATCCTCGAGAAGCTATTGTATCGGCGGGGTAATGACACATACCTTGTCATCGACATCGGTGATGTTCATGACAAACTCGACGTCGAACTTGAAGTAATCCCTGAGGATTCGACGCAGGATATCGGTGCTGACATAGTTTCTGGCATGACCCAGATGCGCATCGTCGTAGACTGTCGGACCGCAAGCGTACCACTTAACTTTCCGGCCTTTGGGGTCCAATGGCACAAAGGGCGTCTTAGATCTGGTGAGGGAGTTCCATACTTTGAGGGAGGGCAGACGAGTGTCGGGATGAGCAGGGGGTTGCTGCCAGGGAGGCTGTTGGCGACTCTCCATGATGGCCGAGCGAGAGAACCGGCGTGATGAAAAGAGCGACCGGCAAACGAGGGGTAATCGTGGTGGTGGCATAAAGTGTCTGGATGGTTACCCACCAGTTTTTCAGCAAATTATAACGACTTGCTTTGACGGTCTGCCACCGATTGGCTTCACCGCCGTCATCCCCGCTTTGGGCTGGGTCTCGTGACTGGCCATGACTCATTCAGGCACAGGACATGATTGGTTTAGTTTGATGCCATCTACTGTTTTGCTTGCAATCTATACACATACTCATTGCAATATACAGACTAATATACACTCTCGAGCGATACATATCAAAAGACTACTCAGAAGGGTGACACCCCATATACTCCCAGCACCTTTCCAACATCATCATCCCGCTCCCCTTTCACCACCGTCGCCACCCTCTCTCCTCCATCAGATGGTTCTGCAGCATTACGTCGTCGCAGTGATTCAGGATCACCGGTGAGATTCGTGGCACACAGCCCTGGATCGGCTCCAAACACTTTGAAACCTTCATCTTTGAGGCGACACATGTACAAGACCATCATCATGTTCAGTGCAGCCTTGCTGGCCCGATACTCCGTAGCACTGGCTATGTGAAAGGGAGATGACGGGTCTGCCGCACGACTAATGGAGCCTGTACTCGAAGATACAAATACAAGACGTTTCTCAGATGAATTCCGAAGCAGGTCGAGAAATGCTTCTGTCGTGCTAAGTGCTCCGACCACGTTCACATCCAGGATCTGGCGCATAGCCTCTCGACTTGGCGGATGCTTCATCGAGCTCATGGCAGCATTGTTGACTAGGATGTCAAGTCGTCCATACTGAGCTTTGATCTCGGCAGCAGCAGCATCCACAGACTGATCGTCAGTTACGTCGATTTGAATTGACGAGACACTGCCCTTGATACCGGGGACAGCCTGCAAGGTCTTGGCCGCCTCTTCACCCTTGACTGGGTCTCGCGAGCCTAAAATGACATGGTAGTTGTCGGAGAGGATCAGGTTCTTGGCCGTCTCGAATCCGATGCCCTGGTTTGCCCCTGGAGATGTTAGTTGAAACCAATTGTTGGGCTGGAAGAAGTACCTGTGATCAGGACCAACTTTTGCTCAGCAGACATGATTGGTACAGACTAATAGATATTCACGCAGTTTTAAGATGTTCTTGAGTGATTGCAACCACTGTCACGTTCAACACTATATACTGTGCAGTTCGGAAATATCAAGCCTTAACTCCGATCTACAGGAATGCCCATAACTCCGATAACACCGGCTTCGTCGCATTGAAGGATTCGGAGTTTGGAGAGCTGAGAGCTGCCTGCTCGAATTTTGGCTCACCTTAACGTATAGGGAAATAGGTTACTTTGCGAGCAGAATTGATGAGATGGATCATCACGCTCTATAGTCACCATTCTGCTTCGGGATTTTTGCCTTGGCAGGAACTGGCATACCATTCATGCCAATCATGCTTTAGAGCATCCCGGAGATCTTCAAGCCCATCAAGACCAATGGGATACTAGAGGGAGGGTATTAACCTCCTAATTGACCTGCGTTCCGATGACAGGGAGTGGACCTGGCATCACAGTGCATATGCTCCAAACCAGTCATGCTAGTCATACAGCAGCCACATGCTGAGTATCGAGCAGGACAACATATAGTTAAGGGAACGATGTGAATACCAAGCCCATGATGGGGCTGACCTCGATAACCAGACACATCCGACAAAAGCATAGGTCAGGCTTTTTCCACTAATATATACTAGTATGTAGACATGATCAGACTAGTACGTGCACTAGTCATGCCTTGAGGCTCTACTCTAGCGCATTGGTAATATTCTCGAAGGAGGCGATAGATATCGGCTCAGATCCACATGTGCACGGAGCTGCATATCGTGTTATGCTCCATACTAGTCGACGGAGGAAGCTTGTGCTATTCCTAGATATCTCCCCATTTCCGTGAGTTAGTTGATATTCAACAGGTCATTATTCCAATAGTTGTTTCTTCTACGGCTCTATCTAGCAACCTTGTTAAATGAACACCGGGATTCGGCAATATTTGAGACATCATTCATACTATGATGTGCGAGATATGCCCATCTCATAGTGATATTATTAGTATCCAGGCATCGCAGGATACAGCTATACTCTACCAAATAGATAAATCCTACCAGTGCAAATACCAATTATTCATTATCATCATGTAAACCTACATCTCCCAGCAATAACTACCCAAACTAGCTAAAACGAGCCTCTCATTATGATAGAATAAAGTACCCTTTCAACCACACTCGCTTCCTTGAAATCCTATAAATATCATCCATAAAAAAATGATATACAAAGATGATAATCGCACACCGCTCCGCGCCACCAGCATTGAAGAACAAAAGAACAACAAAAGAACAACCCACCCACACCCCCACCGAGGTCTAGATCTAGACCCATCCATCCATCCATCCATCATCATAGTCTAGTAGTCCCACCGCATCAACCAACATCAAACCCGAAAAAGAAGAAGAAAGAAAGAAAGAAACCAAGAAAGAGTTCAATAAAGTGATGCAACCATCCACAGCAAACAAGAAAACGAAACACAACAGAAATAAGTGTAGTACTTCTTTCACCGCTCAACCCAAAGCCACAACCTCCCGGCAAGGATGATACAATATACGTAGTAGTAGCTATCTTGATAATAGTAGGAAGTAGGGGATATCAATTCCCAATCTAGTTGTTAAACTACGTAAGTAGTTTAACCGTTGTTGACCGGCTACAGACACCGACCCGTGGGATAACGGTTATTCTTGATTCTATTATTCCCTCTTTTTCTTTGCTTTTTATCCTGTTTTTTCAACGGTCATGGAAAGTTAAAGATATTCCATATCAGTTTAAATCCTCAAATAAAATAAGTAGTGGTGGATATTCTATCCGCCGCGGGAATAGTAACTCAACCTCCATCCCACTACTTACGGCATACATCCCCAAAACCTGCTCTTCTCCAACACCCTTCCACTTGAATAGGAATATATCCCCACACCCACACTATTTACCCTTTACACAATGAAAAAACAGAGAAGAGAAAATAAACCTTAGACCAACGGCGTAACCATGACCAAACTCTTTTCCCCTCGTGTGTGCCGATCACACCAAGTAACGTAACTGTACAACCAGACTCCCTCCGTACATGGAATTCATTCCCTCACCGCCAGTTCACGGCCCCTCCCCCCCTCTTCGGTAGTTAGTTAGTAGACTAGCGGGAACGGAAGGAAAAGGAAAAGGGAAAAAAGAACAGGGAAGGGAAGGATAAACGGTAAACGGTTGCCGTGACACATACACTACCTGGGTAATTCTCACATGCAATTAGCCGATGAGATGAGATGAAGAAGAAGAAGCGGAGCGTGAGAAGGATGGAAGGCTGGAAGGCTTCTGGAACGAGGGGATCCTTGTTTCTTTCATGAGCTAGATAAGGTAAGCAACAAAGTGACGGTACCTAGGATTGAGATTAATTATTTAATTGGTGGAATTATTCATCATCGGATATTGTCCGTCAGTTAGCTTTCATCCTCATCCTTATTCTCATCCTTCATTATTTATCCATTACCTAGTGAATACTACAGTACTCTTACTTACTGTGTAGTAGTACCGACATCTCCCGATAACATTACTACATTCCTTATGGATTATACTTCGTAACGAAGGAATGAATGAAATATATTCCTATCCCATCAACACGTGGGCAGTCACCAACAAATAATTCCTAAGTAGTAGATAAATATATCTGCCGAACTCCCGACCGACCGCGCGCGGCGCAACAAGCGGCTTCCTGAATATTATCATTCTCTGATATTATCATATGCTAGCTAGCTAGCTAGCATGTGTCATGAAGAGTTAAGTAAGTAAATAGTTCCGTGTTAACCGATCTACCCGGTCAGACAGACAGACAGACAACACCCCCACTTGTTTCAAGGGTAGTAGCTTATCATGAATGGATGGATGATGGATGAGGGATGATGGAACGATGGAATGTTCGTTAGGCTTACTAGTACTAATCTGTTTACTTGGGTACCCAACCAACTAACCAACACTGCAGCAGTGCAGTGGTGTCATATCTGAGACAATCTGAATAATAACATTAAGGATTAGTTAGTTATAATATGACAGGGATGAAAATATAAACATTATTGATAGTATTAAAATCACCATAAATCAAGATATTAAACCAGGAAAAATAGATAATAGTATTTCTAATCAACCACTGCGTGGAAACGTTCCAGAACACACACTACTATACTTTACTGGTTTGTTACCCCTCCGTGTCAATGTGGGATGAATATTATTATTATTACTATATTATTATTTTTATTATCTTTATCGTCATCATGATGACGGGGATGTCCGGTTGTACGATAAGGCTTGATGTATGTACTCCGTATGTATGTATGTATGTGCTCATCTAGAATTTCTAATCATTCATTGAGTCATTCATTGTTTATTTGTAGTGGATTAAGAATAACTATTCAACTAGTTAAAGTATTTAATATTTAAAGAATATCCAAAGAAGTACTACATTCCACTGCTGTGTCACCACTTCCCATTCTAGATAGAGTAAATCGGTGGTTACATGGGCCGACGGACGGTGGGTTTGTGGCTATTATCTTGTGCGAGGGTAAATATATTTACTATCGATTTGTAATGAGTGGGATGAGGTGGCTTACTATGGCATACTTATTTACGGTGTAGATGCCAACCTGATTACGGAGTACTATGCCGTGGCTAATTATATCCATTTACTCTGTCTGAATATAACCGAGATAGTAAACATGAAGATTACTGTCACAATCACGAGTATATCCTAACCGCCCTTGGCGTATTTGCCACCCCGAGGTAGTAGTAGCAGCAGCAGCAGCTGTCAAGATGATCGGTGTCAAGCGACGTGCCAGAAATATGGGGTAAATGTGGATGAATCCATGTCAACGTGTCCATCATCATCATCGTCATCATCATCATAATTCTCAATAAACTCCGACCGCTATCGTACCCGATGGAACCCTAGCATCATTTCCACAAGGCTGAAAGCTTTACGAGGTCTCAGCAAACGAATCGAGCAAAGAGTGATGCTTTCATCGCGGCTCTGCGATGAGGCTCCAATAATACGACTCCTACTCATGCTACTCATGCTCTCCGTGTAACACGCGAGTGATTACCTGCTGACCCGTACGGCCTTCCCCATCTGGGGATCGCAATCCGCGGCGTCTCCGCGTGTCCGTGTAGATGATCGAGAATGAAACGTCAGCGCCAGCACTGCCCGCCCGCACGTTGCACCGACCAACCTCACTTTCGTAACCAGACGGAGTATAATGGCCTTGTCTACAGACCCCCCGCGTAGGACGACTCCTGCAGAGATTAAGCGGTCGGTCGCTGCATGGAACAACGGAGCGCATGCCGATATCGAACGCTATCGTAAGCTTGATAGTCGTGGTCAGATGGACATGAGAGAAAGGATAACTCTGGTGTCAACAGCAGTAAATGACGACGCCCACCAACAATAAACCTGCTCAAACTGCGGAGTTGCCGATTATGTTGCAGGTGGCGGGAATAGAACGAAACGAGTCAAGGCATAGTGACAGACTGACTCAACCGAGCGCATGGACTCCGTGCCGTCATGTCGATAGTACCTCCCTTTGACCTCTGGAGACGGCCCTATCCGGAGATCAGTTCCAAGCATAGTATCACTGTGTATGTCAACTCAAGCCACCTGTCCCCGCTCACCCTCGCCACATACCTCGCCTCACTCTGTATGTAGCCAGATAAATATACCACACATTCCAAATGCGACGCCACACATATGATCGGTCTCCCCCCGTGCGAGCCACAGGTCGAGGATCAACCGGGGAAGTTGTTTCCGGACTGCTCAGAAAGACCCGTCGCAGGGTCGTGGATCCCCAAGCTGGGAAGCTCTAGTTGCCAAACCGGGAACCCAGTGCAGACGGAACCACAGTCAGGCATCCGTCTGCTACATCCGCTGCGAGGAGTACACCTTATTTCTCAATCCGTGCTCCGGGACCCGTTCCCCGTCCCAGAATGTGGTGCAGCAAATGTGGTCCTCCCCGGACGGTGTGGTATGTGCTTTCTCCATCCCCAGATACTCCGGGGAGCAAGTGGTACCTTTAAACTCCGCGCAAGGCCGTGGGCGGGGCAGCCAGGGTGTGCGTTGTGAGGAGTCCAAGACCACGCTCCTGGATCTTCAGTCCTAGCTTCTAGTGCCTTTCCAATGTTTCATCCATAATTGAGGGATGGGGAGGGCACCCCCTTCCCCCGGTCGGCGATGCAAAAGTCCCGATTCCCAATCAAGACGAAACCACCATGAATGGATGCATCAATTTTCAGATGCCTAAGGTAGTCCAACCCAAGCGCTAGATCGATAACAAACACCACAAAGGTTGATTGTTTCGCCCGACCAACGAAACCGATGGCATGGCATCATGAGAACCAATAACGGGGGAAGCGGTGAATCACCGCTGTTTGGGAGCTTTGACAGTCCCTGCAGACGCAGTACCGCAGATTAGCAAGGTGGTGGTGGTAGGAGGGAGGGAACAGTGCAAAACACCGCTCATGGAGGGGTAGCACCGAGGCATCACCACGTAAGCTGGGAGCATGCCTTGCATGACGAGCTGTGGGTGGGTGGAAAATGCAGGAGGGTATCCGGGATCATGGGATGACGATGGACAAGGGGGTCAGCACCAATCAGTTGGATGGATCGCCTCGATCGGAACTGCATTTTGCATTTTGCAGTACCCAAGGTCGGGGACAGTCTGGAATGTTAGGCTTGCATACGCGGATGTACCTGGGTGGAGAACTGGCAAAGTAAGTCAATAAGTAAAGTACAGGTGTACCCCAGAGTGGGATCCGGAGTACTTCTGGTCAAGGAGGCCAGGAAGTATTCGGGAATGTACTTATGTATGCAAGTGCATACGTAAGTAAGCTGTACACAATCTAGGAAATGTGCAGCTGGAGTGGAATGCACATGCTCAGAGAGCTAGAGAGCTATGGAGAGATAGTCGTCATTGTCGTCATCATCGTCCTTCATCGAGATGATGATCCATTCACAGTGAGTGGATGTATCTTCAGGACCAGCTGAAGGTATCCAGTACTTTCCTGCTTGACTTCCACCCGCGGCGAACTACTGCAGCCACCGGGGCCGGGGGGAGATGTCCGGCTCACGGTGCACCCTGAAGAACCTGCGATACTTTCCCCAAAAGCAAAAAGGGGGCAAAAGTTCCTCCCCATGCTCTCTCCACTGCTACAGTCCTGGTCCGGCAGTTTGTACCGCGGTTCCGCGGGTCTACCCGCGTCGTGTTCTCCAAAATAGTTGCAGTTGATGAGTCTTAAAGGGCCGCGAGGGGGAAGGAAATACGGAAGTACTTTGGGTTGGCGGGGAGCTCAGAAAGCTACCGGATTGGGAAGAGACGATCCTCTGATCCCAAAAGGGGAAAAATACTTTTTATTTATTTACTTCATCCCAAAAGGGACGATCGCTGGGGCGGTGGAGACCATCCAATCCAGCACGGCGGTTCGATCATTCATCGGAGGCGGGTTCCGCACTCCCGCGAGTGAAAGAAAAGCAGTTGTGCATGAGCAGACTATTGACTGAGTGACTGACTGATCGTGGACTATCATTGATTTACTTCTATCTGATCATTTGCCCCCGGGGAAATTAGGGCCGAGGGTCTAGAGCCGTCGACGGGTTAGTACCTTTTCATTTACCCGTCAGTCAGGTTCAAAGGAAACTTACCCTACCCTCTTTAGCAACCGAGGTCTGGGCGCCGGCATCGGGTGTGTTGCTCCCAATCACCCGGTCGGGGCTATGTTACTCGTCAACTGACGGACTGACAGGCCAGGCTTTCTTGTCACAGTTCAATCAGTCCCGCTGGGCCGTTTCATTGTCCACCTGATAGCGCCAATCAGCACCGGTAGTATGAAGCCATTCAAGACGGTCAAATAACTAGTGTGCTTGTGATGGCTTGTGATGGCTGGTGCCCGGTCGGTCAAAGCGTATGCTATTTCAGAAAGAAAGAACTGAATCACATCTTCATTATTATTAGTAGGCGTTCTGGGCATGGTGTTGGTGTGCTCGTGATGATACTTTAGCATCGCAACTCGTACTTTGTCTGGGATGATCAGTAGTTGTGTCGGTTTGGGATGCTTTTCACACTGCATCATGTTTGTTAGTTGTGGAGCTGAACTGAGACAGACCATCGGCCAACGTACTTCACACAAAGGTCGGTTGGTAGGCAAGTTGTTAGTGACTAGCTGGGATCATAATTTAGTGAAGTTCTTTGGCGCGACTACTAGTTCCAGGGGTACATATGCAAAGAAGTCTAGAATTAGATCATTCGTTCAGGTCCACTACAACCAACGAAGTAGTACAAAGTACACTGTATGAATTTAGTAGGATGCATTGCATAGTGATTGATTGATCGCGACCCAGAATTGATAAAGCACACTCCGCTTGTTTGATATATATATATCTCTCTCTTTCGAACACATACTGCATGCCAGCACATGTACTCCGTAGATATGCATCGCATCGAGTCATTCATCCATTCGTTCGTTGTTCATTAAATATAGTACCACTAAGAAGTACTACTGTAGTACTCGATGCACACTGCATACACAATGCCATCCATTCATCTCATCCAGCCCCAACTCTGAAACACGCTGTCCCCTGTACGACTAGTCAGTCATCAACAACAACAAAACACTCAGCTGATCACAGGATGGCCAGCGATCCAGCCCTGCGTGTGCCTTGACAGAATTAAACTACTACTACTACTACTCCAACTACTACTACTAGAACAAAGGAAGAGAAATACTGTACTAGTTAGTAACTAAGGAAGGGGTGGATAAATCCAAAGCCCCCCAGATGCCGAGGCACTATCCCGCCCGGCAAGGCTAAAAACTACCCGCCTAGATTAACCGTGCATTTCGCCTCTCGACTCTAACAAAGCGCGACGGTCGGAGAAGTACTACTAGTAACTAGTGTGATCTTCATCAGCTAGGCTGGACTCCCACAAAGAGTAAGATCATTCTTTTGCCTACTGTAGTTATCCGAAAGAAGTATATTCCCGTTGTTGTTGTTGTTGATTTCTTTCACAGAGTTGCCTGGTCTGGCCATTTTTGGTGACTGGACGTGACTAGTTCGCGGGCTGAAACGGACAACTGCCGATGAGAGGGAGGAAAAGGGAGGAGGCATGGGGGGGGCCGTTACTGCTTCGCCTCCCCCAACTTACTGGCTGTACGGGGGGCAGGGCAGAGCAAGGCAGGGCAGGACAGGGCAGACCGCGACAAACTCAGACAGTGGATGGAATCTGGGGGTGGTGCGGCCCGTCAGATCAGATTTGGGGGCAGGCAGACAGACAGGCACAGCTGACTCTGGTTCTATTGATGCCAGTACATAGATAACTATTTACGAGACGAACTGTAAGTCCCCTACGCGGGTCCGAAGGAGTAAGGATTACGGAGCGGATAAATGGGCTTGGCGGTGGTACACAACGTCCGGGGTAAAGAAGGGTGATAAGTAAGTAGTTAGTAGTTAGTATCTCGGTAGAAACGCGTGGGTCGCGGGGGTGGGTGGATTGTTGAACGGGGAACCACACGTCTATGTACTCTGGGTCGTCCCAGGGAACACAACTGTCCCCCGGACACGAAATAACTTGACAGCAACGGATCCGGGGTCGGATCCGTGCAAGATAGGTTCCATGGTTGGGATGTTGAAATAAGAAGTTGTGCGCCGCCTATTGTTTAAGGGGATACTTACTGTTAGAGTCTATCATTATGTGAAGTGTATTGTAGAGTGTAGCGACTTTCCTATCGGGTTCTGATGGAGAAGTGGACATACACAGCCGGAGTAAGGTAGCAGGGCATAAGGGAATACCCGGGATCCACCGCGGATACCGCGCATGGATTAGGTACCCGACTACTTTACTTTGCTTCCCTGGGGGCGGATATGTGGTACTGAATGACCCTCTATCGAATTACTTTATTTCCTTTTCCTTTGCTTGCTTATTTTTGCCTTTTTTTTTTTTTTTTTTTTTTTTTTTTTTTTTTTTATGTACTCTGTTATCGCGGCACGAGCTGATAACAATAATCAGATGTCGCAAAAAAAGGAAACCCAAGCAATTCTCGTCTTGTTTGCCTCGAGAATCCAGCACTGCCAACAATCCCCATGTCCATGTCCGTCTCAGCCAATTTCTGAGGCGCCCGCCCGGGTATTTGCCTGCCTGACCGCCAGACCACCACCACCACTACCCCCAAGAAAGAACCCATGTTAGAAGGGAGTTGAAGGGGAGGGTAGGGGAGGGATGGGATGAGTTGTAAAACCAACGCGAGATGCAAAAAGCCTAAACGCATTTGAAACCATCTGAGTCACTTGGACCCTAAGCAGTGCCGGTGCTAAACTAGTTACTTACTATTTTACTTTTCCCTTTTATCCACATACTAGTACATGCCTACTACCGTTATCGCCAGATGTATATACATACTTGCATACTCATACAGACGGGCGGATGTATGTCGACATCCATCGGAAGCATGCTGTGGTGTTAGTTGCTGCGAAGATGCCAAACAACAGACTGAAGCGGTGAGGTCAGAGCGTGCTGATTCGGTCGCGGAATTAAGGGTGGTGGTGATGATGATGCTGTACATTGGCTGCAGGGAGGGGAAGGGGGGGATTGGTCTGAATGAATCGTTGGACTGACCGACAGATGGCTGATAACCTGGTAAACTACACAGACCGCAAGAACCCGTTGCGAGATGCACGAGAACCCAACACCGCCTGTCGCTTTGTGCTGAGGATATCGCGGATCAAAGCGTTTTTTTTCTTGATTTTCGTGTCGGCTACTGTATTCCGTACTGGACTTACTCCTGGTGGTGTTTACGTAGCGGAGGAGACAGCAAGCAGGGCGGGGTTGTGAATAATCATTTAGTTGATTATCTTACGGTGTACAGCCTGCCTGCCAGGTTGGAAGTATGAAACATCCGCCCGAAAAATAATAATCAATATTGGGGGCAGACGGAGTAATTCACAATTGAGGCGATGTTTCTCATTTAAATTAATATCGTCAGCCGCCGAAAAAACAACACCAAATAGAAGGATGGATGAATGATGAGCCCCCACTGTCAGTCTGTCAGTCAGTCACCTCGGTCGGGTATGGGGGAATATTTACCGGACCCGTATCATGTCAGCCTTAGACTACTAGTTACAGTAATACTACTATTAATACTACTAAGATTATGATATTGTTAATGCAAGTATCTACAATGTAGTAACTACTACTCCGTACAGTGCACCCAGTTGTATATTCTCTAACCTGATATTATTCTGCACTTGGCAAAATGCCAATAAATCTGGGGTCGGACGAACCAAAGAATCAGTTACGGAGGTGCCACTGATGGGAAGTCCGGAGATGTGGGAGAAATCGGAGGGAGCAGTGGATTAAGTTGACTCATTCTTTGACACTTGATCCATCCCCACGCCAGTTCCTTTACCCTTTTTCCCCTTCTTCCCTTTTCTGGCCCCCCATCCGAAGCTCCCCGGGCCGCGGACCGGAGGAGCGAGCAAATCCGCCCAGAAATTAAATTAAAATGGAAGAACAAAAGAAAGCCGATAGATCCACGCCCTGGACCGGGGGTCTGGCTGTCAGATTAGGGTCGAATCCACCCGATGGGAATAAATCATAATAATAGATAAATATGTACCTTTAGTCCCTGGTCCGATGATGGGTTTCAGGAGTTCGTTGCTACATCGCACTGGACTGATCAACTCGAACATCTATCACTTTTGACAATAGTACCATTCACCACTACTACTATCTACTCTACCTACTACTGATCACAGTAAACAATACTAGTACTAAGCCACTTGGTACTTTCTACTGTGATTGACATACCGCCGCGACATCACCGACATCATCAACATACCTCCACACATTTTCCACACATACACATCCAACTTGTTTACCTACCTACCATTACTACTACTATTACTCCAGTGGTAGTAGTACTTGCTCTCTCGTGTCCAACCACTTTGATTGCTGCTTCATTCATCGTACAGCGACCGGAACGCCCCTTCCGCCTGATCGCCGCGCTTGACACGCAGGATTACCAGTGGATGCTTTGCTTTCAGGCCAGCATTGCGGAAAATTCCAAGTGATTTCTGGCCGCTTTGTCGGGCTGGTGACTGGTAATTCCCCAGTGGGGCGACGCGCTCAACCCAAACAAGGGAATTTCTTACTTCCACAAAAAAAGAAATTCGATTTTCGATTTTTTGATTTTCTGAAAATCAGAAAATTGAATAAATCGAATTAAATAAATCCGAAGGGGGAAAAAAATCGGATTTGCTGCCAACCCCCCCACTCCACACCTCCTTCTTCGTTCTCCACGACGCCTTATCTGTTGGGAGATGCAAGGGAGTCCAGACGCCTCCCCCGATCGATCTGGCCCTTCTTCCATTTATACATTCACTCTCCGCCATTTGATCCACCGGTGGAGTGTTCCTTGATCAGCGTCAATCCCCAGATACTCCTCTCCAAGCTTATTTATTTATCTGACTTCCCACTCCTTCCCTCTCAACTCTTGGGTCTTGACCTCCCCAGACCGTGTCGATCTTCTTCACCTCCACTCATCAAACTACTGTCACAGAGCTAGTACTAGTAGTCATACTACTTATACTTCCTGCATCGCTCTGGACAACACCGAGATTCACTCCCATTACTACCACCTACTACACCTACTACCACCACTTACTACTACTGATAACACCTCTTCTCACCATGTATCCCTTTCTTCCCTGGAGTCAGAACCAGTCTAGTGTTCGCTCCTCTCTGAGCGAAGCCACCACTAGCACCCAGAATGTCTCCTTCAGCTTCAGCTTCGGCAGCTCTTGCTCACCTACTTCGATGCCGCCTCCCCCACCACCTTCTCCCACTGATTCCTTGCTCGACATCACTCCTCGCAAATGCTCCTTTTCTAGCGGCTATGAGATGAACAACTCGTGCGCATTCCCATCTTGGCCCAACCGCCCTTCTCTGCTGAGTGCAGACTCAGAGGGCTCCAGTGCCAGCGCCTACCTTTCCGACGAAGATCTCCTCCCCATCGGCTCTGGATCCCCCTGCGAGAGTGCGATCGACGAAGAATCCGCCGCGCAGGACCCGACCATGGGAGACGTTGACCTGACCACCGAGCAGCAGATCCAGATGATTCGCGCCGCAGCGGAAGAAGAAGCGCAGCGCGCGCGTTTCCTTGCTCAGGTGCAGGCCCATGCGAGAGCACAGCAGGCCATGCGGGTGGCACAGATGGCAGCGGCAGAGCGCGAGAACGCAAAGCGCAAGAAGCGCAAGGCCATCCCCGAGAGGAAGCGGCGGACCGCATCAGCTTCGAAAGCCACCGTCTGCCGCGCCTAAGAGACACCGAAAAGGGTGTCATCTTCTCTTTACTTTTTTTTCCTTTGTTGTAACACCAATACGCCAAACCATCTACTCGCGCATGTCATGATACCCCACGACTTCGTCACCCCACGCCAACATTTTGGTCCGATTTAGCCGGAGATTAGGGTTGTCGAATGATCGACGCCGATCTGTCTCCAGCTCAGCTGTCCAGAAATGCGACCAACACGTCTATCTGGTTGCTTTCTTTTTTTACTTTTTTTTTTTTCTTCTTTCAATTATCATATCCTTCTTATTCCCCTTTTTGGGATGCCCGCGCTCTGAGTGGTTGCCAACAAAAGCAATCAGTCAAGGTCCCCGCCACAATGACACACTTCTGGCACTGATGCTTGTGAGGTCGAGACATCACAAGGCTCGGACTTTCAAGAACAGGGCCATGAATTAGCATGATCGGGCATGGGACCGGGGGAATATGACGACAGAGGGTGCACGTGCGACGAAGGAGTGGGAGACGAAGCGAGGAGAGATAGTTGGTAGGCGCCGTAGCCGGGCGGAATTGGCAGGCCGGAGTTGCGTCTTCGCGGCCTCTGATTTGGTACCCGAGCTTGGCTGCCTGATTACCTAATTTCCCTGTCGCAGCCGGCGCATTTGATGGAAATTGGGGAACATTCCCCTCTCTGGCTGTTGCTGCTGCTGCTGCACGCTGGACAGGGCCCTCTGCTGCCTATCATTCTTCACAACCTCACCGCCATTGTCAGGGCACGCTCTGATCGCATTCCCTTCCCCTACGGATGGTGACTCACTCCGATCATGCTGGCCCAAAGGGTCATGGCACGCGCTTGGATACTCGCTTCACGTTGCGCACTGTGTCTTTCCTTGCTTGTGGTTCTTTGTCTCTCCGGTTTCTTTTCTTTCCCCTCTTGTCAACCGGACTCCTTTACTCTCTTAATTATTGTTCCGTTTCATGCGTTGTCGCGTCGGTGTTGGTGGTCATGGATTTAGCAACATTTCGGGATACCAGACCCAGATTCCCCCTCAGCTGGGTTTCGTCAGCGGTTTTGCTTTTTCTTCTTTACTCGCGATTTCCGATCTAATTATTGCCCCTTTCTTTTGTCACTTTTCTTTTTGTTTTCAGCGTCGGATGTTCAGATACCCCGTCTTGTATGTCATCATGTTGTTTCCTGGCGCTTCCTTGTTTCGCTTTTCCCCTTCATTCTCATACCCCGAGCGTGTTCCACAGAACAGCTCCCGCGTTACTTTAGATGGATTGCATATTGCATAGCTCAGCGACATACCCCATTAATTCATGCAGCGATGGCCTTTGTTTCACTACTTGATTATCTTTCTCTTTCCTATTTAGTATGGTAATACTTAACTACATTCACATCATGTGAATGAACGAATCAATGAACAATAACCACCGAAAATGAAGTGGTCTGATAACACAATAATTCTATCCTACTATAATAGATCCCATCCTATACCATCCTACATCCTAGCTGTGATGACTACCAAACTATCCGACCCACGATCCCACCTGAACAGATGACACAAGTACCTGCACGGCTATACCCGACGCAAATCCCATTAGTTCGACTTCGACATCCTACTAGTAGTAGAGACAATAGGAACTAGCCACTCCTGTAACAGCTGAGTACTACATATCCCCCGCTGTACTTAGAGCAGACAAAAAGCAAAAGCAAGGCAGCACATGCAGCAGCATTACTTATTTACTTATTCTTTCTTCTTTCTTGCTTTTTTTTTTTTTTTTTTTTTTTTTTTTTTTTTACATTTGCTTCTTTGAAGTCCATCCATCCATCAGCCAGCCAGCCACCATCTACAGCACCTAACCACACAATTGGTACCTATTTACTATCCCTTTCATGGTACTAGTGCCAGACATTAGTAGTGATGGATGCTTTTTTTTTTTTTTTTTTTTTTTTTTTTTTTTTTTTTCATGTAAGGTACTTATGAAGACTATGGTCGGTTGGTGATCTGTGCGGAATGAAGAGTGTCAGTCATCACGAGACACCGTTGATGGAAGGAAACTATTGATTTTTATGCCGGTACCCCTCGCTTTTTATGGTGGTGGTGGTGGTGCTGATGTGAGGCAATTATTGATTGTAGACTAGTATCCTAGCGGTGATGAGTGAGTGAGTGAGCGAGTGAGTGAGTGAGGGGTTTTGGTGAAGATTACTGGGGCTGAGGGGTTTATAGATTTGGAATGATATGAGAGAGGATGAGATGAGATGATGAGGGATATACTTGTCTCGTAGTGGGAGGAGGTGTGTGTGTGGATTGGGATACCGGTAGGATACATGCGTGATATAGTCTTAAAAGGAGATTGAATGTAAGGTCGTAAACTAACAGTGCTAGGTAGAGATGAAGATAAAGTAATCCATCGGTTCAAGTAGTGTAAGTGATACAGTACATCATCTATTAAGTGATTATCCAACTAACCCATCTAAAGCCCATGTATAGAAATAATCAAAGCTGAGGATTAGTTACGCGGTAGGTATTCTACAACCCCCTCATCAACAACTCCTCTCCCACCTCCTTGATCAACGGCTCCTTCGCTACACCCGACACATTCTTCTTCGCGACTACCGTCTCCGCAATCCCCATAGCATTGCAGAGATCCACGACCGCGCTGTCCGGACTAGCTTCGTAGACGAGCAGTCCAAGAGCGAAGAGAAGCCCGTGGAGAGCCTCCTGGCTCTCTTCTTCCTGGGTGATGGCTTCCACGAGCGACGCAGTCAGCTCGACTTGGGATTCCTCGGACAGGGGGTCGGCGTGGCCGGCGAAGCGGGCGTTATGGTTAAGCGCGGCGAGGTTGTAGGCGAGGGAGGCGGCGACCACGCGGAGGTTAGTGTGGGAGTCGAGGAGGGAGGAGGTGGTGAGGTGGAGGAGGGTTGGGAGGAGAGAAGAGGAGGAGGTAGTGAGTTGGTCGCGGTAAAGAGGGGTGGAGAAGAGGGTGCAGCAGAGTTGGAGCATGACGATGCGGAGGTTGTAGGGGCATTTGGAGAGGCCAGCAGATGGGGATAAGAGGGTGAGGAGGGTCTTGTGGTCGGGCTCTTCGGCGAAGTAGCTGGATACGCGGGGGTCGAGGAAGAGCAGGCGGGTGAGGTCGACGAGAGCGAATAGGTGGTCTAGGGCTAGAGTGCCGTAGGTGCTTTGTAGGTAGGTGGCGAAGGTTGGGAGGTCTTGGGGTAAGGGGGTGTCTGCTGCTGGGGTGGAAGAGGAGGTGCGGTATTTCAGGTAGGTGATCATGGAGAGGAGGCGGGGGTCTTCGTGGTGAGGGCTGAGTTTCTGGACGAGCTTGTCAAGAGGGGGTACTTTCTTGTAGGTGACATAGTTGGAGATGGGGCGTTGGAGGCTTGGGAGACGGAGTTGCTGGTGACGATGGGGAGGATGGGCCATTTCCAGAAGGAGACGGACGTTGCCTCGTAATTGGGCTGGGTTGGCGCCGGACCATTCATCGAGCTTCTGGCCCTTCAGGAAGGTCATGAAGGTTGGGGTTGCTCGGACGCTGTATTTCATGCTGACGTCCATGGCAGTACTGATGTCGACTTTGATGAGGGTGGCTTTGGCGCCTGCTTCCTCGGCGAGTTCGTCGTACGTCGGGTAGACCATTTTGCAGGGCGGACAGGTGGCCGAGGTGAAGAAGATGACGGCGCATGAGTCGGCGGCGGCAGCTAGGTGATGCTCGAGCTGGGCGAGGTTGCTTGCGATGCGCACAGGACCTTGAGTAACGGGGGCAGGTTGCGCAGGGGCGGTTGGTGCGCTGGTGGTGGGCGTTTGAGTGCCGACTGTGCCAGTGCCAGCGCCAGTGCCTTGGGTTACACCGCGCAGGGCCATTTCGATCTGGGGCTTCATCATTTGCCCAAAAGGGGTGCTCAGGAAGGTCTGCGGCAGGTTTTGAATATGCTCAGGGATACCTTTGCCGAGAGCAAACATGGCCAGATCCTGCGTGAAGTTGTTGCAATTGTGCAAGAAGAGGTCGTAGGACTGGACGGCCGGGTTAGAGAGATGACCGGGCTGGGGATACGGGCTCTTACCTCAGGGGTGTAGATTTCCGCAAGCGACTGGATGTATTCCTCAATCACATCCATAGGAAGCTCGGTCTTTCCAAGATGCAGTTTCTCCATGGGCTGTCCATGATGAGTACTGCCGGGGACGGCCGTTTGGATGCCCTGGCCAAAGTAATACTCGACGCCGTTCAGCACCAGCGACGTGTGGTAAATGGCATCGATTTGCGTTCCCGTCAGGGCCAGCGAATACTAGACAAAGTTAGACACGAGGCGAGTCTGCCACATCCAATGCGTGTCTTACCATTCGCGCAAGACCCTGTTCCGCATTAGCCCATGACTCCTTGACTAAACATGTACACGTGAAGCTATGGAAATCACCTTGGATAGGTCATAGACATACAGCTCGACATCCATGATGACGGCTGCTGACACAGAGGTCTTCAAATTAAAGCTGCGAAGTATGAAAAAGCACCAGGAAGACTGAATCGCAACTCCGAAATTCCTGGGAAATGTAATCCTCGCCGGCGCAAACGCAGCTGAAGAAGTAACAAGAAGAACCTCTAGGCATCGCGGGGTTACGTCAGCAGCCCGCCGGCCATCACGAGATTAACTGCAATCGAAGACAATGGAAGCAATCCCATCTTCTTCTCACCTCATCTTCCTCGGAGTCATCGACATCCCCATCCGGACTCCCAACGGCAGTGCGATGTAAATCGGCAAATCCCGATCCTTACCAGCCTACCAAATGTCCATGGCTCATCCGCCCCCGCGCCTTATCTCCAACCACCCTTTCCCTTGACATCATCGCAGTTTGCGACAGCTGAACATCTACCTACACACTACCAAAGAGCATACATAACCGATTGGTACCATGGTAAGTCACCATTGTGCTTATCGCATGCACATACTCTCTCTCAATCAATGCGCTAACCACCACCACTACTCCCAGGCCCCCAAAAAGCGCAGCGCCCCAAGCAGCGGCCCCGCGCCCAAACGCGCACGCCAATCCAAACTCGCCAAAGAAAACGACATCAGCGCGTCGGAAGAGAACGAAATCAAAGAAGTCTTCCATCTCTTCTCCGAGACCGTCGAGGAATTCGCGGACCAAAAGGAAGGCGTGATCCCACGCGGTGATGTGCGCAAAGCCTTAGTGTACGGTTCCTCTTCCCTAGACATACATATCGCGACAACTAAATCCCTAACTCAATGAACAATAGAGCCCTCGGCCTTGACCCCACCGACAGCGAAGAACTCCACTCTATCATTTCGGCCGTCGACCCCACGGATACCGGGTATGTGCTGTACGAGCCGTTTCTGGCTGTCGCGGCGGCGAAGCTACGATCTAGGTCTGATGATGCGATGGCGGCGGAGGTGGATGCCGCGTATCGGTTATTTACGAGGGGGTCGGGGGAATTGATTACGTTTAACCATTTGAAGAGGATTGCGCGCGAGTTGAAGGAGGACGAGCTAGGGGATGAGTTGTTGAAGGATATGATTTTGGAGGCGAATGGTGGGGCCGGAGTGCATGCTGGGGTTACGTTGGAGCAGTTCCATGATGTTATGACTAGGGCTGGGGTGTTTTGATTGTCTTTTCTGGTTTGCTTAGTTGGGGATATGGGATGGGATGGGTTGATACTTCAGCGGGCGTTGGGTATGTGATTATGCTGGTTACAGGGGTGTTATTTACTATCTGGGACAGGGTGTTGGGACATACGGCATGCTTCTTGGGATTATACAGGATCGGTTATGGAGTGCCAAAAAATGTTGTACTTTAGCTATAAAGCGATAATCAGGTATCAAGCACATACAGTGTTATACAAAGCCGTGTTCAACGTCTCGTCGATTATTCCAGAGCAAAATGTAGAGCAAACAGTCAAGAACATGTGGATAAACGCTTTCTAAAGAGTCGTACTCGGGGTATCATATAATGCTGATATACACAATCGGGCAGAGCAAGGTTGGGCAAGCGAGACAGAAACGGCTCAGTCAACGTCGGACATAAGCAGGGACTTCTCAGACCGAGGTTCAACATTTAACGCCGTTGAGACGCTGGTCGCTTGCGATACATCGGATGTGGAGTCTCCTGTGGCAGCAGATGTTGTAGACATGGTCTCTGATGGCGTGCAGCTAGAAGAAGGTGCTGAACCCTCCTCCTCCGCCAAGCCAGAGTCCACGTCCTCTGCAGCCTCCGGGGAGTAGTCGTCAACTGCCTCGTAGAAGAGCATGAAGGCGCCGCCCTGAGACATGACGCTCGCTTCGCTGACCATCTGCACGTCTTCGTCGCTTAGCCTGTACCAACGCTCGTCTCTCTCCTTGTCTCCATCTGCCTCGATAATTGCGTCCGGGACGTGGGCCGGAAAACTGTCGGTTGGATATTTTCTGTAACATATGTAATGGCCATTCTCATGACGGCCGTAATGGGTGATCACAGCACGCAACTGATAGTGACCGCCTGCAGTTGCGCCTCTTCCTGCATGCGAGAGCATGGATACGCTGGGATTGGTCTCCCAGGCTTCAAGATTTGGTTCCCCATTTTTAGAAACTCCGCCCAAGCACCATGGATTCAAGTTGAGGGCATTGGGAAACTTGACGGTCGCGTAATTCTTCCGGAGCATTCCTGTAGTTTCATCAAACATGCTGCGATTGATGTGGATAACTAGGCACTGTGGGGGCCTGGCAACCACGGCCTGTCTTGACTTAGTCGTCGACACGCGATTTTTTCCGGGAATATGGCATTTCTGAGAGAGCGTCTTCTCTGCAAAGTCCTCCTCTCCCAACGCTTGCTCAACGGCCTGTAAGCGTTCCTGTGCCGAGCTTCGAAGCGCATCTGATATATTCGGTGATTCCGGAGTAGCACTCGGAGTCTCCTCATCATCGCTGATTTGCTTCAGCAAGTTCAATAGCTGAGACTGTACCCGCAACAAAGTGCACTTTGCGCATTCCACTCCCTCAATGGGCTCCAGGTGCATGTAATGATGGAGACACTCTCGGATGTCGTACTCAAATTTTGGACCGAGCGGGACAGTCAAGCAGTTGAAGGGAATGAGCGAGAGCCCTTCGGTCCAACCACACTGGATGCAGCCCACTCTTTGCGCAAGAAGACCTTCCAACGGATTCCGAAAGACCTGGTTTCCAGTTGACCGTGACTCCGCCCCACTGTTCTCTTGTAGCTCTTGTGACGAACCAGACCCAATCACATGTTCCTGCGGTCCTGCCATCTTCAGGCCCAAGTTGCGCGTGTGTCGCCGAGTCGCCTGCTGGACTTCCAGATCCAACTGATCAACAATCTTCGAGAAGTACTCTTGTGCATCCTGCTGCTGCCAGCTGCTCATCGATTTGAGATCCGCCGGGGTCCACAGACGTTGGCCATTGCTGTCTGCGCTATTGAGTCGCTCTATGATATCCTTCAAAGCTTGATGCGTGGACATAAGGGCTTTCTCTCCTAGCTGCTCAACATTCTGATTCAGAAACTTCTCCAACGACTGGAGAGATGCCAGTCCTTGTATGATGCTATTCTGATAACACGAATTATCCCAGTTTCCGAGCCCTGGCGGTACGTTGTTCTTGCTGCTTAAGAGAGAGGTCCCGAAACTCGAGAAAGCCGGAGCGCGAGGGAAGAGGGAGGAGAAGGAGGTATCGTCAAGGCCGAGTATCCGTTGCATCGCTTCACTCTTGGCCTCAAAGGTCATCGAAAGAGGGTTCTCGTCGGTCGTATCGGAATTCCGTGTCTGGGAATCCAGGGCGGCAATCAGTCGAGAAGGTGTCAAATGGACAAGTATATTCCAGGCTATCCGAGCCACCGACAACGAAGCTGGACCCCAATAGCTGATGGTAAAATACAGAGTGATGAGCGTCACTAATATAGAGGCAACTAAGGATGGATTGCCCTGCAGTTGCTGCAGTACTGTTTCATAGTTGCTGCGCTGCACGTTGAAGGGATTCGGAGTGAGGAAGTTAATCCCCTCTCTGCGAGCATTCATGGCTGATGAAAAGGAGGCAAAGTCCACGGCATAGGGACGAGGACATTGACATCACTTAGCAGAGCAGTTAAGAGGCGACGACCACGTCTGGCGAAGTGACGACTGGATCGACTTGAGCAGCCAGTGTTGCGTCGCAGAATAAGCAGCGGCCGAGTGCGCTCCAGGTGTCTTCCGCCACCCGGAAAGGTTTTATCGATAATGCCCGGCTCCACAACAAATTATTCACCTGCGGGCATGCAGGAAAATACCAATCTAAATTTCCCCTGCATCAATCATGGCGAAATCTAGGCGTGAGTACAGCTATTCTTACAGGATTATTGCTTCAAAAATGCATGTTCAATGCTAACATTATGCCCCTGTCTAGCCCAGTCAAAACATTCCCGCGCTGCGAGGCGGGCAGCTTCCCCCAGTCTCGATGTCGACAAGTCAATCACATCTCTTCCGCGGGCCGAAGAAACTACAGTACAGCGGGATTCGATCCTATCGGAACGCGCTAATGCAGGCGTTTCGAAGAAATCGTCAAAAGGCAAAGCTAAAACTAGAGCGCAGCGCTTGAGACAACAAAAGGGTGTTGAAAGAGCAGAGGCCGTGATGGACCAGCTGGAGAAGAAGGTCGTTAAAAGTGAGGGCCGCGCCAAATCCGTCAAGGCTCGTAGGGTAAGGACGCCAGACTTTCCATCATGATTGGTCAATATCTCTGACGAAATGAGTGTCTAGGCTGAATGGGAGGATCTGAACCGTAAAACGAAGTCAATGTTCGAAGCCCTCAACGAGGCTGACGATAACATGGACGATGCCATGATGGACGATGCTGCGGCTTCTAAGCCAGCGAAACGTTCGAAGCCGGCCCCTGTCACTCAGGCTCCCGTTGTGGAGGAACACGAAGGCATTGACGTGGACGATGATATCACCTGATGCGTGGACGTCTATCTTGCCAAGGAAATACCGCCATGGTTGCGCCAGCTATCTACTTCCGCGGTCTAAGCTGGTTGATCATCCGTTCGATCTCAACGGCGGCTGGTCCTGAAGCCCTCGCCTGGAGGAGCTCAAGGGCGTTGACATTCTTTGCCCTGAAGGCTTCTTCGCCGGCTTTCGCAATCATGCCGCATTTCACCCACATTTCCATCTTGTCCTCAGCCGGCAAATTGGTGCATTTGGGAACAAATAACGAAGCGAGCTTTGTATTTCCAGCTCCCAAAATCTCGTTATAAAATGGCTGTTATTTATCCGTGAGCATGCGGGCGCATATTCTGGGGTTGTTGGCCGACTTACCTCCCACCCAATCGGGGACTTTTTGTTTTTCCCGATTTCTTCCAGCTCACCCCAGTCACGCTTAGCTACCAAGGCCCTTAATCTCAACCACCAGAATGTTTTCTCTGGCATCCTGAACTCGCTCTGTATCTTCTGTGCTCTTTTTCCGTAGCCTGATCTTATCAGTCTGTAGATTGTCTCGTTCAAGCTTAAGCCAAGGAACTCTGAACGATCCGCAAGGTCCTTGTCGAGGGCCTCCTGGACCTTCAGCAACTGGGATGCTTCGTTTAGTAGTTTCTGCTGTAACACCACGGAAGGATCTTTTGAGTCTGACAGTAGACGTGATGCGAGCTGGAGCTTTTCGGTCTTGCGCGGCAGGTCCGTTGCGTCCAACGCCTCGGAGAGAAGGACATTGGAGCCATCAATAGGCCGATCATCTTGGTAGAAGAGGTCCTTCAACAGCTCGGTGTCCTGTCCTCTGGCGGTCGTCTCCACAAGGGCAGACGCCATAGGGCGTGTGTTTATCGTTCTGAAGAAACTGGCAAGCGGTAGTTTAGTCTTAAGGTGCAGAAGGACGTAGTTCACTAGATCAACGTCTCCACTTTCGATGGCCTTATCCAAGGCAATCTCGTCTTCTTCCATGTCCAAGAGCAAGGGCACTTGCTTCCCAGCTCTTGGTTCGTGGTTCAGCAGCTGAGTCGCCAAGTGAGCACGTCCTTCATCGTAAGCTGTTTGCGCGATCAATTCAAAGGATATGCCTGGTTTGCCTTCCAGTCGCTGGACGATGAGCTTGCAGAGGGCATCATCGTCCACTGTGGAGACTTTGACCTTCTGGCTTGCCCAATGGACGTATATCCTATCGGCGGGAAGCTCAAGGTATTCCGAAATGCGGATGGCAAGCAGGTATTCATGCCTGTTTACTAATCGCTCGATGAGCCTTTCAGGCGTTAGGCGCATGTATTGCTCATAGGAAAGCGGCAGTCCTATCTGGTAGTCTCGCACTGCTTTCAGCACCCGGAGTTTCTCGGTCATTTCGACAAATTCATCGCTGTTGTACAAGTCAAGAACAGATTTTCCGAACGAGGCTGCCTTTAACAAGCGCTTCTGCCAATACGTGTCAAACTCATGACCAGCAGCTTTGACACACGTGTCAACCGCCTCGGGCAAACTTGGCCGGATACGTTGGATGTTCTCGTCGGCTTTGGGCGACTTCTTCTCCAGAAGGTCTATAGAGTCCAGGAGGACTGAGGCGGGTGACGTAGATCCGAGCCGGAAGATCGCCTCGGTGACATCTTGCAGACCATCAGATGTTTGTTCCTAGACTAAACGAGGATTACTTACCAACAACTTTGTGCAAGAACTCGCAGGTGTCGTTGGTAATTAAACGCACACCGTCAAACTCAGGCACGACATGGACAGTGCCGTCATAGTAATATCTCGCCGCAACGCCATTAGGCCCGATGAGATGTACCTCGTCTTCCCATGCGATGACAACGGCATCATCTCCGCACCAGTCGACTGTCCGAGGAGTGACTCGCGATTCTGGGTCATATTCGCTGTACTTGCTTTGGAAGTCACTGCTGACTACCCATACCTTGCCCTCAGCAGTGATTAGAGCAACGAATCTTCCGGTTGGTGACACGCTTGCATGTTTGAATGGCCCATTTTGAAGGACTTTGTCTTCGGCTTCCGTGGGGTCGACTAAGTAGACTGTCTTGTCAACGGCAAGCAGGACTTCAACTGAGCGAGACAGCGTATAAGCCGGAGGTATCAGTGACCACGACGAGACTTCTCCTTCCGGACAAGGAGCCAGGAGCCTAGGTCGCGGCTCGTCGTAATTCGACACAGCAACCAGTTGGTTGTTAGAGAGCAGGGCAACAAAGCCCGAGGTCCAGAATCGGCAAGCCCTCACACCGTAGTCTTCAGCTCCCTAAGCGGATGTCAGTTTCAACAGAGCAGCATGTGGATAGGAGCGTTACATTTCCCAGAGAAAAGGAGGTAAAGTCGCCGTGGAGGCCAAAATAGCGTCTGACAGTGCCGTCTTCCGTGATCACCAGGAGTTCTTCCTTGTCGGACCAGCCGAGACCACGAATCGTGCCGTATTCCCACTACAGACGTTAGAACTTGCCTACGCGAAGTCTATAGCTGACTGACATTGATTCGATTGATGTGCTTCCCCGAGCATGAGTAAATGTCAATGCTCGACTTGGCGGTCTGAGCATCACGGAACCTGTACGGTTTGCTCTCATCGCGGTGCAGCGCTGGAAATATATCAGCACGTTTAAAACCAGATAAACTTGCAACTATTGCACATACCAATAGCCCCTCCGTAGGGAGCGCCAGCGATGATGTAGTTCTCTAATTCGACATCATCGTCGAAGATGGCATCGTATATGGGGACCTTCCGGTAGAAGCTATCTCCTAGCCTCTCCCAATTGGCCAGAGGATTTGACGGCGCCATTGACACCGAGCAATGTCATGTATAGATGGGAAGCGATACAGATCCGATGGAGATAGTGCTGGGATAAGACCCTCCAGCCGGATGTTGTTGTCTATCGGAAAGCTCCTGGAGCTCACATGCGGACGGGTCTCCGACACTAACCGCATTGGGATATAGTGCCTGAGGTGGCTGGACCATGTATCGCGCGGGTAATTATTCATGGACTATCCAAGCTGCCACCATGACTGTCAATTGCACGAGAGTACTATCATGGAGGATGGCTCGGAAATCTCAAGACTCGCTCCAGAATTATCTGATCTTGAAGTAGCTCTCTTTCTTTGTCTTGCGGCACACCAACACTGTCGCATTGACACAAATGACGCCAATATTCATGACGTCGCAAAGGAGCTCGCCCTGGTAATTCAAAATCCCGTGATATGGTCTACGATGTTGCTAATGCCTCCCTGGTCTAGATATGCACAAATACATTTGGTCTCTCTTATAGCATTCTTGATTGCTCTAGTACTATATCTTTAGAAGACTTTCGTGCTGAATTACTTCCTCCCGGGCTTTACAGGAGCAGTTATGCTCGGCCTTCACGCTCGCGAATGACCACTGAGTCGGTATGTCAATTCGACTGTTTTGGTCCACTTTATTGCTAGGCTAATAAGATAAGGCGGGTGCGATATCCTCATATCATGACCTTCGAGATCATAAAGGACGCCTCAAGTCAGCCCCTATCGAGCACAAGCAGGAAGTCGTCAATGTTGTAATAGCTAAGCACTTCAACCATGTGGACGACAATATCCAGCGCGAAGCTCTCGAGGTAAACAGGATTACTCTAGGTTCTGATGAGATATTTACTGACTCATACAGTTAATGCACTCGAAACAACTCACCACACCGGCAGGAATCTTGGAAGCCCCAACCTATTTTCTGTTCCTACCTCTTATAGTGCGCGATGAAACCCCATCATTAAACTCTCACCTAGTATGTCTGCCACCGGTATATTTCTATCACTCAGTGTACTGACCCCACTTAGAACGACTACCTGTTCATCTCTCATTTCCACGACATAGAAGACGGCTACGTCTACCACGAAGAAAGCAACGACTGGCTCTCCGATGGCCAGCTGTCCGCATCATCCGTTATTCACAAGCCAGAAGCTCAAACGAAGAAAGGCCATCCTCATGTAGATATCACGGTTTGTCTCCCCTCCTACCTTGGTCATCGAACCAAATCCCACTAACAAGAACATTAAAACCAGCTCCTTGAACAACTACAACAACTAAGCACCACGGTCAGCATGGGCGCCGAATTAGCCCGGTACCAACAAGACATAGTTGTGTTCCTTCGGCTCAGTCGCGCAGTAGCTGGGGGGATATCCACACGGTCAAACCTCTACTTCAAGTCATTTTCAAAGTGGGTCTATGCAATCCACACCCTGCACGCCAAAACAAAGCACTGATTACAACCCAGACTCCTCGCCGTATTACACGGCATCGACTTCCTCACGCCCTCAATCGTAGCACTAGCAGCCAGAAAGGTCTTTCGACATCGGATCATCGTGGCCAAACCCGAAGAGGATAGAAGCCTACAGTATGGGAGTGACCTGCAGGCCGTGTCGCAGGTGCTTGAGTACGCGAACCCGGATTCAATATTGGACGGGGTGCTTACATTAGAAGCGCCATTGTGATATAACAATCATGTATATACTTTATCTAATGCAATTGTACAACCCATCCTCAGGCTAACGGTGACAGAATTCATTAAGTAGGGTGGTGTCTATACTCGACGAGTATACCAAGTATATAAATGGGTATTTTGCGACATGACATGATCCAGCAAAGGATCATTTCCCCGATAAGCGTCGAAGCCCTCCTTTTATAATCAATTATACAGCACCAACTCTTCTTCCAAGTCCCCCCACCTGCACAGTAATAAAACACATTACAACAACTTCTCCACCCCCTCAATAACATCCTTCAACAAATCAAAAACCCCATCAAGAATAGTCTCCAACAGACCCGTCGCAAAGCTCAACACACACTCCAACGTATCCACCAACTGATCCAAAACATCAGTCAAAGTGCAAGATTCATCATCGTCGTCGTCATCTCTCTTCACGCCGCCCTTCACCAGCACATTCCGGGGCGCTACCACCGCATCACTCGAGCAGTTACTCAACCGGCCATAGATCTTCTCCTGGGAGGAGAGAAGTAGAGCCCTAACGCCTTCAATCCTCTCGACTGCAGCGGATGAGGTAGTGTTTGTGACGGTGATGGTGGTTCCGTTGGCGAGGGTGGTGGTGGTTGTGGTGACGGCTGTTTGGGATTTGGAGGCGTGCACAGAGGAGAATTTTTCCAGGAGAGGGTGGACGCGGTGGACGGTTTGGTTGAGGCGGTTGAGGTTTTGGCAGTTTTGGAAGGTCGAGGTGAAGGCTGCTGTGAGGGGGAGGAGGAAGGTGGTGAGGGTGAGGAGGAGGGGGAGGAGGTTCATTTTGATGTGAGTTTAAGATTTGTGGTTAGAGGTGGTTTGGGATTGTTTAGTTGATGATGAATTTTGTTGTTTGGTATTTGAAGGGTCTTGTGGTGGCTTTTATATGTATGGTTCATTTCGTGTTCATGATATTGAGGGTATGCACAGAAAGTGGAGCTATTTCGGAAAATACAAAAAAAGAAACTATAGACTTGATATGTCGACGACGTCGGATTGGTCCAGCAATGATCCATATTACTCGATGGAGATATCCCCTGACGATCGCAAGGATGAAAAATATCCTCCTAGATAATCACTCGCATGCTTGACAGGCTGATAGGGCGTCGATCTCTTGTAACCGAGATGGTCTAAGGTGATAGTTCCCTGTTAGTGACGCTAGATCTGCTCGATCTCCACAACGCTCAGTTTCCGGGAACCATCACAATCAGAAATAGCTGGCTAGCTACTTATCGCCCGGATGGTCTCGCGCGATGCTTGAGGAACATATCAGGCGGCATGAATTTCTGCTCCTTAACCTCCTCTTCCACAATCAAACCGTTGCCGAGATGCTGATCGCCATTATCGGTCGCCGAGCCTGACTCGAGGGACGCCATCAGTCGGCGCCATTCGGCCAGTACGACTTCAATTTCGGTCTTGGCGTCGCCGACAATGGCATCCATCTTGATGTCATTGCGGTCGTACCCGAAGGGGTCTTCTAATTGCGAGCCGATGCCTTCGATGCCATACAAGGTGAAGATGACCAGGCTGACCATGGGAACGGTCCACCACCCCATATCGTCGACCATACCGAAGGGTAAGACGCAGCCAAAGAGAGCGAGGACTTGTTTTTGGTGGATCCTTTCACATGTGAGCTGGCGAGGAGAGGTAAAGGGGTGGTCCAAGATGAAGGAACTTACAAGTGCGCAACCGGAATAGGAGTCAGCTTGATAGTCTCCATTCTTCCATAGGCATCCATCAAAGAATTCAACTGAGCCTGCATTTGACTTGCCCCAGGAGCGTTGAACCAGCCGCGCTCCACTCCCCTCTTGATAAACCCATCCACGAAGAAGGTTAGTTGAAACGGTAACCCCAGCCCCTCATCCTCGTGGCCCACCAGTCCAGCTGGAAGGAGACTTGCATAATCGGGGTTAAACGCTGCGACACCGTTCTCGGCTACATCATTTCCTAGAGCCCACGCCGCTCCCCATTCAGCGCGAAGATGGTTCTTGACTGCAAAGGGAATCGACATGAGGATCCGTATCGTCCGCTCGATGTCCTCTTTCTCCGCGGCAGTGGGAGGGCCTGCGGTGCTGTAGCCATTTGTAACGATGGTCCGGACTAGGTTGCGAATGCACGTATAGATTGTATTCATTCCATTACGCCCATCCCAGAACCGGTTGTAGGAGGTTTGGTTGCGGAAAACGAGCATCAAACCCACGACTATAGACAAGGATGGGATCTACGGTTGCATAATCAGATCTGAATGCGCGATAACATGCATGTGAGTGGGACCTACAATACTGCTCGGTAGTCCAACCGTATCAAAGACATAGATATCGAGATAGACCACAAAGGCTGTGAATGCGGCGTGCAGGAAGACGGGCAGCAGAATGGCCGCGTGGATAGCGCCTTTGATGAATCGGAACACCAGAGGCCATCTGATATGGCGCGTATTCAGCATGATGTTATAGTAAGATTCAAATTGTGAGCGATTAATATTGTTTACCTTCGGGGCTTGCTCCGACTCGTCAGGAGATGCGGATGGGTCCCAGCGCGGTAGTGATGCGCATTGTTAAGGAACGTGGTGTTCTGCCGACTCAACGCCGGTGTCGGGGGTTGACTGAAATTCAATCGCATATTTGCCTCCAATTCAACCTGACTGAGGGAGGAGAGACACAGAAATAGAAGAGGTGGTCTTTGTACACAGCGTGAAAGAATTTGCGTCTAGCGGTCAACAGCCCGTCCGCTTTGTCAAACTTGGGTTAGTTGCTTAGTCGAGGTGGAACGATAGGGCGAGTCAGCGTTGGTGAAAGGACTCTCCAGCTTTAGTGCTCCTTGTCCAGCGAGCCATATCATATGAGACCCTTGGGAAATGGTACGAGATAAGGAGTGGCATCATCGTGCAGAGATTAGGGACAACTCGCGGGGGATCAACCTGCCGCCGGATGTTGTGGTTGGTGAATCCATCTTCACGGGGCTGCCTCGCCCAGAACTCTATTTCCTCACAACACCTCCGCCAGCCAGTTGACTTCCACGTACTTTGACCTGGTTTGGCCACGATGATATATCCAATTTGGATAGCAGGAGAAGTTGAAACCCAGATAGATCATAGAGGGCTGCGAATGCATCATGTGTTGTGGGTGATGATAAGAAGTGGATACATATTCCCTCGGATAACCTGGGGTTCTCAGTCGACAGCACAATCGGGACTACTACGTGAAAACCACGACTTCAAATCTCTTCAGCCCGAATTTTTTTGTTTGAATGAGCCTATTTATAATCGATTACATTTCGGCGCCTTTAGAGTGGCACAGACTCTGTCCTGTTGCTACTATTTCCTAGCGGGAGCCGATCCTCTCGTTGCAATTAGTCGGCTTGCCGCCTGGCAGCTAGCCAAAGGATCTGAGATGAAACCAAAGTCGCTCGCTATCCTTCAGCATATGTCTCACTCCTCTGAATGGCTGGCTGCTATCTGGAAAGCTGTTTAGCGGAGATCCAGACATGCTTGGCCTTCTCGCTCACCCTCTCGCTCAAGCGACAGGGTCGGCTTCACGTCGAATATGACTATGATCCAAATGGTTCGTGCATTGTTAGTCTAACACATTCTATGGGCTCTGTCGTTTATTGGTGCATGGAAGCGCGCGCAAACCACCATTGCGAGGCTGAACTGGACACTCTCTTTCCTCCCCGCACTTCAGAAGGAACTTCAGACCTCGCAGATTGTCGTAGTCGCCGAGAAATCGGGGTTTCTGCTATTTGATTGAAGAAGAGATATGGTGTCTAATATCCCAAAACTGCGTCTCTATAATGAGGCATATACGGTCGCATTGATATGTCCCCTAGAGGTCGAATTAAGTGCAGCACGATATATGCTTGACGACGAGCATGCAAGTCTTCCAAGAGACGAGTACGACCCAAATACATATGTGCTGGGATCATTGAGTGGGCACAATGTGGTGCTCGCATCACTTCCAAAGGGGTCACAGGGTATAGCGTCCGCAGCAACTGTCGCCATCCACCTGGTCCGAACTTTTCCAGCGATCGAGCATCGTTTACTGGTAGGTATCGGCGGGGGTATCCCCAGCAAAGATAATGATATTCGTCTTGGGGACGTGGTCGTGAGTGCTCCCGACGGCATTCTGGGAGGGGTTGTTGAATATGATTTGGTGACGGAAACCACAAGCGAGTTCAGGAGGATGGGGATATCTTGTCCTCCGCCGACTGAGTGGAGAGCGATGATGACGACGATGCAGTCGGACCATCGTGTTCGGTCAAATCGTATCGCAGAGTTTCTGTCGGACATGCTGCGCAAGTATCCCAGATTGGGAGTATATCAACGGCCATTGTCGGAGACCGATATTTTATTTCCAGCGGACTATATCCACGTTCATGATGGAGGCAGCTGTGTCTCTTGTGACGCAACCAAGGCCGTGCAACGAGATCCACGAATACTGCCGAATGAGTCCCGCGTCTTTTATGGCATCATAGCTTCAGGAAACAAGGTCATTAAAGATGGCACAAAGCGGGACAAAATAGCAAGGGAGTCTGGCGGCGCGATATGTTGCGAGATGGAGGCTGCCGGGATAATGAACCAGTTTCAATGCATTGTCATCCGTGGGATTTCCGATTATTGTGACTCTCACAAGAACGATGACTGGCATGCTTATGCTGCAGGCGCTGCTGCAGCCTTAGCGAAAGAAGCCCTGATGTACATGGAGCCTCACTGTATGTGCCCAGTAATTGCTCCTGCGTTGGTATTGAAATATACTAACATTGTTATAGATAATACACCGCGCGAAGAACATTCATCAGAGTGGAAAGCCAACGTCCTCAAGCAGCTGTATACCTGCACCTATCTAGATGCTAAGGATAGGAACCCACAAAGAGTTGAGGGGACTTGTCAATGGTTCACAAACCATCAACTCTTTCAGAATTGGAGAGAAAACCATGGACCGGGCCTTCTCTGGGTTTCAGCCGACCCTGGCTGTGGAAAATCTGTCCTGGCCAGATATCTTTTAGATGAAGTTCTGCTTAGTTCAAAGACAAGTGTGGTCTGCTACTTCTTCTTTAAGGAGGATTTCGAGAATCGAAAATCCCTTGTGGATGCTTTATGCTGCATTCTCCATCAGATCTTCGAGCAAAGACCGCGCCTGCTTTCCGACCGTCTCCGATCCAGGTTCGAAAGTGAGACTGGTCACATATATCAATCTGTCTGGAGCTTGTGGTCTATACTTTGCGATCTGGCGGGGGAGCTTCCAGCTGGGCAAGTGATTTGTGTTTTGGATGCCGTGGATGAATGTGGGTGCGACGGACAATCACAACTGGCTGAGTGTTTGACCAACCTCTACCAAGGCACAACGGCGTCTTCGAAAATGAAATTTCTCGTCACCAGTCGACCATATAGCGCTATTCAGAGAAGGTTTCAGTCTCTTGAGAATAACTTCCCAGCTGTTCACCTACGTGGAGAAGATAACGATGAGGTACAGAAGATAGCGGGAGAAATCAATATGGTCATAGAGCACCGAATAGAGGAGCTTGCAGAGCGGCTACAACTTCTAGCAGACGAGCGCAACCTTCTTCTCTCTGAACTGACCTCCGTTCAAAATCGAACATATCTGTGGATCGATCACATCATGAGTACCTTAGGCGATATATTGACGGTCACTCCCACTAGTATACGTGCAGCAATCAGAAGACTACCGCGAACCCTGGACGAAGCTTACGACCAGATATTACGCCGCACTCCAAACCCCGATCGGGCGATGAAAATCTTACATATTGTCGTTGCCGCAAATACACCTCTGACGATGGCGGATATGGCTACTGCAATGGCTGTATTAGACCGGAAATCACCCGAAGACCAGCTTGAGATCGAGCCGGAGCATCGAACAAAGCGGTCAATCCGGGAAATATGTGGTCTTTTCATCACTGTCATCGACTCAAGAATATACCTCCTACACGAGACCGCGAGAGATTTTTTGGTGTATAAGGAAGGTAAAAGTGAGCCAATTCCGGACCTGACGTGGAAAGCTTCGTTGATTCCGCATGATTCAGAATGCATATTAGCGAAGGCTTGTGTGGGGTTTCTCCATTCTACGGATCCAAAAATGGCCTTAAAAGACCACAAAGACCTTATAATGAAGTTCAATCGGACTCCCTTCCTTAAATATGCCGTCAAAAATTGGAGCAAACATGTCTTATCCTCTGGTATCGAAGTGGACCCATCGACACATGCACAGATATTGAACATCATTCGCCGCGGTGAAGCCTTCTGTCTTGGGTTCAATAACGAGACAGCATCTATACATCAGCTCACTCCCTCAACCACTCTGATGCGAGCATCATGGCTGGGGTTACGTCGCACCGTTCAAACGCTACTACAAGACAAAGATATCGATTTGAATTATAGCAGCACCCATGGTCGTTCGGCCTTATCACTCGCGGCAGAGTATGGGACAATTGACGTGCTGGAACTCCTGCTCAAACAGTCTTGGTCTTTCCCCTGCTTATTTCGAACAACGCGGTGGATTGATGTGAATGAAGTGGACAATAGTGGGCTATCGCCACTCGCACATGCAGCATATAATGGCAACGAGAGTATAGTCAGCCTCCTGCTCAGCAAGCAAGGGATACGCCCCGACATGCGGGCCTTTAGTGGAAGAACGCCCTTCGGGTATGCAGCGGGACGTGGCCATCTCAATATCATCAAGATGCTTCTTGCTACCGGCAAGGTCGATCCAGATTCCGTGGATTATGCTGGGCTTACACCCATTGTCTACGCAGCAGATGCTCAGCATGAAGATGTTGTCAGTTTCTTACTGAACACCGGGAGAGTTAATCCCAATCGGAAAGACAGTAGAGATATGACTTTACTCTCACGAGCAGCACACCGTGGCCACGGAAGTATTGTTCGGATACTGCTCGACTTTGGAGTCAAAGACCTCAACTCTAGGGACAAGTATGGACGCACTCCACTACTGCATGCTGCACTCAGGGGACATGAGAATATTGTCAAGTCACTTCTGAGTACCGGGATACCTGACCCGAACTGTCGGGATGCCGGTGGTAAGACGCCGCTCGCGCAGGCCTCGTATTATGGCCATGATGAGATTGTCAGGCTACTACTTGAGAACGATGAGGTCAATCCTGATATAAAGGACGACCATGGCAGGACACCACTGGCTCTTGCTTGCCAGGGGAGCCATGAAAGCATCGTTGCACTACTGCTCAAGACCGGCAGAGTGAACCCAAATTCAGAGGACCACTATGGCACAAAACTGCTTACACATGCGATGGAGTGTGGAAACGAGGGCATCATTAAACTCATTTCGGATGCCATAAACAGTCGGGACAGTGAAAGTAGTCCGAATACCTCTTCTAGATCTTCACTGCAACTAGACGCAGCGCCTGAGTTCCAGCCAGCGATTGACGCGTTCGTGGTAGAAGCCAAGCGAAACCATCAGATTTCCTGGAGATGGCCAAGAAATATTCAATATCCGAGATGGCCGCAGAACCAAACAGTCATTCCATACAAGGGTAGCTGGCTGTCTCGGTGACATCCACCTCATTTAGCTGCACCGTTGGGGATTGTCCACCTGATTCCGAAATACAATAACCTACATTGCTGGCGGCGCAGCTCTCAAGGTCTTGGATATGATACTGTAGTGACTGAGAGCTCAGGATGCCCAAGCCTGTTTGCTAGAGACACACACCATGTTAGGCCGGATTGAATGACGAACGTCTACACGGAGGTGCATGCTGCTACGAGCTAGACTGTTCTGCCAACCCTGCTAGCGATGCAAGCCACTCACAACTGTACACTCCACTGGACGGGCGGGTGTAGATCTGACAGCCGCTTACGTCTCCAGCCTTCCAAGGATTCACCCGTGTTGCCAGCAAAGCAATTTCAGGAACAGGACAAAGAGCTCTTCGACATCCCGTCCAAACTAGACCGAACTGCTAAAGTAGGAATATCGTCAACGTGCACAGCATTATGGGGAGCTTGATTCACGCAGATTGCATCATGCATGGTGAGACCTTGGCAAGCGAATAGTATCAAAACGGTAGTGATATGCTTCCGCCCACGGAACGGGTAGTCATAATCTGGATCGGGTCAATCCGTGATGTAAGCCGGCAGGAGCCCGAATTATAGGATTCTCTATCCTACACCCGCCGTATACGAGACCGCGCCACCGAATATCTCTGGAATACAAGTCTCCTTTGTTCTCCGGAGGTACACAGTGCAGTAGGCTAGTGCGGGTACTAAAATAATCCTAAAGAATAAGGTGTGCAGCTCAATCTGGCATGCCAGATGGAGGGGGAAGACCGATCCCCATTCGATCGGAGGCACCATCTGGACCCGCAGCAAGTGGATTCGTGTGAGTGGGTCTTGCTCTCCCCTGATCCCCGCAACTCACATCTGCAGCCTATTATCATCTTGCATCTAGGCTTGGCCGACGACATCGAAACTCTGGCTGAGGTCATCATCCGCGGTGAATTGCTGACTCATCTTCACTGATGCACATCTCCAACAACCCCAGACTTGGCCAGAAGGCAATAACTGGCTGGACACACTGGTGGGAGACAAAAATAGACGGCTTCTTAATCTGGCCTTACACGAAGATGCGGAGCCACTCACCACTTAACGTCCCGCCTAGGAACGATCGACATCCGTGGAAGCTATTCCCTGCCGCTTTCGATGCTGCTAAACAGAGGACAATGACAAAGACCACATCCATCGCTGCTTTAGGGCTGAGAAACATGAGCACATCTCAACGTCATCCTACCAGCCCGCCATTGTGAGGGAGGTGAACTCCATCAACCATTCATTCAACCGCCATCAAGTCACTTTGCCGGACCAGGGCACGTCCAGGAGGGAATGCGGCCACTCGACGTATCCCTACGTCATGGCTAGACGTCTCTTCACTCACCACTCCTTATTTAAACCTGGCTGATCTCCAAGAAATCTCAATCCTCATCATCAACACAATAACTGACTCAGCAAATCTGACTGTCTACAACTACCAAATTTAAAACTCAATATCTACAATTCTATCTTCAATTTCTAAACAAAGCACACATACAATTGCCCATCATGTCCGGACTTATGCACAAGGTTAAGGATGCCATGACTGGCCACCACAAGGAATCCAGCAACACCTCTTCCTCCAACGCTGGTCCCCACTCCTCCAACATGGCCAACAAGATGGACCCCCGCGTCGACAGCGACCGCGGTAAGCTTTATCCCCCTCCAATGGTCCCCTCCAATACGATACTAACATACTCCCCAGACAACCGCGCCCGCCACGAAGCCATGGGCGGCGCTCACGGCCCCCACGACTCCAGCATGGCCAACAAGATGGACCCCCGCGTCGACAGTGACCGTGACAACCGTGCCAACCCTACCGGCGGTATGGGCGGCTCCGGTGCCGGCTACTCCTCCGGTGGCTACTCTTCGGGTCCTCATGAGACCGGTATGGCCAACAAGATGGACCCCCGTGTCGACAGTGACCGCGACAACCGTGCCCGTCACCAGGCTATGGGCGGTGCCCACGGCCCTCACGACTCCAGCATGGCGAACAAGATGGACCCCCGCGTTGACAGTGACAGAGGTACATACATACCCCCTTACCCAGCATCCATTATACCATCAAACATAATACTAACACCCAACCCAGACAACCGTGCCGCTGGCGGCTACTCCGGCACCCACACCACTGGCGCAGGCTACGGCGGTGCAGGAACAGGTGCAGGCTACGGCAGCAGCGGCGTGAACGACTACACCACCAGCAGCGGCTACGGTGGCAGCAGCAACGCAGGCCCTCACGGCTCCAACATGGCCAACAAGATGGATCCCCGCGTTGACTCGGACATGGACAACCGCGCCCGTCACCAGGGAATGGCCAGCAGCAGCTACAACACTACCGGCCAGAGCACCACCGCCGGCCCTCACGGCTCCAACATGGCTAACAAGCTCGACCCCCGCGTCGACTCGGACCTCGATAACCGCGGGACCCTTGGCACCCAGCGGGGGTTTTGAGGGCTTGGTTGAGCTAAGGGATGATGTTTATTAGAGCAGCAGCAGCAGAACATATTGCTTGCTTTGTTGATGATGATTATCCATGATGACCATATGTATGTGGGGCCAGGAGATAAAAGAGACTGGGCCTGAGATGATATGAGATGATTGATTGATACCAGCGAATTGTCTATTTTTTGTTTTTTATGTGACTTAATGACTGGGTGTGTACTATTATCAGATTGATGAAGAGAGAGAAGGAAATAAATCAATCCACCATTGATAAAAAAACAAATTTCCAGAATTTTAAATGCCTTGCTTCCATCTTATCTATACTACTAAGCTAAGCTAAATAGCCAGTAGTTACTAGTAGTACTGAACTAAATCCCAGGTCATGCCAATTATGCAACTCAAAAAGTAGTACGTAACTGATATCGGCTTGGATTTCAGTAACTAGCGCAACTAAAATAGTACTAAGTAGTTAGTAGTAGTCAGTACTGACTCATATATACATACTTACTATCTCCCCAGTACTACTATTAATGTACTTCGTACTACTTACTATCTATATGCAGAACACGATGGTTACTACTAGTAGTTCTTATTGTTTGTGCTTATCTACTTTACTACTAGGAACCAATAATCAGAAGGAATACCAGTACTAGAAATAATTATTTATTATCAGAATACTAAACATGTACCTGCTCGTAATAACTTAATTGAACTTCACAGCAGTCAATAAGTAATTAGTAGCTAGCAGTACTTGAATTTCGAGAGAATATTTATTTACTATCTATTTTCAATGGCAATATATATATGGAACGGTTGGGCAATGGATGATCCTCCTACTAAGTATTACTACTACTGTAGTTACTGTGTTCAGAATGAACGGTATGGTATTGTACCGTAGGTTGTGTAGTAGTACTTCGTGGGTAGCTAAATGGTAGTAGTAGTAGTGGTGGTGGTGGTGGTAGTACTATCGGAGATGATAAAGATACTAGTAGTGGGTGGGGTGGGATTGGGTTGAACAGACTGCCAGCCGGCCAACCCGCCGAGCATCGTGATGCTGCGTTCTCATGTCACCTCACATCACATCACAAGGACAGGGGAACTGATCTTGTAGTGTGCTGCCTAATTTCAGACAGGGATGATATATCTGAGTAGGTAGGTATTGGATAAAATATGAAATATATGTATAGCTGGTATGTACATCTCACAACCACACCCCATTCATGCGCGCCAATGAATCTCCGTTCCGGACAAACCAAAAACAAATTAAAAGGGGGCCACTAGTGACTGTCTGACTGACTTCAAACGCCAACCTCCGGTTTCCAAAGAAGATGATTCCCGTGTGTGTACTCCAAGCCGGGTGCGGTTCGCAAGGCATGGCATGGTAGGTGGTCCACTGTGTTGATGGTGAAATAGCCAGTGCCGAACGGGATGGAGTGAGAGGGAGTGTGTGTAAGGGAGAAAGGATGCTGCAAATGGGTATAAAATAGGTGGAATAGGTGGGATGAAAGAGAATAAATGGGGAAGCAGAGGGGAAAGAAAACAATCGCGATGCTCAATGCTGGGACTTAAGAAGCTAATAACAATGGGACATGAAAATACGGCTCGAGAATGCAAAAGACAAAAGACATCAAACCAAGACGACAATAGGGATGCACATATCAATGACGACTCAGTCCTGTGGACTAGATGCAAGGGTTGTCCAAATCTAGAAGCCAAATGCAGCTGTTGAGGAGCAGATCGGAGCGATCTATCCAATAATGTCGCGACCACACTCCTCGTTGCTTCAGGGCATGGCGGCCCGGCCGTCAAGGGCTAGGGGCCCCGAATCGTTCAATGGCGTCAAAGGATTGTCCTCAGATGACTCCGACCGGACAGGGGTGTCCGCACGCAGGTGGGACTGGCGGGCCTGCAGAGCATTGGGTGACTGGGTCACGGACTGCCAGCCAGGGACTTCATTATCGGCATTAACAGGGGTGCCATCATTGTTGGACGTGGGAGCGGGGGCACGCCGCGCATCATCGGATGCATCTGTGTCTTGCAGACGCATGCTCTCAATATTGGCAGCGAGGCCTGCCTCGGCCGGCAGGTTGTCCTGGCGGGGTTCGTCGCCAGAAGGGGCTGACTGGGCCTCCAACTGGGGGGAATTTGTTTGTGACCGAGATGCATCAGTGGTGTCCTGCTTGTCCTCTGGCGAGTCCTTCTTCTCGTCCTCCTCGTCAAAATCGTTTGTATCATCGACCTCGGCGCTTAAATCGGTGTAGGCACGGCAGTTGGGACATTGGAACATGGGGTAGTCTGGCGTGTGGATAAGACGACTAACGCATTTGTAATGCCAGACGTGGGCGCAGGCTGCCATGAACAAACACTGGTAAGGCCGCTTCAAACAAATTAGCCGTGTCCTGCAGTTGTGCGATCCGCCAGAAAGAGAGGGAACAAACCAGAACAGAACCAAGACAAATGGAGCATTCCCGACATCCAGAATAATCCGCTGTATCTCCCTTGCCCAAATTCCGAATCAGACTCTCGGTGTTTTTACTGCATCGCTCATTAGCCGGTAGTCCACACATACAGCTTCGAAGCCAGATCATCATACTTGAATTCATTCGGCTGCTGCTGCCAGGACCGATTACACTCGATCCGTATACGGACGCAGCGGAAAATCATCTCCTCGCCTCCCCGAAAATCAATCCCCAGCTGCACAATATCTCCATCCTTCACAGTATATAGCCGAGACGGCATGTTCGGCTGGCTCAAGCGCATGTGGTTGAGAAACGTCCCCGACGAGCTTCCAACATCCTTGATATGCCACTGGCCGTTCAGATATAAAAATTCGCAGTGTTTCCGACTCACAACCTTCGACTTGAACCCGACCGGGGCATCGGAGGGGTCCGTTGGGTTGGCCACGGGCAGGCCATCGCGTTCTGAGTACCGACCAACTCGGATGACGCAACTTTCAGACGGGAGCGTTCGCGAGACGGGGATGAAGGGCAAGGAGGGTCGGGAGCTTTGATGGGTGTCTTGATGGGGGAAGAAGCGAATGGTCGCTTTCTGCTTCGGTCGCGGGGACGCAGTCGACGGGTTCTCCGACATCACGGGGTCGGACGAGTCGAGGGCTCCCGCGTGAAGGTTGGACGAGGCCGATGGGCTGGTGGCATCGAGATCAGGTCTCGCATCCAGTGCCTGAGAGGCACCTCTGGGCCGCACCATGGTCGTGCCTTGAGCTGTGGTCTGACGGCCACCGGATTGGTTGTTGGAAGGAGAAGAGCTGGACAGGTCGGACTGGCGGGAGGAACGCAAGTCGAGCTCGAGGCCGCGGTAGCTGGGGAAAAAAACCGCACTATAGCGGGCAAGAGTGGATGGCTGCTCACTTTCGGGACATGGGCCCGACGAGCGAGACCCCACAGGCGAGAGTTGCGAAGACTCGGTCCCAGTGGAGGCGGGAGAAAACCAGGAAACTCGACTGCTGAGGGTATGACGACGTGAGATGCGGGGACCGTTGGTCGATGATGACGAGGCAGGAGGGTGCGAGGATGAGGAAGAGGAAGCGGAGGAGGAGAAATGCTGCTGCGTATAGGCACGCAGTTGGCTCAGACGACGGAGGGGTCCTGAGGAGCGAGAATCGGATGGGAGGTTGGAGGAGGCGGAGGCGGAAACGGATGCAGACACAGACATGGGGTTGGGATTGGAAAGGGAAAGGGAAAAAAAAAAAGGGAAAGAAGAAGAAGAAGAAAAAAAAGAAAAGAAACAAAGAAAGAAAAGGAAAATAAAAAGTGAATCAAATCAAATCAAGGCAGAGTCAAATCAATCGGGTTTTGCTTCTCCTGATTTAATTCTTGGAAATTCAGTGGGAAAGGGATCGGATTTATCAAGTCTTCTGATCCTTTCTCTTTTGTTTCTTTCTTCTGTCACCCTCCTCTCTCACTCTCTTATCAACCTTCGTCGAGAGTGACAACTCGGTCGGTTGTTAAGTTTGTTAGCTGATCGGGGGAAACAGAGGTCCACGAGACGATCGCTTCTCGAATCTGCTGTTCCTGTCCACTTTCTGGTTGTCTGTCACCTCGTGCGATCGACGCGACAGCCCTAAATTGGGATCTTATTTTTTTGACAGTCTTCAAATTCTTCCGTTCAGGTTCAGTCGGGGACAGAGGAGTGAGGTTTAGAGTTGTCCGCTGCTTCGGCGCATTGCAATGGTTCGAAGGTGGAGCCGGAGGCAAATCTGGGTCTCTTTGGGAATCAGGGCAGACGATCAGGGCCAGTGATGTAGGGGAGGAGGACAATAAAATAGAAGTTATCCTTGACAGGTTCTAAGGGGAGAGAAGGAAGGGGAAAGAAAGGGAGGAACTAGTAAAGATAAATTGCGCACTGAACAGAAAAAGAGGGGAGGAGGAAATATCTAAGTCGAGGCTGGTGGGAAAGTGTTGCTATTTCTCTTACTTCTTCGTCTCCCTTGGGTTGGAATGCCGGAACAGAATGGCAACCATGCGAGTCAAATGGTAAGATCTTCTCCTCTGTGGGGCAAACGGAATGCGCAGGTCTGCAGTAAGTATCTAGTAGTAGTAGTGGTAGTAGTACGTACTAATTCTACGACTAGAGACGACCGGTTCCCCATTCGAAGAGGGACCAGCCTGATACTTCGAGAGAGAGGAGGCGCATCGCACCATGTCTGCTCTATCCAGAAACTCCATCCATCCAGGGCGGAGCGGCGAATTACAGTGAGGGTCCTGTTATTAGTTGGACGAGTGAGCCTGCGCCCCCCGAAACACGGGCTACCATGGTTGCCCGTCTGAGAAGATTCCACTGGGCTTCCATTTAGCGTCAAACCACCAGTCGGTTCGTCACGAAGTACATCGTCTACTACAGGTCCTCGGTTCTCGAGGAACATAAATCTCCCCGATCGGAGTTGTTGTCTGACTGCAGGTCGATGGATTGACTGCAGGCATCTTTTAAGTAACTCCGGGGAGTGGAGCAAGTATCAAATTGGTCGCCCGGGTTGCAGGGCGAAAAAAGCAATGCCGATGCCCTCCGCCGTTTTTCCCGGTCTGAGATCAAATAAAACGTCCGGAACATGGAACATCCTTTCTGCAGGTTTATTCCAGGAGCCTCTGTCTGACTGACAGTGGCAATCTAGTCTCCGTACTCCGTAACCAGTAGTTTGGCCTCTCCCCTTTGCCCCAGCATTCCATCGCCTGCATCCTGCATAGTGACCGGGATAGTCGAATTAGCACGATGTAGATAGTAGTCTCGAAGTATCCCTTTTTTTGTATATATCTGAATCTGTACGACTGCGTCACAACTGACGCACGGAAGGGGGTCGATCTGTCCTGAGCAAATCCACATGGGGACCAGTGAAGGGAAGGGATGATTCGATACCAGGCCATGCTATGGACGGGGATCTCGTGGGCTCCTCCGCACTTTTGCGCTGCCCATGGACATTTTAGCTTTGCGGGGCAGGGGAGAAAGGAGAAGACATCATTTGCACACCGGGAAAAACTGCTTACCGTAAGCCTCTGAGGTTTTGTCGAATGGATGGTTCAGCCGGCCAGTGATTGGCATCGGGATCATGGGCCCGGGCCTTCATGTGATGCAAGCCATTTTTTGATGGTGTGAATATTAAGAAGACTGTTTTTGCTCATCTCCTCTCACGTGGTCTATGTGGTGGCAACACACTATACACCCAATCACACGCACTCTCTTTTTTTTTTCTGGTGTATCTCCCTGGCGTTGCATGTAGTACTCTGAGAAATATATGGAGTATGTAGATGCGCAGTAGATAAACCGGTGGGTGTTGGATATGGTTTCAAAAGCATGCACAGGTAGATGCAGGGGTAAATGCGTCGCAACAAGTCTCAGCGTGGAATCCGATGCAATCCCATCATCCAAGCAAGTTTCATTAACTAATCCATCCCTGTCAGCAGATACTTACTTCTACTTCTACTTACTAACCAGATAACCAGATAGTTCCGCCACGAGCAACACGGCTGTACCCGTGACAGATCCCAGATGACTGGAATTTAAATATAATTCTGCCATGTTGTGCCTGTACTTTTGAAGGACTGATCCATTGGCATGCCACTAGTTTGAGGATGCTATGATGATGATGATGATGGTGGTGGTGGTGATGATGGTTGACAGGTGATTGATCCGAAATAGTTAGTAGATAGTTGTTGGTCCAAGCATGGATGTTGATCATCTTCCCCGAATGCTGTCCGGTGATCAGCATACTGTCGCCTCACTGTCCACTCAGGATGCTTTTCTGAGTTGATACTACTTGCTGCTATACAAAATACCTGGAAACCGGCAGTCTTCTAGGAACTCCAGCGATAAATGATCCTGGTCCTGCAAGCTGGTAGTAGTTGTTCATTCATGCAGACGGGTAAATAACTTTCTTTAACATTCTTTTTCCTTTGTTGCTGCTGAGGCTGAAATCTGTGTAGACCGGGCCATACTACTACTAGTAATTAGCTGCTACAACCTGGGTCTTGCTAAGAAGTTACGTATGGTTCGAATCCGTAGCAAGTGAATCTACGGTGTAGGAACTGTGCTCTGGGGCGATGTGTTAGCTTCCGAAGTGGAACCAGAGGCATTTATTTCTTGACCCCATCATGATGTTTAATGAGCATGCGAAAAATAAAATTGGTATAGAATGGTTGCTAATTAGTTTAATTGTTGAGATCAGTTGATGACATGCTTCAATGTCTGCATAAATAAATAGGTGGGAACACTCATGGGACTAGTTTCAGTATCCTAGACGATATGGCGGGAATGTATGTGGCTGGGAATTGGGGGGTGGAGGTGGAGGGAGGGAGGGAGAGCAAAAGAAGGTGAGGCCGAGCAAGAGGGAGCTCTCTCTCTCTCTCTCTCTCTCTCTCTCTCTCTTCCTTTCTAAATCATGAACTAATGACGGGCATGGATACTAAACGGACTAGTGACGAGTGGTTCCATCCAAGAGCTGTTGCCCAGTGGGGCCGCCCGACAGAAAACGAGCAAGCGAAAAGCAAAGCAATGACGAGCAAAAGATAAACAACCGGGGGGGGGGGAATGTCCCCGGTCGGGGGATGGGACCTTCTGGTTTGATAACGGCGGTGACAGATCTACTACGTACTGTACTAACTACAATATAGATAGATACTAGTAGTAGTTTAGACGATAGAGTCATGAATTTAGTTGAGCAATAGTATAGTTCAAGATTGAGTAATATCATCACCTAAAATTAAAATGAACAGAATAAATAGTAAGGTGGTTGGTGAAATTGGAGCTTCCCCTGCCTGCTTTTTTTCTGCGCGTTATCATTTGCCCGACTCCAAAGTGGTGCTGGCGCGGGTTCTTACTTTACCACTAACTGCAGTAGCAGTAACAGTAACTAACCATTACCACTGCGGGAAACCTAACTCACAACCAGACTGGCTTGCTTCTTTCATCTCTGCTCACTCACTCTCTTACTACTCTCTCTCTCTCTCTCCATCCACCCATCCCAGAATCCCCTCTGGTGATGAACCTCTATCCCCCTGGGTCTTCCATTCTCCGCCATTTCCCCCCTCCCCTTGTCATCTTGCTCTCCCCTCCATTGACTCTTTCCATTGTATGTTTTCCAAAGGAGGAAAGCAACGTGCTAAGGGTCCCTTGAAGCAAACGGAAGCTACTTACCCAACCTGACCTGACCTAACCTAACCTAACCAACCAACCTCATTCCGTCTCATCTCCCCTTCCTCCTACTACTTACGACAGTCGACTACTTACTACACTACGGCTACAGCAAACCACTCCTCGTACTATCTATCCATCCATCCTTCCCTACTTCCCTCTCCCCTCTCAGGAAACCATCACGCGCCGGGCCTTGTGTTCCCGTAGCTCCCTCTGCCAGAGCCTCTCTTCCCGTCCCCTTCTTGCGTTTCTCTCAATCGCCATTCGGTCCTTCCCTCGAACTCTGCCTGCTCTTCCCCCCGACCGCCTCCCGTTCCCACGTCTGTTCCGCCTCCGCTGCAAGTCTTTGTTGGATGGAATAAGGGAAGGCGACAAGCTTGCTGGCATTAAGGAGCCCGACCTGATCCTCTCCCCTCCCAATCCATTCGGCGTATCTTCCGCCATACTCTTTGCTTCCCTATTCAACGCTGGCGGGGCCGTCTGTTGGTCCTGCGGGCTCCCCATTCTGAAGGCATGAGCGGAATCACGAACGCCTGTCTGTCCTGCTTCTCGACAGTTGACCGATGGTGCCATATCTCAGCTTGTCTCGGCCCGATCGGAGGCCGCTCAAGGGATGGCATTTATGAAACCACCTTGGCAGACAACGAGCGCGAAGCAGTTTCCGATCTTCTAGGTTACCTTGAAAACGTACGTTCATTGCTGTCGCGCCCTCCAGTGCTGCTTCTGCTCCACCCGGAAATCGCTTTTGCTCACAAGTATTCTTTGATAGAGGACCGAGACCGACTTCTTCGCCGGTGAACCCCTTCGGGCCTTGAGCACCCTCGTCTATTCCGATAATGTCGATCTCCAACGGAGCGCCAGTCTGACATTCGCTGAAATCACGGAGAGAGGTACGGCTGATACGCACAGACCTTGTTGTTCCGATGGTGGCTAACATCCGGGGTATTTGCAGATGTGCGCGAGGTCGATCGAGACACGTTGGAGCCCATCCTCTTCTTGTTGCAGAGTTCGGACATTGAAGTTCAACGTGCTGCCAGTGCAGCACTAGGCAACTTGGCTGTAAATGGTGGGTTTCGCTTTCATCTATTTCTCGCGCCAGCAGGATTACTGACCGGTCGCAGCGGACAATAAGGTGCTGATCGTCGCTTTGGGAGGACTGGCTCCTCTAATACGGCAGATGATGTCACCCAATGTGGAAGTGCAATGCAATGCGGTCGGTTGCATTACAAACTTGGCTACCCATGAGGATAATAAGGCCAAGATCGCTCGATCCGGTGCCTTGGGCCCGTTGATCCGTCTAGCGAAGTCGAAGGACATGCGTGTACAACGAAATGCCACGGGGGCGTTGCTGAATATGACACACTCAGGTAGGTTGCGAGGATCCCAAGATGGAGTGGCTCTGCTAACATTGCGATCCATAGATGATAACCGACAACAACTTGTCAACGCCGGCGCTATCCCCGTTCTTGTTCAATTGCTTTCCTCTCCCGATGTGGATGTACAATACTACTGCACTACCGCCCTCAGTAACATCGCTGTCGACTCGTCGAATCGCAAGCGCCTGGCTCAAACCGAGTCCAGGCTGGTTCAATCGCTGGTGCACCTGATGGATTCGTCAACACCCAAGGTCCAATGTCAAGCGGCGTTGGCACTGCGCAACCTTGCCTCGGACGAGAAATACCAGCTCGAAATTGTTCGAGCCAAGGGTCTTCCGCCCCTTTTGCGACTGCTGCAGTCATCCTACCTTCCTCTCATCCTATCCGCCGTCGCGTGTATCCGCAACATCTCCATCCATCCTCTGAACGAATCGCCTATTATCGATGCGGGCTTCCTCAAGCCCCTGGTGGACCTGCTGGGATCGACTGATAATGAGGAGATTCAATGTCACGCCATCTCGACCCTCCGGAACCTTGCCGCAAGCTCGGATCGAAACAAGGAGCTGGTCCTGCAGGCCGGCGCTGTTCAGAAGTGCAAGGACCTCGTCCTCCGTGTGCCCCTCAGCGTTCAGTCTGAAATGACTGCTGCGATCGCGGTTCTGGCTCTGAGCGACGAGTTAAAACCGCATCTCCTTAACCTGGGGGTGTTTGACGTCCTGATTCCTTTGACGGAATCGGAAAGCATCGAAGTGCAAGGGAACAGCGCTGCGGCGCTGGGAAATCTTTCCTCTAAAGGTATGACCCCACCGCGTGCAAATGTGTTAATGTGCCCTCCATATACTAATAGGTGTGAATCCAGTGGGTGACTACTCCATTTTTGTGCGTGATTGGGCAGATCCGAACGGAGGTATTCACGGATACCTCAACCGCTTCCTCGCCAGTGGCGACCCGACATTCCAGCATATCGCCATCTGGACTCTGCTTCAACTTCTGGAATCAGAGGATCAAAGACTCATCGGCTATATCGCCAAGTCCGACGATATCGTTCAGATGGTCAAGTCCATCTCCGACAAGAACATCGAATCGGACGAGGAGGATGCTGAAGACGGGGAAGGCGAGGTCATTGCGCTGGCTCGGCGATGCCTCGAGTTCCTCGGGAACGGTCACAAGCTTGTAGAAGCCTAAATATTCCTCCCTTGACTTTAATCCTCACCTCATCTAACGACCTGTGTATGGCTTTGGACCATCCCCTTTCACTTCCCTATTTATCTTCGACCGACTTCTTTTCTTCTCTTCTCTATCTGTGTTCCCACTGCCGTTCTTATCTATAAGTTGAGCCGCCTTGTGTTCCAATGTGTTGACCCATTGATGTCTAGCTGTCCAAGGTGTTAAGCGGGCATGTGCTTCGGTGTCTCTTTTGATTCGTGTCAGCGAGCATTCGGTGTGCTTGAGATCGTTGTCCGTTTGTTGTCTATAGTCACTTCTCTGAGGGAGAACTGACGCTGTGCCGACTTTTAATTGTGTCTGCGCATAATACTGTATTCACCGTTAGAGGATTTCGAGTCTATACTTGCAATACATTGATACCATGATTATAATAGCTATCGTTGTAGATACTTTGTCTACATGACCTGTCTCAGTAACACAAGAATGTATACAAAGGCCTCTTGATTGGTCCGTGCTAGCTGTCCGGAAAGAGTGTTGTTCCGGCCGAGACCGGCTCCCGCCGAAAAAGAAAAGCTTTGCCAGCATCTCGCGTCAACAACTTAAGCTCGACTATCTCCGAGCCTCTCCCTTCTCTTCCTCTTCTTACTTTCTTCTAATATCCAGTCTGTAAGACGCAGCGCTGGAATGGCCACTGCACTACCCACTTTGGCCATCCCAGGCCAGCGCCTGGGCTCAATTGCCTCATATGCCGCCGGTCCTGGTACACACGTGCAGAACGCAACCATCTATGCCTCGATCGCAGGCCCCGTGGTCGTTGATCAAGCGCAACCCAGCTCCAAAGCAAAGCTCATCCTGAGTGTCTCCCGCACAGGCCCCAAGAAGGCAGCTGCACCTGCACCCAGCACCAAGGCGTCCGCCAAACCAGCCACCACTGGAAAGCCCAAGCTGAGATACAACACCCTCCCCGCCGTCGACTCGGTCGTGTTGGCGCGCGTTACCCGCGTTCAGAAGCGACAAGCCACCGTGTCTATTCTAGTTGTGCTCGATGAATCTGCTAGTTCCCAGCCTCTCAACCCCGCACAGACTGCATCGGACAATGACAACATCGAAGCTATTCTCTCGTCCGCGGCTAATCCAGAGAACCATAGCAACTCGGACGAACTTCGCTTCCAGGCGCTGATCCGCAAGGAGGACGTTCGCGCCGTTGAGAAAGACCGCGTCGTCATGGATGAGATGTTCCGTGTTGGGGATATTGTTCGTGGAACGGTCATCTCGCTCGGTGATCAGAGCTTCTACTATCTTACCACCGCACGCAATGATCTGGGTGTCGTTATGGCTCGCAGTGAGTCGGGAAATATGATGTTCCCGGTTAGCTGGAAGGAAATGAGAGATCCTGTTACTGGGGTCGCGGAGTTGAGGAAGGTTGCTAGGCCGTTTTGAGAGGTCTATCACCTTTTTCTGGGGTGAGAGGAATTGAATGATACCAGCAATTATGAATGATGCGTTGGTCTGGCCAAGCCTTGATGATGGCTGGCTAGGCTAGGCTATGGCGCTCATCATTAACAACCACAGTCTACTATCTGCCACGGCACTCGCTTACTTAGAGGGGTAGCCGGATTGGCTGAGTGACTGATCCCGAAGGAGTCAGGCCCTTGCAGCAGTACCTGAGGTCGGTGCGCTCGCGCTCGCATATGATTAGGCCGGCCCCTGCTTGCTTACAGCTTGCTTTGCTCTGAAGACAGTCGCGGAAGCGCGCGAGTGCATACATATGACTGCCGCCGGGCAAGCAGACTACTACACTCGACATGACTGTACATATTTTTAACAGTTGATGTACTCACATCATCGGCTAGTCGTATGACATGACATGACTGCCAACCCGCATCGCGGACATCCTAACATTATTTTTGATCCTTGTAAGGGATACAAATGAAACCACATTCACACTTTCTGCTTTTCCAGTTAGCTACTACCCTAGGACGTCTTTGTTTTCTTGTTTTCCTCCTTAGTATACATGGCTTTGGCTTTCCCAATGCTAAGCTGTGTTTGTCATGTGAGGTAGATGAACGGTTACCGCGCAAGGTCTTATACTCACTTTGCGACCCTTGTTTAGAGCTTCCTTATTCTGATTTTTTATGTGGATTGGGAAGTATTACATACAAGGGCACATACATATACCTTTATTGTAGTTAATTTAATATAATTCAATTTAACTTTTTCTCTCACTAACAACATCTATATACCCACCCCAAACAATAATTCGATGAAAAAGAAGAACTACTACTTCTTCAACGTCTTCTGCTTCTCCGCATCAATCAACTTCCTCCCCTGCACAACCAACCCCTTCCTCCGCCGCACATTATCCATATACCTCTTGGCCACATTCTCCCTATCCGCCAACTCACCCAAATCCTCCAACTCCTCCTCCGTCGCCGGAACCCAGAACGGATCTTCATCGAGCGCCTCAAAGCCCGCAAAGATCAATTGAGGCTGCGCTGCCCCGGACGTCCGCTTACGGATTTCTTCCGCGAAGCCGAATGATTCTGCCACGGGCAGGAGGGATAGGATGGTGAAGAAGGGGGTGCCTTCTTTCATTACCTCGGAGAGGATTCGGCCCCGGCGTCGGGTTATTACGCCGTAGACACGGCCGAGGACTTCCGCTGTTTTGATTTTTAGTATCTGGTGGGGGTAAGGGGGAAGGTGTGGGGGTAAGGGGTTAGGTTACGCACTCGAGGCTTGAATCTCGCAACTGTACATGGCTAGCATGATTCGAGGGCTCCAGTCCAGGAAGCCCTGGGTGATGCTGTCGCGGACGAGACGGATGGCTTCGCCGGTTAGACGGCCTAGGTCGAGGTCTTCGTCGGTGGTGGTGGTGTTGATGGAGACGGATTCGAGGAATACGGCGATGCCTTGCATGGGTTCTTGGCAGAGAGGACCTTGGCCGGTTGCGAGTTGGAAGGCGTGCGCGATCTTGTCGCTGAGGTCGCGGACCATCAGGGCTTCGCGGGTGCTGGTGTCGGTGTTGATTTGGGGTTGTTGTTGGTGGGGTTCGAGTAGGCTATACATAGGTTTATGTGTTAGATAGGTGAGGAATCTTGTGATATGGGGTGTAAGGAGGAGGGGGGCATACAATTTCTCGCAGGTGTTGACCTCTGTTGCATCGATCAGGATGTTGGGTCCAACGCGTCGTGGGCCAAAGGCTGTGATCCGCTCGACGACGTCCTTCCAGCGTCCCTTGTCGTCGGTTGCTTCGTCTTCGAACAGCTTGGCCAGTTCTTGCTTGAAGTCCTTCAGGGAGAGGGAGGTTGCTTCGCGGGCCTCGCCGGTGGCGTCGCTGGCTTCCATCTGCTGGGAGCTTTCGGCCGTGGTGGTTCCGTTGGTGGGTTGTTCTCCCTCGCTGGACTGGGTCTCGGCTGCTGTGCGCTTCTCGGTTTGCAGACGCTTGATGGTTCCCACGTGCTTGGAGATGAAGTCTGTGACGGCTTCAGGGAGCGGCACCACGCGCAGGCGCATGGTCAGTTGCTTGGATGAGGAGGTGGTTTGGACGCCGCCTCGTCCGAGCTCGGGGTTCTTGGGAGATGCCATTTCGGGGGCACTGATGATGGTTTCCCGGTAGGGCACGATGGTTTGGCCGGTTGAGATTTCACATTTGGCGAAACGTTCGCGGAGATCCTTGATACAACGCTCGAGATGCAATTCACCGGCGGTCAGGATGACGTGCTCGCCGCTGGGGAGAACCTCGTATTGCGCACAAGGGTCGCTTTGCTCGAGGAGACGTAGACCAGTTACCATCTTGCTGAGGTCTGCTGGGTTCACGGGCTCTAGGGCGACTCGCACGATGGGTGGCGTGTTGAGGGAGACACCAGCCAAGTTGATGCTGCCCTCGAGCTGCGAGGACAGAGTGCCTGTCTTGAGAACGTGGCCTGCAAGACCGCCAATACCGAAGACGACACCTGCCGGTATCGACTGAAGAGGTTCGAAGCTGCGGCCCATGAGGAGGTAGAGATCGGTGACGGTAACCTTCTGGGGTACGGGGCTGGCATGCGGGTTCTCCGGCGAGAACTTGGGTGCCAGGACGTACACCGAGTCTCCCACTGAGAGGGTTCCGGAGTATAGACGGGCAAATCCAATGAGATGTTCAGGGTCATCCTTCTCCTCGCTCTCGGCCGGTTGATCATCTGATATGGTCGTCCTTTCAAAGGCGGATGTTATGCGAGTATACTCATCTGTCTGGTCGCCGTTGGCTTCTGCCTGCATTTTGGCGATCTCCTCTCGCTTCTTGCGGGCAATCTCCCGAGCTTCGTCTGCCGACATGGTGCCACCAGCTCGCTTCTTGCTCGATCCCAGCTCGCTCTCCGGGATGGACATCATTTTACTGACGTAGGCAATGACAGGCTCATCTTTTTGGGTCTTGAAGTTGACCATAGCATCCTTCACCTTGGGATCCACGAACTGGGAGCCAGGAGATTCTTCGATCATTGCTGGCAACCGAGCTGCTTGAGCAGTTGGCGGGCTGGGAAGGTACTCAATAACGGACACCAGCACGGCAGTAGACAAAGGCAGCCACATCGAGAACAGCGTGGTCATGATGTTGCGGGGATCGCGTGAGCGCAGGATGTATTGCGGAATGTTGATGTTCAGGGACTTGGTGATCTTTTCCAACAAAGCCGGGTCGCTGTTCAAATTAGCAGATGTACATCACGTATTTACCGTTTTACATACCCCTTTCCTGTGCCTGTGCCTGTTGTAGCCTCGTATGCCGCCCAGATACTGTCCAAGACAAGCTGAACGAACATAGGCTTCAATGCACGTCCCTTTAAGTGCTTCGAACCCAGAACTCGCTTTGTTTTGGGATCGAGATAGTAATCTCCCCAGAGCACCTTTTCGAGGACAGTGCGCTTGATTCCGAGCTTTCTTTCGTAGATGGCGGCAAACTGACGGATTGTAAAAGCCCAGCCGTCGACAGCACTACAGAAGATGACGTTGTTCTTCTCTGGTGCAAAGTAAAGATCTTCATCGTCTTTTTCCTCATACTCGGCTGTAGGCTCGTCATCCTGCTCATGCTTCTTGGAGCGAGCCGCAGATTCATTAGCACGCTCCTCCATGCGCTCTCGCCATTGGAGGTCCTCTTCCATCCGTTCACCCTGGTAGAAACTACCGATAACAGCATTGACTTGCTCCAGCAGCTTGCTCATATGGGAGTAAGCCTCGCTGGGGCTCATCTTCAGCTCCGTGATTAGTCGATCGATCTTATTGATGACAAGGATGGGCTTCAATTGCTCCACCCAGGTTTGACGCAGCACCGTGACTGTCTGACTGCAGACACCCTCTACGGCATCTACAAGCACCACGGCACCATCACAAAGACGGGATGCGGTCGACACTTCACTGCTGAAATCGATATGGCCTGGCGAGTCGATCAGGTTGATCAGGTACTCTTTCGCCACGGGCGCAGCGTCGGGAGCAGGACGGCGCATCATAGAAAAGAAGAGCGAAATGGCAGAAGACTCCATGGTGATGCCTCGGAGCTGCTCATCTGGACGGGAATCCAGATAGCGGATCTTGCCCGCCAGCTTTGGTGAGATGATGCCATTGGTGGCAATCAAACTATCTGTCAAGGACGTTTTACCGTGATCCTAAATAGGTGTGAGTAGAGAGAAATTCATAGACGGATGTAGTCTGATAGACTTGGACAAGCAGAAAGTACATACGACGTGGGCGAGAATGCAGATCTGGGATGGCTGTTAGTGATGGCGGACGGAGCAAAGATGATGATGATGGAAGTGGGATGGATGGAGGGGTAACTTGCATTGCGGATGTCATCGGGCCTCCGTTGCAGACGGACGAGATCATCCACGTTAACAACAGGCATTTTGGGATGTTGCTGGTGCTGCCAAACAGCTCCCAGAGTCCAAGGTAAAATCCAGGCCGGAAAGTTGCTCTTTCGTTGGGTTTCCGTGCCGCGAACTGCGGAATCTGGTAGAAAAACTCGTCGCGGGAAATGTCGAGCTTGAAGAACTTGCCTTATTCCTCGGATTTAAAGAGTGGAATTCACGCCAGACCTGGACAGTAGGAGATGTGGTTAATATACTATATGTGAAGATTCTTTTACATGGTCTTTAAAGGTTCAAGCCCTTGATTATTAATTGCTACGAATTTACTATGACTACAGCGGACCCGAGTGCTATACTCTCTCTGTTCAATCATCGTCATCATTCTATGGTATCATCCTAACTAAGTATGTGTCTACCAAGATTTGGATTAGAAAAAAAGAAGCTGAACAAGCGATACAAAATCTCTTCTTCGGCCATGATAGGGTATCATTATTGTAGTATAAAGTGACTCAAATCCTGTCATTATGAGTCATCTTCATCGAAGGATAGCTTGATCTTCTTCTTTTGCTTTGGCTTCCGAGTGCCTGGTTCTTTCTTTGGTACCTTCTCGATCTCTTCACTGGGAGTGTCTTCTCCCACTACTTTGGCCTGTTTCCTTTTCCGTGGCCCTCCTATTTCGGCCACGTTCTGTTTGGAGACAGGTGCCTCGGCCTGAGTATTCGCTTTACCTTCTTCGCCCGTCGCAGGCTCTTGTGTATTTTTATTGGAGTTCTCGGTATCCTTGTTATCCTCCCCACGTACTAAGGCTTCATATTCCTCCTTGGAGATGATCTCGTTGCTCTCTTCATCAACGTAGGTAGGGCCATCGTCGTCATTGTCTTCCCTCGGTTTCCGCGGCCGTGCAATGGGTCTTTCGAGGCGACCAGAGGTATCTCCGTATTGGTTCTTCAGTCTCTGTAAGAAGGCAGGCTGCTTCGCCTCTGGAAGACGGTTAGTTCGATGTCAACGAGGAGTATGAGACGAAGCAACGTACCATATGCGAGGTCCTTTGATTTGAATGACATGGCTATGTCAGCCGCAGAGTCACTGTCAGCCTTTCTCTATTCTATAATAGTCAAGAAAATAGTAGGACTGATGTTACAGCAGCTCAATAGCGAGCGAATGTGGACAGTATGACGTGACACTCCTTATTAAGACACCATGCACAATGAATTCGTATAAAGATATTCCGGGTCAACTGTAGCGCAGTAGCACAATATAGAAGCCTCGCTCGCAAGCTACAGACACAAGCACCAATTAGATATGAGCATGGAATAGAAATAAAAGGCGACTTGGTATACTCCGACAAAAGAAGTTGGCTGGCCCGCCAAGGAATCAGTGGGCTGCGGTGCGCTAATCCGCATCGGGCGAGGTCGAAAAGTCCAGAGGAGCCGCAAGCTTCGCGTCGAACCAACCTCGTCCTCCATCAACCAACATACATCATATACCATGCTTTGCGCAAGTAAGTCATGCAATTTATTGCTCCTGCAGGTCCAATTACTGATGTTTGATGTGCAACAGTTTCGGGAGAGGCACCGCAAGTGCCCGTCGTCTCGCCCAAGAGCGGTATGTCCAACCTCGAAAGCATTGATGCGACGTAATGCAGCTAATGTTCGACTAGGCAGCGTCTTTGAAAAGCGACTGATCGAAGCCTACATCGCGGAGAATGGAAAAGATCCCGTGAATGGAGAGGAGCTTTCCACAGACGACCTCATTGATGTCAAATCCCAGCGCGTCGTCCGCCCTAGACCTCCCACCCTCACATCCATTCCTTCGTTGCTCAGTGTTTTCCAAGAAGAATGGGATGCCTTGGCTCTTGAAACCTACACATTGCGACAGACCTTGGCACAGACTCGCCAGGAACTGAGCTCCGCGCTCTACCAGCACGATGCCGCCGTTCGCGTGATTGCTCGGTTGACAAAGGAGAGAGACGAGGCCCGTGATGCCCTTTCCAAGGTCACCGTCGGTGCCAGGAGTGCCGCTGCCTCCGGTGGTGAAGCTATGCAGGTTGATTCGATTGGTCTGCCCGAGGCCGTTCTGGCACGTGTTGAGAGCACGCAGGCATCGTAAGTTGCTATGTATAGGATTCTACTGTGTTCGGTATATCTAACAATCTACAGGCTGTCCAAGACACGTCGTAAGCGCCCGATTCCGGAAGGCTGGGCTACGGCTGAAGCCATCTCCACATACAAGCCTACGGAAAGCTCCAACCCTCTTTACCCCGGCAGCAAGGCATTCGCCGTTAACTCGTCGGGAGAGCTGGCACTCATCGGCGGCGCGGACGGTGCCGTTGGCATCTATTCCATTTCCCAGAAGCAGGTTGTTCAGAACCTGCAGGCAAACGGGCCAGTTACCGATGCCGTTTGGGCAGGCGAGAAGGCTATTGTGGCATCGTCTACGGGCTCTGTGAAGGTCTTCGAGAACGGCAACGAGGTCGCCAACTTCAACTCTCATGCTGGAGCCGCAACCGCGCTTGCCGTGCATGCTACCGGTGACATTGTTGCCTCGGTTGGCGCTGACAAGAGCTATGTTCTGTATGACCTCACGACGAACTCGGTAATCACTCAGATTTTCAGTGACGCATGTGAGTAGCCCGACGATAAATTGTATGTCCGGACATGACTGACTTTGCATTCTTCTTCAGCTCTTCTCTCGGTCAAGATTCACCCTGACGGCCACCTGGTTGCGGCTGGTGGCGTGGACGGGCAAATCAAGATCTTCGATATCAAGACTGGCGCGTCCGCTGCCACTTTCGCCATGTCCAGCCCTGTGAAATCCCTTTTCTTCTCCGAGAACGGTGTTTTCTTGGCCGCTGTTACCGAGAACTCGACCACTGTATCCATTTGGGATCTCCGTAGCGCACAGGAGAGCAAGGTTCTGGAGACGGGCAGTCAGGTTGACTCGATTAACTGGGATTACACTGGACAGTTCCTTCTGACCGCCGGACCTAGTGGCTTGACGGTGCACCAATACACCAAGTCCTCCAAGTCGTGGTCCGAGCCCTTGCGGAGTGCGGTGCCCGCGGTTGCGGCGGCTTGGGGCTCTGCCGCCCAGACTATCGTGGCGTTGAACAGCGAGGGAGGCGTGACGGAGCTGACGGCACAGTAATTATGATACCTACTTATGGATACGGAGTGAAAATTCCATTTGTTGTTCTGTATTTCTAGCTGTCGGTGCTACTTTTCTTTCTTTTTCTTTCTTCTTTTTTGTTGTTGTTTCTTTTCTGTCACCGGCGTCTTGTTTTTTTCCCTCTCAGACCAAACCCAAAGAATAAAGGAAGGAGAAGCCACCTGGCAACAATAACGAACCCGGATTATAATGGAATTATCATGAGCATAGAAACCACCAGAATCTGAGTTGTCAGCAGACCTACTACCTACTGCTGTGACAATTGGTGATGGATGGTGACAAGTCATTCACGCAGTGATCGAGGGGTGCTGGGCGAGTCGGCGGGAACCCTCATACTACTAAATTATAAGACTAAAATATATTTGTCTTCCCTCCGCAACTGAACCACTCCGCCTGGCTCTGAATTTCCACGGATTACTACCCTGGAACTGCGAGTGCCAGAACTCTTACTAGTACCCAGTAGTACTTCCAGAGGGTCCGTCCATTCACTGAAGAGTGGCATGCTGGACAAACTCTCACGGTGTTCAGTGAGGCAAAAAGCAAGAGTTGAACCGGAGACATGCCACTCCTGACCGCAGGGCACTCGGACCCAGACCACTTCGTTAACACGACTAAGCATGGCGTTCCACCAACCGCAAGTGAGGCCTAACACCGGCTGTTAATAACTCACTACTACCTCACCTTCTTCTTGCCATCAAACCGCCCTCCCCTCGCCCTTCTTCCCTCTCCCACCTTCTCTTCCCCTCCAACACCGTCGTCTTCCCCTGCGGATTGGTTTCCGGGATGAGTGACGATTCAGGTGTCTTGTTTGTGGGCTCTCGCCCCCGAAAGGTTCGTATCAAATTTCCCCGTCTGCCCTCGAATCTCCTCATGGAGGCGGGGTATCCCCGTGCTAGATCAAGGGATTGGAGGTTCAACTGACGCCCGACTCCACCTTCCAGAGAACTCACCGCGAGATATCCGAAGTTTCTTCAGGACGTCCATCCGGAGAACCATCTTCATCATCCCTTTCCGCAACACCGGGGCCTTCGTTGCCACCGCTTCGGCGCTACCCCGGGGACGGCCTCGACCTCCGCCGACCGGCCACAACCCAGCCGTCTGAAGATGTGATAGACCTGACCGATGAGCCCGATACACCCTATCAAAATTCGTCCTTGCAAGAGTCCCGTACGACCAACGAAGCTTCTCGGCCGCGTCCTCCCCGATTTCCCAGGGACATCCTTACGGAAGTGGTTGATTTAGAGGAAGAGGTGGACGATAATGACCAGCAACAACCCCCCAGCAGCCCCGAAGTCGAGTTCATCGGAGCCACTGTGAGGCGGCCACAGTTGCCGCCGCCGCCACAACCACCACCTCCGCCTCCGCCGCGCAGCAATGAAGGTTTCTATATGCCCAGCTTGTGGCAGCAGATGCTACAGTTTCGGTCCCCGAGACCACCTGTACGGGTTGGAGACCATGGCAGACCGGACCTAGCGTTTCGAGGATTTCGGAGACATCCTCCTATAAGTGATGTGGAGTCATTCTGGATCGGAGATGGCCCGGCGGGCGCTATAGATCTAACGATCAATTTGGATGTGGATGGCCCGTTAGGATTAGACTATCAACTCACGGGCCTGACACGACAAAGGACACCTGCAAACGCCTACAAACCTCCAAGTCCGCCACCGGAGGGGTTCACCCGAAATGTTGCAGAAGACGATGTGGTTGTATGCCCGAATTGTGATATGGAACTGGGCACTGGTGACGAAACCAAACAGCAGATATGGGTGGTCAAGCAATGTGGACATGTACGTGATTCCCGAGTCAACGACGTTCGATACCATCTTCTAACCTTGACCGTAGGTGTATTGTGGCGACTGTGCCTCGAACCGATCGTTGTCGAAGGCGAAAAAGAACGCTTCTAAAGCTAAGCCTTTCTCTAAATGCCAGGTATTCGGTTGCGGGAAGCCCGTTAGTTCGCCCAAGTCAATGTTCCAGATTTATCTATAATGATGCTGCATACCATCTCTGGCGTTTGCACAATAATAGCATGTGATGATGGTGGCGCATGGGCGGGGCTTCTTTTCTGAACTTTTACCTTGGCATTTACGAGCAACATTTTGATACCCTCATTGCATTTGTTTCGGTTGGGCGGGATTATGTTTGTGTTTACCTCTATGGGATAGAGAGCGTTTTGGGTATAGGTGGTGGTCCGGTCGGTGCCATCCATGTGGATAATGACACTTTACTTTCCTGATAATTACGATGCTACATACGGGAAGCGGGAGCCCATTTCATGGGATATCAAATAAAGACATTCTGTACATATGATACATATCGTTCAAACAAAGACAGAGTCGGGTTCGCAAAAGGCAGGTACACAAAACAGATGAAGTAACCCATAATACATCGAATAGGAAATGATATTTGACCCAGAAAAAGAACACCACCGTATGATCGCACAATCCCCCATCTTTACACCGACTTGTAGCCACCGTGGTACGGGGACCAGATGCCTCTGACACTCTCGTTGATACTCGTGACGGGCTTCTTGGTGCGCTTCAACTTCTCTCCGCTGGCCTGCTTCAACAGATCGGCCTTCTTGCCTATTTGCTCAGGCTCGAGATTCCGCACGCAAACCGCCTTCTCCCGTCCGTTGATGTAGTGTCCCTTGATTACGGGGTGCTTGTGTGGCCGCGGTGATACCCGGATTTCGATCTGAGGGTTTGCTTTCGCGAAGGCAGGAAGGTGGTGCTTGAGGTAGGCACTATCACGAACAAGCATCAGTATTTTCCGATCAAAGCTGATCGTTAAAGAGAAAGAAGAACATACACCATGCCCCGGGAACTACCAGCCCAGTCACAGTAGTGGAAATCCAACCGCTTGCATTGTAGGATAAAGGCACCGACACCGTTCTGGATGATGAAGTTAGTCTAGGAGACACAGACGGATAAGATCCCAAAGAAACACATACTCTAGCGGCCGTAACCGTCCGGATCCCTTGAAGAGGCATTGCGGCTATCTGGGATTTGTATGTTCACAGCGAAGGCGTCAACAGCTTTCCAACAATCTCGAGGGACAACCTTCGGGGACTTTTCAGGGCCGCCTCCAATACAGGGCCGTCATTGGGTGCAGCGGCAAGCTCGGCTACCGCGACTAGCGGTTCCAGAAGCAGACAAGCACCTGACGGGAGGAACGCGAAACTCCCCCCAACGCTGCTACTAGGACCAAGTGACAAAAGACCGCCATATCTCCTCTCCCCCATCTCGTCCTTTCATCCTCGATGCCTCTGAAGGGTTTGAATTAATTTTTCACGTTTATTCAGAGCACTGGCTGAGGGCACAACATGACGGACAAGCTCCCCCCTCCGCTTCTGGCGCTCTTCCAACCTCGCCCGCCTCTGCGTTATGTCACCCCCATCAACCGTGCCCCAGAAGACTGCAAGAAGAGTAGCATTGGTGGCATTGCGCAGTTTCTGCCCGAGGTGAAGAAGTACGAGGAAGAAATCCCATATACGCCTACGGAAAGCTGGATCCAGCGCAAATTGCGCCAGAAGGTGGAGAAGAAAGAGAATATTGACAAGCAATTGACGGAAGGCCTCGAGACTTGTATGATCATCACATCTGTTCTGGGCTTTTTCTATGCTAATACTGATGATTTGTTTGCAGATGAACCATCCAACGACCAACAAGCACGAGGCGATCCGTTCAAGACGCTGTTTGTTGCTCGACTGAGCTACGATGTTAAGGAATCGGACCTGGAACGGGAGTTTGGCCGTTTCGGTCCTATTGAACGGGTACTGTCACAAGCCGAGTGGGCTTGATGGGTTACACACATGACTAACGTTGCTCCCAGATTCGCATCGTGAAAGACACCGTAACGCCAAAGGGCTCGAAGAAACCACACAGAGGATATGCTTTTATTGTCTATGAGCGCGAAAAGGATATGAAAGGTATTGCTACAGATCTAGTCGCCTCTCACTCTGGATTCAGACTGGTATCGGATCCCCATACTTTCTTGATGCTAACCTAGTTTTCTTTTTGTCACGATTTCAGCTGCCTACAAGGAAACGGATGGTATCCGCATTAAGGACCGCCGTGTCTTGGTAGACGTCGAGCGCGGTCGTACAGTCAAGGGATGGAAGCCTCGTCGCTTCGGTGGTGGCCTCGGAGGTCGTGGTTACACCAAGGCGTTGCCCTCTCGACCTATCGGCCCTGGCTCTTTCAACGCCCCCTCTGGTCCCGGCGGCTATGGTGGTGGATTCCGTGGTGGGTTCGGCGGCAGAGGTGGTTTCAAGGGAGGATTCCGCGGTGATCGTGGATTTGGTGGGCCCCGTGGAGGTGTCGGATACCAAGGTGGTCGCAACGGATTCGGTGGAGGTGGACAGGCTCCCCCCAACGCCCCTTCAGGTCCGGGAGGCGGACGCAGCGGTGGATTCGGTGGTGGTCCCCCTGGCGGCGGCAGATTTGAGCGTGAACCCCGCGGCGCTACTGGCAGCAACAGAGAACCCATCAGGCCCCGGGACGGGTTTGGCGACCGCGATCGTCGAGACCGGGATCGGGACCGCGACGGTGACCGTCACCGGGACCGTGACAGGGATAGCTATCGCTACCGTGACCGGGACCGTGAACGCGACCGCGATCGTGGTGACAGGTACGGAGGCCGGGGCGACGACTACGGGCGGAAGCGATACCATGAAGATGATTCGTATGATGACCCCCGTGCCAAAAGAAGATACTGAACGTCTGTCCGCGAAGGATATCCCCATTCCAGTGTTCAGTGACGGTTTGCTGGTGGGTATCATTAATTTGGTCCTTCTCTTGTTATACCCCGTTGCAGCAATGGGTAAGGCAAGGTCAAAACAAGGCTCAAGCTCCGTGCTATATCGGACTTCAACCATCGTATAACTCACAACAGTTGAAGTGCTCCGTATGCATCATCTTTCCTTCGTAATCCTGGTTACGTTACGAGATATCCATCTTCCCTTTGGAGCAGGCAGGCGCAAATTTTCCCCTCGAAGGTCGATTTCCCACCCGTTGCAGCAGACACAGATACCGCGCTGTTAATGGACACCTCTTTCCCTGTCTGTCATGCTCATGCTCTCTTTCTCTCTTGTCTTTGTTACTACTCGTGTCCTCCTTTTCTTTTTTTTACTCATGTCGTTTTATTTCCCTTGGGCCCGGTGTGCGGCCGCTACTTCTCTTCAGGGGGTAAGTATGTACTTTAGATAGTCAACACTTTGTCTTCACAGGCGGAGCTTTTTACGGGTTGGGATCTGGGTTTCGTTTCAGGTAAGAAAGATGATCAGGTAGGGTTGTTTTTGTGTCAAAAAGAAAAACTTATGTGTCAGTCATGGCCGATTGATTGCCAACATGCAATGCAGTAAGTAAATGAAGGTAAATGATATACTATTATCCATGGTGTGTGACATATGCCCTATCTCATCGTCATGTAAATATTTCATCATCCGTGGCATTAGTTGCCATCGTCAGGACGTCAGGTACTAAGTACTAAGTATACTAGTAGCAGTAATGGTAGTCCTCAGCCTAGGTGAACTTGAGAGAGATGTTATTCTATAACTGAACTGTTCGGATTGGTTTATTTCATATCGGTATGTCCGTCATACGCTCATCAACGGAAGCAGAATAGTATATACCGAATCAGACACGAAACACACATACGAGTCGAAAAATCGACAATCAATCATTGAAAGAAAACGCCTAAACCCAACTCCAAAGATGCCCAGGGGATCTCATCATCAAAGGGGCGTGGGGAGTGGTGGTGGTGGTGGTTGTGGGAGTTGTTCATCGTGTCAGGCCGGCTGGACATTTTACAAGTCCACATATAGATGGATAGCTTTTCCTTCAGAAGTTGAAAGGAAAAACCTACCATGACCCAACACCAAGGCAACACCACCACCACCACCAGCAGGACCCCGACTCTAAAAAAAGAAACCGAATCGAAACTTTTTCTCAAAGCATCATCAACCGACCTAAACAAACTTACTCAACCTCCATACCAGCCTCATCCTTCTCCAGAATCTCCACCTCCCCAGACTCCCTCGTCCAATGAGCCTTCAACGCAACATGGAACTCAGCCATAACAACTCCAAACATCTTCAACAGCGTCGTCTGCCTCGAATCGAGCACCTCTCCCTCCCTGCAAATGGGGAATCCCTCCTGGCCCTCCGTCAACTCTAACATAACCTTGCCCTTGACCAACCGAGTCGGAACACCAAGTTTCCGCAACTCCGGCTCAATAGTGTGGCTGAGCGGCTCGTCCTCGGAGGCGGGGATCTCTCCAGCCCGCGAATACACCTGACCGTTGGGGATCGAGAAGGCCCGGGTACTGACGGTTCCGGAGCGGGCGAAGTCAAGCGGCCTGAAGTTGTCGAAGTAGTCGGTCACGGATTGGGGGTCGCGGGAGGTGAAAAGAAGGCCGACGGCGCCGGTGAGGTAGGGGCTGAGTTTGTGGAGGTTGGGCGCGGCTTCGTTCTCCGGGTTGTGGCCTAGAGCGACGGCCATGACTTTGGTTTTGCCGAAGAAGAGACTGTGTTTTCAGGTGGTTAGTTTAGTTTACTTTGCATGGGTGGTTGTTGTTGGAGGGGAGGGGCATCTTGGGGATAGGCGGGGGGTAGTTGCAGGGGAAGAACTACTAACCGGCTATCGGCGAACTCGGTACGGACATCCTTCAGATAGGTGTTGCGCATGTTGTCGACGCCGAAGACGAACAGGTGGTCGTATTTCTCAATGCATTCCCGGATGTTGGCGTACAGGCGACGGGTCTGTTCCTTGTGGGACTTCTTGACGGTCTTGGACTCGTGCACGACGCGGGCACGCTTGGAACGAGGCATGGTGATTGATCGGGGTGTGGAAAAGTACTAGACACTAGTAATATTGGGAGAATGAAGGAGGCACCGAAGAAATCGAGTAGGTTGAAATGGTGATAATTGCAAGAAGCCGGCGCGGGAAATTGTGGATTCGAGATCCAATGATTTTTTTTCTTTGCGGCTGTCGATAACGCCCGGATTATTGTTGTCGCGCGGCTTATCCGTGCCCCTATCTGCCCTAGTCTGCTTCGGGAAATGAGCTGATTGCGGGCTTCATCTTCAATCCGCTTCATCTACTCACTCTCACTCTCATCGAGATACTCTACTGCATGCCCAGGCCGTCAATGGTGGGCTGTATCGTGCTGGATGGGTCTCACTACTGAGGCTGCTTGATCTATCCCATTGCTCCTGCACCATCCCCGACAATGCTCGATTTCATGGATTACATCCAACTCGCCTTCGCCGAGGCGACGAATTGGAACCGCGACAACTCGTACTCGTCGCTGACAGCCACTGCGCAGTGTATGCATACCAGCCCTTTTCCCTCTCAACCTCCATCCAAACACCACTAACAACAAGTCCAGCCCTCCTCGACTTCTCCACCCCCGAGCGCCTCCGCGTCCATCTCTCCTCTCTCTCCACTCCGCACTTCGCAACAAGTTACACCCTCGGCACCGTCGGCCTCATCGACGGCTCCGTCTCCTACCTCTTCAGCACCGTCCCTCTCTACAGCTTCCCCAGCCGAAGTGCCCTAATCCCCCTCCGCAAGCTCTCCCCAGGCTACCGCCAAGTACAAGCACCCATTGCCCCCATCGCCGAAACCATCCTCATCAACGACGACAACAACAACAACAACCTCAACGATGCCTCCCCCTCCGCATACAACTCCATCGGCAAAAAAGCCACCCTCTTCCACGCAACCCTCCACCTCCCACCCCCGACAACCCTCAATGCCCTCTTCCTGCGTCGTCTCTCCCCAACCATGCAGTTGTCCCTAGCAGTTTGCTCAACGCGCGGCCCGCCGCTCTCCAAATCCGCCCCGCAGGCCTCCCTCCTCGCGCAACTCTCCCATAACACGGGGAAATACAACAACGAGTACCTCTTCAGTACGGATAATGCCCTCTTCGGCTGGCGTGGACTATGGAACTTCGGGCCCGATCCTAGGGATCCTGTCCCTTCGGGGTCTTCGCCGAGGTTGTCGTTGCTCTCTGCGGGCGCGGAGGCTTACTATTCGCCTGTTTCGTCGCTGATTGGCATGTCCACGGGCCTGAGGTTTAGCACGTTGCCTGCTGCTACGGATGTTCCTTCTTCTTCAACCAGTACTAGTAGTGCTAATGCCAACACTCCGATTTCGACATTCCCCTATACTCTCACACTTACACTGACCCCGTTAACGGGCTCACTATCAACGACTTACTCGCTCCGCGCGTCTCCAAACCTGGCATTCAGCTCCCGCTTCGGATTCAATGTCTATAGCTGGGAAAGCGAGATGGTAGCCGGGTGCGAACTCTGGCGGAAGAGTAAACCCCGCTATCGTGATGATGGTGATGGGGTGGAGTGGGCAAAACGGAAGATTCGCGAGAGCTTGTTTCCTCATCCGCATCCGTCTACAGCTACACCCCCTGATGATCTTAAGGATCTAGTGGGCCGTGGATTGGGACAGGGGAAAGTAGAGGAGGAGGAGAACGAATCCGTGTTGAAGATCCGGGTGGATCAGTCATGGAATGTGCGGTTGTTGTGGGAGGGACGGGTCAAGGAGTTGTTGGTCAGTGCTGGGGTGGGGTTGGGACCGAGTTCGTTTTCCTCGTCGTATGCTTCTGATGGGAGTGGTGGGGAGTCTGGGGGTTTGAGGAAGTCGTATTGGAGGGGTGTGGGGGTTTCGGTGTCGTATTCGTCGTGATCCTTGTGTATATTAGTATTGATCTATATGACGGGTTATATGGGGCGTGGGGGGATGGATGTAGATACTATGATATGTGCTATGATTATACTGCAACTTACTAGGTAATTGATAGAGTAGTCCAGAGTTATAGTTACAGAGGGTGCATGGGGAAGGTAAGGTTAATGGTAGTATTCAAATTGGATTTATTTGGTATAGATTCGATTTTTTATATTCTTTATAGATTTTCATGCTCTGCAATTGGTCATGGTGTCTGCAGAGTTCCCAGGCTGTCTTCCCCGCCTATTGGGATTCGGATATCATATCACATGTCCATCAATCATTCAATTGTTTACAGACGAGCGTTGATGATGTCAACGACTACAACAGAATAATCAGTAAGCTGCATCAACCAGTTGAAAGGGTACACATACAGGCAGGCTTCAAGCTGGCACCGCCAACCAGGAATCCGTCGACATCGGCCTCCTTGGCCAGGTCACGGCAGTTCTTCTCGCTGACGGAACCACCGTAGATGATGCGGGTGTTGTCGGCAGCCTCGGGGGAGATGGCATCAACGAGCCACTTGCGGATAGCGGCGTGGACCTCCTGGGCCTGGGCGGTCGTGGCGACCTTGCCGGTACCGATAGCCCTGAATTGGGGTTAGCGTGCGACCAGCAGGCCAGACGAATTGATAGAGAACTTACCAGACGGGCTCGTAGGCGACAACAACCTTAGCCCACTGCTCCTTGGTGAGCTCCTTGGCAACAGCGTTGAGCTGCTTGGTGACAACGTCGATGGTCTTGTTGGCCTCACGCTCCTGGGGGGTTGCATTAGTCTCGGTTCATCTCACCGGGTCACCGCGAGCTCGAAGAGGGGTAGTCGCGAGGTTAAAAAAGCAAAATCAGGAAAAGTAACAGGCCCACATACCTCGAGAGTCTCGCCAATGCAGAAGATAACGCTGAGGCCACCGTCAATGGCAGCCTTGACCTTGCGGGCAATGAACTAGATGGGGGTTAATATTAGTCCAACCCAACTAAATAATATTTGGCGGGGTAGACCTACCTCGTCGCTCTCCTTCAGGATAACACGGCGCTCGCTGTGACCAATGATGGTCCAGTCGATCTTGACATCACGGAGCTGCTCGACACTGATCTCACCGGTGAAAGCACCGTTGGGCTTGTCGAAGACGTTCTGAGCGGCGACGCCGATCTTCTCGCCGGCGGCCTGGCGGGCGGGGAGCAGGTAGAGGGTGGGGGGAGAGACAACCACCTCGGCGGACTCGTCCAGCTTGGCGGCATTGAGGTTCTTGATGATGGAGGTAATGCTATCCGCAGTACCGTTCCTGTGTGAGAGTAACGCAGAAGTCATTCGTTAGCCAGCGGGCTCGTTGAAGGTGAAGCGATATTTGGTGAAGAGCTGGCGGGGCAGCGGATGGAGGGGTTTCCATACATCTTGAAGTTACCACCCACGAAAAATTGACGAGGCATTTTGAAGATGTGTTGGTGTGATTGAAAAAGACGGGGAGAGTGTCTGAAGAAGGAAATTGTGGAAGGAAGCGAATAAACGAGTAAAGTACAGAGAAAGAAGAAGAAAAAGAAGAGAAGAGAGAGGGAAGAAGAGGAAAGAGGGAAGAAGAAGAAGAAGAACCGGAAGGATGAATGACGATGGGGGGGGGGGGGGG